TTGGAATAGGCGACAACCATGGCTAAAGAAATCCAACATGAAATTGAAGTACAAATGTCGAACTCCAATTGGTTGAATAATAATACAAAGAACCTGGTTAAGGAAAAACTCAAAGCAATGAAAGTTGTAATTGGTTATTCAGAATCGTATTTTTCGAAATTTAATTCAAGTGATGAAAATATAAATGATGAGGTATGCTAATATAATTAAACACTAATTTGCAGTAATTTTCACAACTAGTCAGTGAAATTCCATTGATAATATATGGAGCAGGCATTGCAGATTAATAACCCCTTAATGTATATTTTAAATGAGGGGTTTCATGCCTAACCAAGATATTGTTTTATACCCTCCAAAAAATTATTTTGATCATAATTTTTTTCATCAAAAAATTATAAAATTAAAATTTACTATATTTTTTGTAATTTTTTTTTTCGTTTATTGGGTAAAAACAATTTTAATATAGGTAAACGAAAGGACTACAAAGCTTCCTCCACGAGGAAGCAAACAAGATTTTAACCCCTTTAAATTACAAAAAATATAGTAAATTTTATAATTTTTTGCATAAAGTTTATAAAAAGTTCAATTGAAAAGTTATGAGCATTTAAAAATAAAAAAGTAGGGTGTTCTTTTATTTTCATTTATCGAACATTTTGCTTCATCATTGTGTGAAGCAAAAAATTTCTTTCAATTATTTGATTGATTTAAAACATTTTGAGTTAAAAAATGTTTTAAATTAATTAAATTTTTTGAATAATTAAAAATTAAGAAAATTTTAATTAATATTTATTTTGCAGGTTCCGTTAGGTCAAGATTATTTCGAAAATAAAATCGCTTATTTTAAACATATAAGATTTGAAGAAGCCAAAAATATTCGTGAACTACAGAGCAATGATTCTGAGCCGTAAGTCATTAATATGTATTAATTTCATCCCAGATAGCACCGAACTTTACAGAAAGTTAATAGGAAGTTAACTAAGATAAGTTTAGAAGTTAACGTTGTTAACTTCCAGTTAACTTCCCAGAAGTTTTAAATGTCCTCAGAGTTTAAGTTAACACTGTTAACACAGAAAAAACCTAAACTCAAAATAAGTCAGGTTGGTGGCGCCACTTTCTATGTCATTTAGCACTGACTCATTTTGAACTGCAACAAAAATGAGACTAGGTTTTTTCTGTGAACTTGTTGAAAGGTAGAAAAGTGAATTTGTTGAAAGTTTTGCTTTGTATAATTTTACACAAAATTTTTATGGTAAATTTAAAAATCTATTTTCATGCGCAGAAGTTTTCTATGGCAGCTAGGGCTGCGCAATACTTTTTAATCACATTTCCCTATGTATAGACAAACTATGGATGTACTAAAATACATACATCTTGAAAAAAAATATTTTTTTTAATTTTGAATTTATCAGAAAAAACTTCTTGTAAAATTTATGCAAACTTACTTAAAAAAAACTTTTTGCAAATTTAGCTTTATAAATTCCAGCAAGTTAGCGAGAAGTTAACAGTGTTAACTTCCGAACTTATGGTCGTTAACTTACTGTTAACTTCCTGCAAAATTCGGTGCTATCTGGGATGTAATAGGAATAGGTTATTTAACTTTAAGGCACATAATTTTAATGTATTTTTACAGAGTTATTATCTCACCACTTACCTATAATGCTGTTTATGAAAAAAGCTTGAATAGTTTGAGTAAGTTGAAAGAAAATTTACTTTTGTTTAAATGTAAAATACGTTTTGATAACTTTTTTTTATTGATATAGAGTAACTGTAAGATATCAATTACTGCGCTTTCTTTAAAACCTGTTTTATGTATCAAGGGTTGCATACAATGAAATACACGGAGAGAAATAGATGGTACGGGGTACTATCTAGACAGTACCAGGTACCATATTTGATCTTACATATACGGACAGCAATCTAGATTCTATTAGTTACAATCCAGATTGTATGGAGTAACATCTAAATTGTAGTGGGTAACATAACCATACTTTTTGTAACATCTTTGATAGTACCGAGTAGCATAATGATGGTATCGGATAACATCTACTTTTTACCATCTTAAGATCATAAGTTCTTACCATCTATTTCTCTCCGTGTAATATTTTTTTGGGAACTTTTTTTTTTATTGTTTTGGGTCCAAAAACGATGATTTTTACACTAGACTGCGAAGGGCTTAAACTATATTATTATTAATTTTATTCTTTAAAATTAAACCTTGATTAATTTGTTCAAATATATTATATTTTTGGGATTTTAATTTTTGTATAAATATATCTATAAATAACACTTCAACATTTAAATCGCGCAGTAATTGGCAAATTTATCCGAAAATAATAATTTTAGAGTATATAATTTAAAAAAATTTTGCAATATAGTTAAAGATATAAGTAATTTTCTTTAATATTAATGTTAATTTGTTGAAAAGGTGTTGCAGCTGCTCTACTTTTACTTCCCATATATAATTCGACTTTACCTTTGTAAGTATTTCTATATTTTCAATTAATAAATTATTAACGCTTCACTATTTTATGAATAGAACTATACTTTTTAAATTTAAATCCGTGAGATTTTACTAATGAAATAGTTGGAATTTAGCAACTCAACAATTTCAGTAAAATTTCCACTGAAATTCAGTCATATTTCACTGAAAATTAGTAGAATTCTTTACAGTCAAATCTGTTTTACCGATTAATGATAATGTAGATTTGACTGTTTAAATCAGTAATAATTCAACTGATTTTCAGTGAAATGTGATTGAATTTTAGTGAAAATCTTACTGAAATAATTCAGTTGCTAAATTCCAACTATTTTGTCAGTGAAATTTCACTGATTCAAATTTAGAGAGTAAAAAGTTTCAATTTATTAAAAAAACACTCTTTTAATAACTTGTACTTATTATTTTAACGAATTTTCTCATATATTTGTATTTAAAAAATTCTTAGGGCCGGTTTCACCAACTATGGTTAAAAGTTAATCAGCGATTAAAGCCAATTTAACCGCTCATGATTGGTCGGTTAGGGATTTAATCGCTGATTAACTTTTAACCGGAGTTGATGAAACTGGTCCTTAATTAACCGTATTTTTAAAAAAACTTTCCTCTTTATTTCAACAGTGCGATAAATTACGGAAAAATAGGTACTACAATAGGTCACGAAATGACTCATGGATTTGATGACCAAGGTAATTTGATACACGTATATTTTTAAATATTATATAGTATAATTAAGACCATTATAGAAAAAATCATCTATACTCGGTTGCTTAATGATTTAAGAGGGGAAACTCATATAAATGCACGTTTTTTCAAGATATTTTACATATAAAAAAAGTGGTAAAGTTTATTGAATTGAAATAAAGCATACCTTGAAGTGTACAATATAAGCTATGTATAATAATTTTTTAAATTAAAAATATTGCAAAATGGAGATTGGCTACTGGTCTCAAATATTAACCATAATCAAAAAATCAAATCTTTATCGTTTAAGTATACACAAATACACTTTGCATGTCGAAGAGAAAATTAAAAAAAAAACAATTATTTAAAAATTTGGGACTATTTTGAAAAAAAATCAATTTTTTTTATAAACAATCTACAAAAAAAACTTTTTTTCAAAAAAAAGCTGCTCGTTATGCAATAGACAGTAAGTTAAAGAAGATTTCTGGTAACTTTACATTTATATGTAAATTTTTATTAATTGCATTGTCAATTCTTTTAAAATTGAACTTCTTTAACAATTTTTACTATTTTTTATAACCAATTTGTTTTTACACTTTTTTTATAATTTTGAACAATCAATCGTATAGATTAGAAAAATTTTTTCATTATTTAAAAAAATAAAATTTCTAAATTATCAAAAATATTTATTATTATTATTTATTTTAAATGTGTATATTATTTTTAACATTAGGACGAAAATATGATAAAAATGGAAATAGAATTCCTTGGTGGTCAGACGAAATGATTGATGAATATGAGAAGAGGGCCGAATGTTTTGTGGATCATTATAATAAGTATAAAGTAAATGAAACTTAATTGAATATTATTCAAACAACACTTTGAATGAGATATAATTGAAAAATAAAAATTTTTATGTAAATTAGGTAGACGGAAATCTAACTCAAGGTGAAACTATTGCTGATACCGGAGGGTTGATTGCAGCTTATGGAGCTTACAAGCAAAAAATGAAGAAAGAAAATATTAAAGATAAACGTTTACCAGGATTAGAAAACTTGGATTCAGATCAATTGTTTTTTGTTTCTGTGGCTTTTGTAAGTCTTGTTTATGGTTTCACAATGTTTATGATGATATATGCAATTACAAAAAAATTTAATTTATTTAATAGGGACATTGTGAGAGCGGAACACTAGAATATTTAGCGAGAAGTAATACTGGTGTTCATCCAAAATCGAATTTGAGAATAAATGGACTCATGGCAAACGTAAAAGGATTTAGTGATGCATTTAAATGTGATAAAGAGCCAATATGCAAACTATGGGATTGATCTGGATTCAATAAGAAAAATGTGTAGAAATGTATTTCACAAGTATCTATTTACAGTTGATGAAATCACACGTCGTACATCCGAATTAGCCAATTTTTTCGAACACCCTCACTCTGAAAATTTTAATGTAATTAATGAAACTTATAATTTTTTTTTGTCACAAAATGTGGATCTAGATTCGATTCAAAAGTGATAAACGGAAAGAAATCTTGTAAGGATATATTTAATATTTTGACACTCATATTTAGTATATTAAGTTACAATTGCGGAAGATTTTGCAGATTTTGGGGTGTTTATAGATTTCATCACTATTTTTTAAGAATGCCTAAAATAAAAATAATAAAGTTTAATATATTTAGAAACAAAAATTAGAATAGTTTTTGCGAAATTCATAATCGAACCTGTGTTTTAAAACTGAAGGTCGGAAGCTCTGACCACTGGACTACCCATCCTTGTGAGAGGTTTAAACTAACTATGTCCTTTTAAGCTATAAGCTGAGAGCGAATCAAATTATTTGGTTGTCGCAACCAAATTTTGGTTAGGACAACAAAAGATCATTTGGTATTTCAGAACAAACTATTTTGTTGTGTTAACCAAATTATTTTGTTGTCGTAACTAAATTTTGGTTGGAATTTAAAAATGTTCAACCAAATAATTTTGTTGGCCTAACCAATTGTTTGGTTGAGATAACCCTACGACTTTGTTTCAGCCAATTAAAATTTGGTTACAAGAACCTAAATTGCCTAACCAAACAATTTTGTTGCAAATTTTGTTGTCACTAACGAGTAGTCACGAAAAAAAAATGTCAGAGAAAAGTCAGGGAATTTTTTTCTTTAAGGCCATCCGGGAAAAATCCCTAACCTAAAAGTGTTTTCCCTTGCGAGATATTACTCGTAAATAACTTGAAATATTTTGTTCGGATTTGTCGGATTAATTAGATGAGGGCGAGCTGATTAAAAATCATCTCCATTTTGACAAGTAATTTTGTAGAAAAGTATTGAAAATCGTGGTTATAAAAGTTGGATTTTTGACAGAAGTGGGGACAGCAGGGATGGGTAAGTATTATACGTGACGTATTATACGTGGTTTTCTACACGTATAATACGTCTTTAGTTTTCTACGTATGTCACGTATAATACTTAGATCACGTGACGCGCGGGATTTTTAAATTTTAGAAAGTGAAAAATGTGATTTTAATAATTTATTTCACAAAATTTTCAAGTAATTTCTATTTAACAATTTATTCATTAATATGAAAGGTTTTTGAAAATTTATAAAATAATAAAATAAATACTAATTGCTCTAGTTAGGTCAAACTGTCTGCCTGTCATCCTGCGGCGATCGGGCTTAATTTATAGGTTATGCATCTTCAAATGATTGCATGTGCGTGATCTGCGTGATTATTGTCAAAAATTTTTCTCCTTTTCTTTATAAAAAATATGAGCACTAAAAGAGGTGGCAGACCAAAACAATGCTTGGGAGGAGTTGTGTTTTATTCCGAAAAATGACGAAAAAGGGAAAAATTGTGCATTGTGTGCGATTTGCAATAAAATATTGCAAAACACTGCAATTGACAGGTTAAGGATGCACAGGTAAAAATTACAAATTTAAAATTTTCTATTTTTTTATAAGCAATTTCAGATTATTATATTATATTTTTATTATAATAGTAAGATCTTATTTAATTTGTATTGTGTTTTTATAGAAGAACGTGTTTGTTGATTGACGAAAATGAGCATGTCACTTTGGAAACATCCAAAATGAGTGGTGATACCAAAGTGTCAGAATTTCAATTTGATATTGACATGTTGGACAACAATAATTCGGTAAGTTGACTTTTTAAAGATAATTTTTTTTAAATTTAATATTTATTCTAAATTCATGTAGTGATTTAAAAATTGTAGATGACTGAATGTGATAAAAATCTCAATGTTTCCATTTCAAACACGAAGAAACCACGCAATTTTCAACCTCGCATAAAATCATTCCTGGATATAATCAGTGAACAGGAGAAAAGTGATCTAAATCGATTAGTTGCAAAGCTTTTTTTGGGATGTAATGTGGATCCAAAGGTTGCAGATTCCGATTATTTCAAAATGTGCATCAAGTCACTGCGTCCAGGTTATACTCCACCTTCATCCAACGAAATATCAACAACACTATTAAATAAGTGTTATGAAAATTTAGAGAAACAAAAAAAAGATTTCAACAATAATCCTGGGATATTGTACATAATCACTGCAAACGAAAATAATTTAAAATCTGTGATAAGTTTAATTCGCCACTCGGATTTTGAAATTTCATTCCTGAAATCATGTTTGATGAGAACGACAACAACAGGAGAAGAATACGACCGAGAACTAAATAAAAATGTTTTGGCTCACAATGACGTGTATTCTTTTTATTTGAAGCATTTAGACAAATTAAAACATTTATACATTGTCAGTAAATTTAAATTTCCTCAAGCGATCAGCAAGCATTTCTTCATATTTTTCATCGATAATCGGAAAATCTAGGCGAAGCCATTCTTCTAAGGCGTCTGCTTGAGTAGTATTGGATTCTTGGAATTTATTTATTAATGTGCAAATCCCATCAAAGATAATAACAAAGTTTAAAACTTGTTGTTCGAAAACTTCATCAAAGATTAAATCAACTGCCTCCCTTTTGAAAATGTATTATACGTAGAAAACCTCGAAAAACTCACTTTTACCCATCCCTGTCAGTAGGGGAGGCGAGCACACAGACATTGAATCTATGTGTCAGTGGCCCAGAAGGTAGCGCCAATTCTAGCTAGTAAGTGGCCGCTGTTGAACTAACTTACCCCAAATTACTCCACATTAAATCTTTAATGAAATAATTTCCTCACAATATTATTGGAAAAATGGAGAAGAGCCCCACTCAGTGACCCTTCCTCTATTATTCCTCCAAATGCCAACTCGAAATACTTTATCCTTTAAAGATGAGAAGAAATTTACGAAACCCCTTTTTGCCAATGTTTAAACATTTTTTTCAATAATTATTTATCAAGATTATGAAATTCCGAGAAGAGCCCTTGGCAGGGTACCTTCCTCTATTATTTCCAAAAAATTACAACCTAAAATATTCTATCTTTTTCAAATGAGAAGAAATCTAAAAAACCATTATTTTCTCCCGGATGGCCTTAAATTAGGTAAATCAAAAAAAAAAAAAAAATTTTTTAATAAATTTTCTGATGAAAAAAAATTTCCAATCCGAGGCTTGTAATATTTTGTTTCCAATTTGTATTTTTATTAAATATTAACATAAAATAGGGGAAATGAGTGAATAAATGGGGAATTTTTTAAAATAGAGGAAAAATAGGGAAAACACTGTGAAGTCTGAAATAAGAATCAAAATTTTTATCAGCCCTGATTGCAGGTAAAATGAACAAACCTGCTGCTGTTACTGTGGTTGCTATAGTGATGATTCCCGTGATGTTGAGGATAATGATCTGAACCCCAAGATCCACCACCGCCGCCGCCACCACCACCTCCTCCACCGCCACCTCCGCCTCCACCACCGCTGTAATAATCGTGTCCACCATATCGTGGTCTATCGTCCCAATCACTGCGCATTCTTTTCATTGGTGGTGCCATTTCTTGAGATCGAGCGGGACTATAACGATCTCGACCACCGCCTCCGCCACCACCACGATATTCACGATAATCTGGTCTCGCACGTGGACGACTTGACCACTCTCTGTAATTGTTAATAATTATAATAACATCAAAATTTGAAAATCTACAGGGTTCGTACAAAAATTAATTATTGAAATTACAAATTTTTTAATGTTAAATTTCAAAAAAAAAAAATTATACAGAGAAATTTTTAATTTAATTTTCAAGTCGCATAAATTATTATCTTTAAATTTTCAGTTCAGTAGTTAATTTTAGATATTTAAAAAATGTCAAAATTTTCAACTTTTTCTGTAAAAAAAATTTATTTTTATATAAATGGACTTATAATAAAATGTCCCTTAGATCAAGATACATTTGAATATTAATAATATTATATTAATATTTAAATATTAATAAATGCAATTGTAAAGAACTAAAGAAAATTATTAATCTTTTTTTTAGGCAGCATCAGTTAATATTGAAACATCAATTTACGCAGCGCAATAATAAATTCAGTGACAAATTAAAAAAACATCAAAAACAGCGCATTACAGATTTGTTTCTCCAATTATTCTTTTCAAAAATTAACTTTTCCATATATACTTTACTCTAGGATATTTTAATTTAAATAATAATTGATTTCTTAAAAACTTAGGAGAAACTGAAAAATTGATTTTCGACAAAATATCAAGACAAATATAAGAATTTATTCAAAAATGATAATTTTTTTTTTAACTTTTCTTGGGTTTAATTCACTGTTTAATAGTTTTAAATTATACTACATCATGAAAGAAAAAAAAATAATTAATTAGTTAATAAATTTTTTAATAGAACTCGAAATTATGAACAAATAAAAATTGAAACTTCTCTCATAATTTATATTACTATTTTTCATCAAGAAATTTTTTTTCTACATTTTTCTCGTCATTCTGAACAATCAATTGTTTGAATATTAAAAAATTAAAATTTATACAAAAAGTAAATTTAAAAAACTAAAGTTATAAATAATTATATACCAATCTTTAATTATTCACAATTAAATATAGTTTTCGGTTTTAAAAAATCATTGGTAGTAATTTTTCTAAAATTTAATTTCTTGCACAATTTGTATTATTTCCCATCGTAAATTTTTTCTTTTTAATTTTAATAATATGGAATAATTTTAGACTGTAAATAATCCCAGAAAGAAAATGTCGACTTTCAACAACGTAAATATCACAAAGAACGGTAAAAAATATTAATTATTTACGGATAAATTAACAAATGAAAAAAAAAACAGTCAAAATAGGAGATTTTTTAAATATCTAATTGAATAATAAACATAACTTCTTCGCTTAGGTATAATTTTATTCTCAGATTTCATTAGTTTTCAGAAAATTATCTTTAAATTGAAAGATTTTTTTTTTTAATTTAAAAAAATTTTTTAAATCTGAAAAATTTAGAAATTTAAACAAATTTCAGGCCATTTTTTCCATGATTTCCATATTTTATACGAACCCTGTAAATCTATAACAGGGTGTCCAGCAATTTTTGAAAAAAAAAAAAAATTCAAGAATTGAATTCAAGTACAAAATAATTTTTTTACGGTTCACTTTAAACGTAGTAATTTTTAATCTTTTAAACATGAATTTTATTATTTGATTTTTGATTATTTGCTTATAATTAAAAAATTTACGTTCCGTGATAGGTAAATATTTTTTTCATAAATTATTGAAAAAATTTAAATTTAATAAAATTTAAATATATATATAACACCAAAAAATTATCAAAATTGTAATTCAAATTTTTGAGAAACTTAATTTTTTCAGAATTTTGAATGCAATTTTCAATTAACTCGTTCAGAATTTAATTATTTCCATTAAGAAAACAATTTTGACTAAAACTCTTCGCAATTTTATCGTTTTCAAAAATTTTAATGATCTCTTTCAATAATTTTGCAAACAATTTTAATGAATGATATATGGACGATTCCACGTGAGGTTTACCTATGACCTTTTAAATTCGTCTAAATATATTTTTTTCTTATTCTTTGTAGAAAAAAAAGGTTTTCGGTTTTTTTTTAATTTTTTTTTATAAGTGCTCAAATTTTCGAGTTATGAATTTTTAAAAATCTGATTTTTTCCAGTTTTTTTGAAATACATTTAATTTCAATGACATGTAACTCTAAAAGTATTGAATTTAGGAATTATGACCAAGATACAAAAAAGTTTCAGTTTTTTATCGACTTTCAAAATATGTTAAAGAAAAAAAAAATTTTGAATTTGTTTATAAAATACAGCGATTTTTTATAAACAAATTAAATTTTTTTAAATTTAGGCGCGATTTTTTTTTATTTTTACACACATGAAAATAAGAAGAAAATTTTGTAATAAGTTTTGGAGTGGGCCTGATGATCCTTTTGTTTATATAATTTGTTTAAAAAAAAAAATTTACTTTTTTTTTGTTTTTTTTTTTAATTTTTTAAAATGAAAAGTATTTTTGACACTAGGATCTACTAGTAAACTCATATTAAAGCAAATTGAAATACATTTTATTTTGAAAAATAAAAAGAAAAACTAAAAAAAAAGTAAATTTTTTTTTTTTAAACAAATTATATAAACAAAAGGATTGTCAGGCCCACTCCAAAACTTATCACAAAATTTTCTTCTTATTTTCATGTGTGTAAAAATAAAAAAAAATCGCGCCTAAATTTAAAAAAATTTAATTTGTTTATAAAAAAAACCGCTGTTTTTTATAAACAAATTCAAAATTTTTTTTTTTCGTTAACAAAAAGTCGATAAAAAACTGAAACTTTTTTTGTATCTTGGTCATAATTCCTAAATTCAATACTTTTAGAGTTACATGTCATTGAAATTAGATGTATTTCAAAAAAACTTGGAAAAACTCGAAAATTTGAGCACTTATAAAAAAATATGTAAATCTTTTTTTTCTACAAAGAATAAGAAAAAAATATATATTTAGACGAATTTAAAAGGTCATAGGTAAATCTCACGAGGAATCGCCCATAAACAGTTGATCAAAATGTACCAAATCTCCCCGAAATTTTTTTTTCTTAATGGACTTTTTCTATGTTTGAAAACCAAAAAACGTTGATTTTGAAAAAAAAATGTTTGTGGGAGGGTCCGGTACATTTTGATCACCCTGTATAATATGAATTAAAATATTCTATACGATTCTGTTCGTTGAATTTTGTGGAACAATAAAAGATATTGAAATTTTTTGCTTTTAAAGAATGTTACAAAAACACAAAATGTAGAATAGTAATTATTAAAACTAAAACAATAATTTCAATTGTTCATAAATTTACGATTAAAAAAGTTTAATTATTTCTGTGAAAATTTATAATTTAAAAAGAATTTTTAAAAAGACAACTCGTCTTAAATATCTAACAAAAAAATAAAAAAATTAACGTAATTCCTTCCTTTAGAAATATATATATATGTGCCATTCCAGGAGTTTTTTAGCACTTTTCGGAGTAACCTTTCCAAATTAAATGAAACATTTTTTTAATAATATTTATTAATATAAAAGTCCAAAAAAATCACTTTTTAAGTAAAAACAATTGTTTATTTAAAAAATACAACAATAAATAATGCAAAAAATTCACTTTTTTCCTGCAACTCCAAATAAATTGGTTTAAAGATCAAAATTTTCCTTATGTTTCAAGCTTTAATACCGCACAAGAAACATTGAGTCCGAGAAAATATTCAACTCACAATTTTTTAAACAATGTTTGTTTACTTTTTTGTATTTTATTTACTGTGAAACGTCTGCTAAAGCTGCGCGCGACGTTTGGAAGTTGTCGCTTTCCTTATTGAGCAGAAGCTCATTACACTAGCGTAGTAGAAAGCATGTTGTGCGAAAAGTGAGGTTATGTTGTCATTAAACGAAACGTAAAAATTTCTGGTTATCACATTGAATGGTTTTTAATTATCTATTTTGCAGTAAAAAATCATAAAAAGCATTTTTGAAGGATGAAAAACTTCACTTTTCACACAACATGTTTTTTACTACGCTAGTGTAATGAGCTTCTGCTCAATAAGGAAAGCGACAACTTCCAAACGTCGCGCGCAGCTTTAGCAGACGTTTCACAGTAAATAAAATACAAAAAAGTAAACAAACTTTGTTTAAAAAATTGTGAGTTGAATATTTTCTCGGACTCAATGTTTCTTGTGCGGTATTAAAGCTTGAAAGATAAGGAAAATTTTGATCTTTAAACCAATTTATTTGGAGTTGCAGGAAAAAAGTGAATTTTTTGCATTATTTATTGTTGTATTTTTTAAATAAACAATTGTTTTTACTTAAAAAGTGATTTTTTTGGACCTTTATATTAATAAATATTATTAAAAAAATGTTTCATTTAATTTGGAAAGGTTACTCCGAAAAGTGCTAAAAAACTCCTGGAATGGCACATATATTAAAAATGCACCAATGTGAGAAAACAGAAATACAACATAGATTTTACGAAAATGTCTAAATTAGGGTTCGTACAAAAATCTGTAATTCAGACTTCGGATCAACTTAAAGGCACAAAAAAAGTCATTCTAGTCGATTTATATTCCAAAAAAAGTCGAAAAAGTCAATTTTTTTTATTTTAACAAAAATATTTTACAAATTTTTAAATAAAAAAATTTTTTTTTAAATAATAATACTTTTGGAAGGGTTAAAGTTAAATTTTTTAGAAATAATTGAAATTCAAGAGATTTCGTTCATTTTCATTCAATAATTAAATTTTACAGAACTAAAAATAATTTATCAAATAATTTTAGATAACATTTTTGAAATGTAATTGAATTTTCAAAGATTTACATTGAAATTTTTGAAATTAATTGAACTTCAAGTGATTTCACAGAAAATTAAAAGACATTAAAATAAGCTGCAACGCTTATTATTTTAATCCAATTTTTCTTATTTTAATCCATTTTGGTATTAAAATAAGCAAAATTGGATTAAAATAATAAGCGTTGCAGCTTATTTTAATGCCTTTTAATTTTCTGTGTTTTAATTAAAATTTTTTGATGATTTCACTAAAAAATTTATTATAAATTGCGGACAAAAATACAATAATTTGAAAACCATTTTTAATTGAAAAATGCTTTCAGATAGTTGAATTTTCAAAGAATATTACAAAAATAGTTTTTTTTTTAAAAAAAAAAATAAATTTCCTTAGAGTTATAATTGAAATTATTAAATTTCAATAAATGTTAGATGGAAAATTTTAGAAATAATTAAAATTTAGAAGATTTTAAATTCAAATTTTTGAAAATAATTGAAATTTTTGGATAATAATTCAATTTTAGTTGATTTTTGATTGAAAATTTTGATAATAATTAATTTTGAATTGAAATTTTTGAGAATAATTGAATTTGAATTGAAATTTTGGGTAATAATTTAATTTTAGTTGATTTTTGATTGAAAATTTTAATAATAATTAATTTGGAGTTGAAATTTTGGATCATAATTGAATTTTAATTGATTTTGAATTAAAATTTTGGGTAATAATTGAATTTTAGTTGATTTTGAATAGAAAATTTTGAAAATAATTGAATTTCCTTTGATTTTGAATTAAAATTTTTTTGGTAATTTTGTTTGATATTTTTTTAAAATTATAAACAATTGTTAAATTTCATAAAAATTTTAATTGAAAAATAATTTGATATAATTGAATTTGTGATGAATTACATTAAAATTATTAAAAATAATTAATTTAATGAAGAATTTTAGTTAAAAATTCGTTTAATAATTGAAATAAAGAAGATTTGCATTTTATACTTAAAAAAAATATATTTTATTAAAAAATTTTTTTTTAAAAATGTAAAAAAAAAGTCGAAATAGTCGCATTTTATTGAAATAAGTCGAAAACTTTACGAAGCTGAAGTACGCAACATTTATGATAAACAATTTTTAAAGAAATAATTTTTTAAAATGAAAAATTCTATAATTTTTTGCCTAAAAAATATTTCTTGTAGTTTTCATTAATCAACAAATTATAAAAAAAAAATATTTTTTAGGCAAAAAATTATTTCTTTAAAAATTGTTTACATAAATGTTGCGTACTTCAGCTTCGTAAAAAAGGCGTATTTTTGAAAAAAAAAAGTCGGAAATAGTTTTCAAAGTTAAATTTAAAAAATCTAATAATAAACATAACTTCATTGCTTAGATATAATTTTGTTTTTTAGATTTCAACAATTTTTCAGAAAATTATCTTTAAATTTAAAGAATTTTTTTTTTATTTTAAAAAATTATTTAAATCTGAAAAATTTGGAAATTTACAAAAAATTCCAGGCCTTTTTTTTATGATCTCCAGAAAGTTTTTAAAATTCCATATTTTTTTTTTTTTTTCATGATTTTCCTGTTTCTGTACGAACCCTGTTAAATTAATTAATAAAATGTGTAAATTATTTATTTTGCACTGTTTACCTTTTTACCAACATTGATCCTATAGAAGAAGGATACGGAGGAGAGGAAGATGAAAAGGGATTGGACTTTGGAGATCGAACAACGGATTTTTTGTGATTCCTCCTGAAAATTAAAGGTTTTCGTCTTGGTTTCGAAAGTTTAAAATTGAATTTTAGTGTTTAAATTCTCTTATTCTTAATTGTTTTGTTTGTGTTTTTAAAAAGTAAATTAAAAAAAAAAAAAAAAAAATAGAGAGAGAGAAAGAAAGTGAATTTTTCTTACCTATCAACCCAATCATCGCGACGACGATCTTCTCTTCTACCCTCTCTTGAATATGATTCCGTTCTTTCACCTCTAAATTTGTCTCTCCTTTTACGATCATACTCATCATCAGAGTCTGCCATTGTTAAAAATTAGTCTGTTATCTGAAATCATTATACAAATTTTAAATATTATACATAATTGAAATAAAATTTATTCTATTCAAATAATCAGTAACTTTAATAAATTATCAAATAAATAATAATTGAATCAATTAAATTGTATATTTGTTTCAAAAACAAAAAATCATTGATTTAAATAGATATTTATTTAAATATAGTAAAGTAAAGAATTTAAATTAATTTTATTTTTCAGAACACTATTCGATGATGAAATTTTTAAAATTACGAAATTTAATGGATAAATCAATAATATATTTCGATACTCAATTAAAATTACTTGATTTGTTTGTCTTATTAAAAAGTCGTTTTATATACCTATACGTATAAAAAAGTGAAATTCTAATTCTGTTACAAAAATGACAATGAGCTTACGTCGACAACATAACCTATTTTTTTTTTTTTTTTTTGTATGAGAATGAACGGCAATGAATATAAATAAAGCACAAGTTTTAATCTTTCTAGAATTATAATAAATAAAAACTAGAAATTTCTAGAAATATTTTATATTTTTGAAAGTGAATAATGTTAGCCATGTCAACGATTACGTATATACAATACTCCAAAACACTTGCTTTATGGTATTGTATGACTATATGTAATAAGCTTATTAACATTCAAATGAATAATTAAAATCAATTAACATTGTAAGTTAACTATACTAGATATTGTAAATTATTTCAAATTACACTATATCTTGAATTATTTACAACATTTTACTCACCGATGACACTTTACTAGAACGCTTGGAAACAACGTAGTGAAGAGAGGGAGAGAGACACGACGACACCACTGACGACTATCGATATTTTCGATATATAGTTATCGATACTATACCTTCTCGATGAATTAATTTTTTTATCATAAAACAATATATATATTCACAATTTTTTTTTGCGATTTTTCGAAATTCTTTTAGAACTTGTTTATTTACATTTATAAATATATTTCTTAAATTTTATTTAAAGCACTTCTAATGCAAAATATTAAATAGAGAACTTTGGCATTTTTATCTCGAAATAAATCAATATCACATCGAGACATTTAATTCACAAGACTGTCAAATGGCGTTGTGAGGGCGCTCTATAATCTCTGAAATTATGAACATTTATATTTATTATGAAATATATTTTTAAAAAAACATAATTAAAAAAAATTGATAAAATTATTTTTATGCAAAATTAAGACAATATTTATCTCCTACTAGTTTAAAATAAATATTTCTCGTGTTTATTAAAATATTTTAAACATTTACACGGAGAAAAAAAAAGGAGAACCGCTTAACCCGCCGGTAAAGCAGTTCTCTTAAACGAGAGTGTTGTTTGACCGCTTGGAAAGTGAGCCGTTCGCTTTTCGAAGAGTTGAAGGTTTTTTTGTAGTGGCGGTAATTTACATTACGAAGAGAAAGAAGATTTCTGTAAATTATCGATAAATTACCGACTAATTTTTACTTCTATAATTTATCAGAATTAACAAAAAAAATTTGAATTACTATAAAATTTCTACAGACAATTAACTTAGAATCTATTGTGCGTTGGCCTTAAATTGTAAAATATTAAAAATTGTGGAAGAAGTTCACTTTTAAAAGAATTACCAATAACATTTCAATCAATCAAAATTTACATCATGTCGACGGGTGTTAAGAAGAATAACACAATACACAATTGAAATTCGGAACGATAAAAAAACACTTGAAGAAAATATGAGATTTCTAAAATATAATCAAAAATAGTTTTCATTTTAAGGTTATGTGATTGTTGTGACGTATGTGATATATGACACATGTAAATATTTTCTGCAGGTTTTCTCGCAAAATATTTGATAGATTGAGCTAAAATTATTTTTAGAGAACTTAAAAATAAATGTCGACTTAATGTAATTCGATCAATTAAATTTTCGACCTTTTTAATTTTTGGGAAAAATCATGCGCTTCTGGTAGTGCGCCCTTAGTTTTCGTGCAAAGGTATTTTATAGGAGGATTTTTTTTTGGTATATCACCCGTTGATGTAGACTTGTCAATTTTTTTCGAACTTAGAATAATTCCATTGATTATTATGATTTAAATTAACAAATTTTCTAAGTTAAAAATTTTTAATTTTGTAAATTTCTTTATATATATACCTATTTATTTTCTATATATGTTTAATTTTTATATAATATTTTTAAACACTTTGGTTTTTAATAAAATTTCATAAAAAAAATATTTAAAATAATGTTTTGTTAATTTTTATTTAAAATTTGTATTCTAGGTAAAATATTTCCAACAGTATATATTATTGTAATGTAGATAAAATTTATATTGACATGCATAAACAAAACTTAAACATTTGAAATGTACTTAAATATAGTTTCAAATGTTAAAATTTATACCAGATAGCAAATAACGGTTTTTATTTTATTTTCCATTCTTATGAAAGTTTACAAAAATTTATTTGAAATATGAATTTTTAGAAATATTTAATAATTATGATTTAGTGATTTAATCTTATATATCTGCGTTTTTAACTATATGATTCTTTTGATAAAATTGATACAGATTTCAAAATTATTTTTTTTTATCAATCTTTTAAAATTAATTTTCAGCATTTAGAAAATATTCAAAAGAACATATAATTTACCATTAAATTGTAAAAAGTATTCTTGACTTTTGTGAAGAATATCTGAAATAATAAATTGATATTTATTTTTTTATTCAAAAAATCCATGATTTTGTCTAAAAATATCAGTTTTCCTTAAAAACAATATGAACATCAACTCCAATCGTGCTCGATATATTTTTCCTGTAATCTACACGTAAAAATACGCATGTATATCAAATGTGAACTGTCTTGATCAAATGAGCTGCTCGGAAGAAGAACTCGCTCTTCGCTCGGAAGGGACAATTTCATAGCAGTTGTAGGCATAAAAATAGGAAAAAAAAAATTTCAAAAAAATTAAATAACAAATTTATTAGTAATAATTATTAAAGATGGGAGATAAAGAGCGTAAAAACCTTGAGAAGGTGTACGCAGAAAATCAAAATAAAATAAAAAATAGTAATAATTATTACTATTTTTTATTTTATTTTAATTTTAAATATTAATAAAATAGTAATAATTATTACTATTTTTTATTTTATTTTGATTTTCTGCGTACACCTTCTCAAGGTTTTTTATCCCCCATCTTTAATAATTATTACTAATAAATTTGTTATTTAATTGTAATAAAATTTAAAATTATTTAATAATATAATATATTTAATAAAAATTTAGATACAATATATACATATTTAAAAATTTTTTTAATTATTTTTAATAGGTAATGTTGTTAATTAATTTTTTATTAATTGTTCATAATTTTAAACAATTTAATTAATAATATTATGAAAATAACTAATAATATTTTTGAAAAGTAATGGGAAGATGATGTTTTCACGCCCTGAGAGCGTAATAAGACTCTACTCTACGTGGCGATGTGATATGTGGCTGCACGCGTTTCTTTAAAACTTCAATATTTTTTAAACTATTTAATAAATCGTTTTGTAAATTTACAAAAAAACTTTATTACACATTGATAAACAAATGTCTCACTGGAAGTTCTTGAAACTCGGAACTTCCCCGCAGACTTTTTGTCGGCAAAGGTAAGAAAACATGATTATCAATATGTCCTTAAATAAAAATTAAAAATTATTAAACAAATGATGATTTCAAACATTCTTATTATGGTCTCCTTTTCTCTATACTTCAATGTGTTAGGATACCAATTCTAAAGTAATTTTATTAATAATTGTCGAAGATATGACAATTTATGTTTTAAAATTGAATGAAATTTAAGAATTAAAATTTGTCAGTTTTTTGTTATTATTAACTAAAATATTCGCTCAACAAAAAAATTTTAAAGAAAAAAAAGATGCGCTTTAATATTTTATACAAGGTAGTACTTTTTAAAAATAAAAATTTTGAAATTTTTTTTTTCCTATTGGGTCAATCCATTATATTTCGACTGAAGTCGTCGCTGACTAATTTTTAAAAATTATAATACTTTGCAGGAATGATTTTGAAGTTATCAAGATCACGAAATGAAAAGAATTTTAATAAAATTTTAATTATTTATTGCAAAATATGAATTTAAAGTATATGAGGTGCTGAAAACTGTCAATTTTTTAGCCATTAGAAAATATGCAAAAATACGTAGAATTTACCATAAAAATAAAAAAATTTTTTTGTAATTTACTAAGAATGAATAAATTTATCATTATCAATTGATGTAATTATTTAAATATGTGAAATAATATATAAAATATGATTTTCAAGTTCGCCTGTCAAATAACCTAAATTTGCAAATTTCATCTATTAAATGTGAGAAAGAGAAGTCATTAAATTGAAAAAAACCTTACCAAATATAAAGTACCTGTGACTAACTTTTAGTTTTTCTTAGCACTTTTTTCCTTTTTTCTTCATAAATGTGAAATAAAAAGCAATAAAAATTGGCACTTTGCTTATTTTCACTATTTTCAAATGTAAATAACTTTCTTGGAGAAAACTGAAAAATTACAAAACTTGGGCTAATTGATCACTAACTACACACACTGGAAAAAAATTCGCTTTGGTCCCGAAGATACTTTTTGAGATAATTATGTTTAAATTTTTCACAATTTTTATCAGGTTAATGCATGTGATTTTTATAAAATTGAAGTTAGTTCAAAATGTTTAACCAATAAAACCTAACTTCGTCCTTAAAAAACTACATGTATTAACCTGATAAAAATTGTGAAAAGTTTAAACTTAATTATCTCAAAAAGTATCTTCGGGACCAAAGCGAATTTTTTTCCAGTGTGTGTAGTTAGTGATCAATTAGATATTGCCCAAGTTTTGTAATTTTTCAGTTTTCTCCAAGAAAGTTATTTACATTTGAAAATAGTGAAAATAAGCAAAGTGCCAATTTTTATTGCTTTTTATTTCACATTTATGAAGAAAAAAGGAAAAAAGTGCTAAGAAAAACTAAAAGTTAGTCACAGGTACTTTATATTTGGTAAGGTTTTTTTCAATTTAATGACTTCTCTTTCTCACATTTAATAGATGAAATTTGCAAATTTAGGTTATTTGACAGGCGAACTTGAAAATCATATTTTATATATTATTTCACATATTTAAATAATTACATCAATTGATAATGATAAATTTATTCATTCTTAGTAAATTACAACAATTTTTTTTTACTTTTATGGTAAATTCTGTTTTTTTTTTTGCATATTTTCTAATGGCTAAAAAATTGACAGTTTTCAGCACCTCATATACTTTAAATTCATATTTTGCAATAAATAATTAAAATTTTATTAAAATTCTTTTCATTTCGTGATCTTGATAACTTCAAAATCATTCCTGCAAAGTATTATAATTTTTAAAAATTAGTCAGCGACGACTTCAGTCGAAATATAATGGATTGACCCTATTTTTATGCCGAATCATGTTCGCTATATTTTTCCTGTAATTTTCACGTAAAAATACATAAATGTACTAAATTTAAGCTCTCTATGTGAAAAGATGTGGCCACCAGGGGGGGGGGGTAAATAGTCATTTTTAGGGATTTTTCGTAAAAATTCATGGTTTTTCCTTGACAACGCAATGATAATAAATCCCTACGAGATTCGCTATATTTTTCCTGTAATCTACATGCCAAAATACATATGTGTATATGTACCAAATTTCAGCTCTCTAGATAAATTCATGTGGCCGCTAGGGGGGGGGGTGGTACATGCCTTGCTTCACTAGTCTCATTAATAGGGTTCCCCCTTTGGGTACGGAACCCTAAAAATAAAAGGCTATTAATGAAATTAAGAAGTTAAGTTTAAATAATTATTTTTAAATATCTAGTATTGTTTTTAAGAAAATTATTAATATTATTTTTTAAACTGTCTTTTTAAAATATTAATATAATCGTTAAATTTTATTTCATAAAAAATGACGAATACAAAATAAAAATTTTAAAACCTGCTTTACTGCTTTATTCATTTTGAAGTAAAATTATTTTATGAAAATGAAAAAACTTGTTTTTTTTTCAAGGACTACCAAAAATGTAGAACATTGTTGTTTAAAAAAATCTAAAATTATTGTGAATTATCAAAGTTAAGAAAAAATTTTTTTGACTAAATTAGAAACTTTATTTTTTGAAAAAATATTAAAATTTTTAAAAATTCATACGATTCATTGTCTAGAATCATGAAAAAAGCCTATAAAAAATTACTGATAAAAAATAATAAAAATTGTAGAAGAAGTTGAATTTTTAAGGAATAATTGATAAACCAAACATAATTGGATTGGTTTAGGGATAAAGATTTTTTAAACATTTTTTTTTAGAAATTGAAATCATATTTTCGTATGAAAAATGAAAAAATTAATTTTTAACAATGTTTTTTTTTTCTTTCAGATTTAATTTTTTCAAAATCAATACTATTGATTGTTCAGAATCATGAAAAAAGTGTATAAGAAAATCACTAATGAAAAATAATAAAAATTGCTACAGAAAGTGTTTAAAATATATATATTGTATACATACATATATATATAAAAAAAATCATATTTTTTATGTACAATTTATTTGTAAATTCTCTTAAAAAAATAATTTCACTTCAAAATGAATAAAGCAGTAAAGTATAGATTTTAATACTTTTTAATCTTTTCGACGAACGTGATGTTTCATATGTAATAAAATTTTTCGATTAAATTAATATATTTTAAAAACACATTTACAAAAATATTTTTATTATTTGCAAAAAAAATTTACTATATTTTTTGTAATTTAATAGTTAAAATTTTGTTTTTAAAACTGTTTGTTATCCTTCGATTTTTTTAAAAAAATTTTTCATAAAAACAACTTCTTTTTACAAAAATTTAAATTTTTTCAATATTTTCGGAATTTTATAAAATTTTTGAAATTTTGAATTTTCTAAAAATATCTCCGGTTTTCTTTATACTACGTACTTTTATGTATTTTGATGCGCTGATTACGAAAATCATACTAACGATACCAGAAAATTTGATTTTTATGGTAAAGACCATAAAATAATTCAAAAAAATTTTTTTTTTCGTTTTTTTTTTTATTGGTTACACATTAAAAAAAAACTTTTAAAATTGATGCATTTTTAAGGAAGTTATGAGCATTCAAAAATAAAAAATCATTAAAATTCTGAAATTTTGAAAAATTTATATTCTCATAAAGGGGCCATCCATAAAGCATGTGATGCTTTAGGGGGTAGGGGGGGGGGGTCAGCAAAATATCACACTACATGTTAATCATAAATGCAAAAAGCATCACAAGGGGGTTTTCGCACCATTTTCATGTTTGAACATTTAGGGCACAAAATTTAAAGATTTTAAGCATTTCTTGATACCTTCAAAAAAATTTATTAAAAAAAAAATTTTAATAGTTTTTTCTGATTTTTTTTTGAATTTGCACATGCAGAGAAATATGTTAATGAAATTCAATTAAATAATGTGTCTTTCCCGTCTTTAAAGGGTTAAAATCTTTCGGTAACATAAAATTATCAAAATTTTTTTGGATTTTTTTTTCTACAAAAAAAAAAAAAGGAAAATTATAGATATTTATCAAGTTCATAACTTTAAAGAAATAATAAAACGTTTATCATTTTTTGCGGTGGAATTTTTTTATTGGTTACTTTACTTTAAAAAATATCTAAAATTACATATTAAATTTTTATATTTTTCGTGACCGACGTGTATATAAATATCGCGCGACTTTTATAATTTCCTCATATCGTTTTCCAGTAGTCTTTCATCAGAACATTCTTACTATTCTCAGCAATATAAACTTGCAGAAAGAATCATGGAAGTAAATCTGTATTTTTTATGGTTTTTTACATGCTTAAATTTACATTTTTATGGTAAGTAATATATATTTTGAATAAATATTAATAAGGAAATATATCATCGTAGCTGAGGGATACGTTGTTTCTTGAAATTTTCGCTTACACTCTATAGGCTAAATTTTCTTTTAATGGGTATATTCCATTTTACATATATACTGTCTCAAATAAAAATGTGTCAAAGTTATAGGTTACTTATAATATAAATAGCACAGAAAATTGAAAGGTATTAAAATAAGCTGCAACGCTTCTTATTTTAATCCATTTTTACTTATTTTAATACCAAAATGGATTAAAATAAGAAACATTTGATTAAAATAAGAAGTGTTGCAGCTTATTTTAATACCTTTTAGTTTTCTGTGAGAACTTATAATGTAAATTTATCATACTGGTTGAAAAATTAACGATAATTTTCTTTTTAGTTTATATATTATTTTATTAAAAACATTTTATTTAATAATTATTTTTTAATCAATAATTAATTCTTTTATAATTTTTATGATTTTTTTTAATGTGTCATTTTATTATTTATCTTATTAATTTAATCAATTATTTTTTTAAATACCCAAAATTTGTCGAGAAAATTACCCGTGCAGAAATCGTGATGTGGGCCTCATGAGGTACTTACCAGTTTTCCCAATCTCTAATAAGGGCCTTGTCGGGAAAACTGAACAGTGCCTCACAAGGATGTAATGATTTTCCTCACCAATGCCCTAGGTAAAGGAAACTAGTGAGGGCCTTACCAGTTTTCCATACGCATACCCTATTTTTTTATATTTTATTCAAGTTATCGTGGGGACAAAAAAGTGTCTACAGACGACAGACAGACGGAAAAGTTTTCAAAACCTATTTTTTTGGCATCGGGAGGTCTCAAAGAAGGAGATTCGCTGGAATTAGAAAAAAGTCAAAATCGAACAAAACGAATACTTTCTCATTTATGATGAGAATGTATAAATATAATTTTATATGTATATACAGTCATTTTTTAAGGAATTTAGCTTTTTTTAGATTTATCATATTTTTCAGTGCTTTGGGATGAGAATATGTCCATTTTGTAAACTAAATTTATTTTCTTTTAATATAATTTGATTTCTAACAATAATTTCGAATTTTTTGATGCTTTTTGATATTTGAAGCTCTTTAACTTTTTCAATTTAATTTTAATTGAAAAATATCAAAGAGAAAAAATGTTTGTATTTTACTAAGGTAAAAAAATATGAGGTTGAAAAAATTTTTTTTTAAAAAAATTGAAATTCAAAATTTTTGAAAATGCTGTGATTTATATTTATTTTTGTTCGGAAGTAGCTGTCTATCGAACTTGCACTTGCACGGATTTTTTAATTCTACGACATAAATGTTCTTAAAGCCTATTGAACGACTTTAAGTAGTAAAAGCTACTACTGAAAGTAGTATTTTTAATTGGAAACGATTTGTAAATTTTACATCAAAAACGTTTTTCAAGCTTATTGAATTAATTGAAATAGTAAAAAATTACTACTTAAAGTAGTAGTTTTAACTGGAAACAATTTGTAAATTCTACATCAAAAATTTTCTTTAAGTTTATCGAATTAATTAAAATAGTAAAAATCTACTACTTAAAGTAGTAGTTTTAATTACAGACGACTTGTTAATTCTACAACAAGAATTTTATTGAATTATAGAAATTAATAAAAAATTTACTCCTCAAAAACAACATCAACATGATTAGATTAACTAAAAAAGTAGTTATTTTATAACTACTTTCTAGTCAATGGTAGTTGAATTTCTCGGCAAAATTTTTTTCAGTGTAGATTTGGGTACAAGGAATCTCGCTGTTCTCCGAAAAGTACATATAATTTTGCGTTAAATTATTAAAAAATGAAGTTTAAAAAGTTTAATTTTTAAACGAAAATGACAAGAAACATTTGTATATAGGGCAAAATTTCTAAAATGTTTAAATTAAAAATTTTAATTTATCGAATTGAGCCTATATGGGTGATTCTCCGCGTAGCGCACAACTTAATGTCCCTCGTATTTTTTAAAAAATCAATTGCACATATTGCAATAAATCCAATGGGAAAAACTAATTTCTATGTTTACAAACAAAAGCCCATAGTCGTTTTTAATTAAAAGTTTATAATTTTACTTAAAAAGCTGTTTTAAGGCCAGGTCCAAGTGAGGCAGCGCCATCTACATTGATACTAAAATTTTGGAAAATTTTCAACAGCCTTTTCTTGAAAACAAGATGGTAAAATGCTTTTTCCTTTATGGATAATTGATTATTGGCAAGATATACACCAGCTAAAACTTTTTTTGAGTTAAAATAATAAAAAAAATTTCATGTGAATAAATTAAATATGAGCACTTTTTTCACAAAAACTGTAACAGTACTTTCTCAGAAATTACAATCAAAAATGCAATTTCCATTTGGAAAATTAATAAACGCTAAAAAATACACTACCTAAGATTTACCAATCACGAAAATAACAAAAAAAAATTTTATTAAATATTTAACATATTGATACTGCTTTACTGATTGTGACAGCCCTTTGGTAGATTATGTGTTTCATGTGGTTAGCAACAGCGCCAATCTCCTCCTTTCGGCAAAACTGCGAAACGTCTCGTGACATATATAACCTGCCAAACGGCTGTCATAATGAGTAAAATGTGTTATGTTAAAATACTTTTTTTTTGTTATTTTCGTGATTGGTAAATCTTATGTCGTGTATTTTTTAGCGTTTATTAATTTTCCAAATGGAAATTGCATTTTTGATTGTAATTTCTGAGAAAGTACTGTTACAGTTTTTGTGAAAAAAGTGCTCATATTTAATTTATTGACATGAAATTTTTTTATTATTTTAACTTAAAAAAAGTTTTAGCTGGTGTATATCTTGCCAATAATCAATTATCCATAAAGGAAAAAGCATTTTACCTTCTTGTTTTCAAGAAAAGGCTGTTGAAAATTTTCCAAAATTTTAGTTTCAATGTAGTTGGCGCTGCCTCACTTGGACCTGGCCTTATGGTGCCAAAACGTCATGGTATGATCTGTCCCCAGTACCACTTTTATATAAAAAAATGTTATTTTTAGTAAAATACAGTAATCAATATAAAAACTATTGATAGTTTCGTATTGTTTATGTTAGTAGAATTGTGAAAAAAAACCATTTGTGAAAAAAAAAATTTATTTTTTTTATTTTTTTGGTGTTAATTTTTGTCTCTCGTTTTTGCGTCATGGTCTGGCCTTTTTATAAAATAGCATTTTTTTACATAAAAATAAAATCGAATCTTCACTCACCATTAGTTAAAAGCAACAATAAGCTCTCCTAAGTGAATTACTAAGAGAGAAACTGCTTTCAGAATTAATTTTTTTTGTTTTTTACACATTAAAAGCATCAAATGTGCATAGGGAATCACAGAATCGTCATGGTCTGGCCTTCAAATATTTCTCAATAAAATTAATAATTATTTATATTTTATGTCAACTGAAGTGTAGTAGTATTAGTTCAGTGAATATAAATAACATGCATATGAAACAGATTGAAAATTGTTAATAAATTGTTGAAAAAATCAGTTTTTCTTGTGCGTCATGGTAATGCTTTTTCTCGATTGAACGGCGTGTATCACTCGAGTGTCTATAAGTGCACATAAAATGTGAAGCAAAAAAATTTGTTTTAAACATTGAACTTTAGATAAGTAATAAATAATTACATAAATGTCCATAAATTACTACATAAATTTCCATAAATTACCAAATTTAAAATTTTTAATTGTCGTTCGCGCTATTTATTTTTTTGCAAATTACCGCGAAAATTTCCATAAATTACCGAAATAAAAATTTTTAATTGTCGTTCGTGCTGTATATATTTTTGTAATTTACCGCGAAAATTTCCATAAATTCTCGTTGCTTGAAACTCAACTCTTGACATTTATTCAAAATAATCTGGAGAATAATATTTTATATTATAATACAACATCGAGTCCTTATAACATTACTTATAAAATTAATTATCCATTACTGGAGGAGAAATTGATGGTAATACTGAGGCAAGGTATTAATTCAGAAGGGCGCATTCAAATGGATGAAAAAAAATTTACAACTTATCTTGAAAATGTATTGTTTGAAAGTAATATAAAGTGGCCGGAATATGTTGACAAGCAGTATGTACTAAATTATTTAAAAAACATTATTTTCACACAAAAAGGACAAGGAACTATAAATATCTATGAACTACAAAAAGAAATTATAAATTTTGTTTCTCAATTGACTGAAGAAAATAAAGTTTGGCAACAAACAACTTTATTCCCTAAAATTCAATTGCGTAAACCTAAAATGAAAGAATATCAACAATGGTCAACGGATAATAAAATAAATCAATTAGAGACAAACGAAAATATTTTAGATATGTTTAGAAATGGATCTACGGGTGTTGGACAAATAATTCCAAATATTACATCATCCATACGAGGCAACTTTGAACCAAAAGATGACAAACAGATAATCAGTGGTGGAGGTTTAATAGAGGAATCATCATCTGCAATTCCATTATCATCAGTTCCGCAATGGACAGAAGGATCCAGAATCTCTTACGGAGGTGATACTACCCCAAGTGGTCAAATGGAATCATCATCTGCAATTCCATTATCATTACTTCCGCAATGGACAGAAGGATCCAGAATCCCTTACGGAGGTGATACTACCCCAAGTGGTCAAATGGAATCATCATCTGCAATTCCATTATCATTAGTTCCGCAATGGACAGAAGGATCCGGAATCCCTTACGGAGGTGATACTATCCCAAGTGGTCAAATGGAATCATCACCTGCAATTCCATTATCATCAGTTTCGCAATGGGCAGAAGGATCCAGAATCTCTTACGGAGTTGATACTACCCCAAGTGGTCAAATGGAATCATCACCTGCAATTCCATTATCATCAGTTTCACAATGGACAGAAGGATCCAGAATCCCTTACGGAGTTGATACTATCCCAAGTGGTCAAATGGAATCATCACCTGCAATTCCATTATCATCAGATTCGCAATGGACAGTTCAGCCTAATATTACTAATGACGTCTTTAATAACGCAGATGATGAAATGATGATGGGCGATGAAGGCTATAAAGAGGAATCAAATACTAATATTCCAAATGTTGACACATCAGAAAACTTCAGTATCAACGATAGAATTAGTGGAGCTGACAAAAAGCCAGAAACAATATATACTGAAACAAATCTTAATGGAAAAGAAAAAGAAAATCTAATTTCTAATACTACCCCAAGTGGTCAAATGGAATCATCACCTGCAATTCCATTATCATCAGATTCGCAATGGACAGTTCAGCCTAATATTACTAATGACGTCTTTAATAACGCAGATGATGAAATGATGATGGGCGATGAAGGCTATAAAGAGGAATCAAATACTAATATTCCAAATGTTGACACATCAGGAAACTTCAGTATCAACGATAGAATTAGTGGAGCTGACAAAAAGCCAGAAACAATATATACTGAAACAAATCTTAATGGAAAAGAAAAAGAAAATCTAATTTCACGTGATGAAATTTCAATGCCATCTTTACATCCAGTTGTGGAAGCACCAGTTTCAACAATTAAAATTAAACCTAATGTATCGATACAAGCAGTTTCTGTTGAAAAGAATGGTATTGAATTACCATTAAAAAATATGACAATTAGCCTTGATGAAATTTTAAGATCGGAATTAATGTTCACTAATGAAAAAAATTACTCATCTAAAGTATATATAATTAGAGACAAAATAAGAAATCTTTATCCTGTTCTTAAAATTGTATTTGCCAATAATGTATTGGAATTAATTATTAAAGATAATTTACGATTGGCATTCAGTGAAGGTTATTATACTGATATTAAAAAGATTTTGAATTATATAATTAATGATATTAAAGTAAAATATGAACTTACTTCGACATTACAGTTAGATGGTAAAATTGCAAGTAACAAATATATTAAGCCTGTTGAAGAAATTAGTTGGATTGAAGTTCAAAAGCATTTAGATGAAAAATTCGATTCTCTTAAACAATTTTCTAATATTAATGCTACAATGTTGACACAAAATTTGGTAAATGTTACTTTTGAATATGCACCAACTATTGACTCTTACGTAAGTTATTCAGCATTTGAAATTAAATTATTAAATTATTTAAAACAAAAGGGATATAAAGATTTCTCTGAATCCTCTGTTCGAGAACAAATTGTTGGTTACATGCAAGGACTTATTAAACTCTATTCTGAAAGTATAAAATATTTAGTTGTGTTTAATATCACACACTATGAAGATATGGATAATGCGGAAATTATTAAAAAGGAAATAAGTAAAGAAATAATAAGTGCAATTTTTTCACTTGGTCCAGAAAATATTAAGGATAACAATGAAACACTTCGAGAAGAAATTGTTAATATACTCGATAACTATGAAATTACATGCACTGTTCAAATATATGATTCATCAATGACAACATTTTCAAATTTAATATGTACAGCTGAAAGTCGCAATAGTGAAATGATGACATATATTCCTCCACCTTGGGAAATAATATTAAGTTTCCGCTCTTCTAATTCGTGGATTTCTAATAAAGCAAAAGCAGATGCAGGTTTATTACAGAAAAATATTTATAATACTGTGTCTGATTTCTTATCGCGCAATAATTTTGATTCTAATTTTGAACCACTAAAGAAAAAATTGTTGAAAATAATTTCAAATACGGGTTATGATTTTCGTGTAATTGTTAAAGATAAATCAACAAATAGAAAAAGATTTGTTTTACAATTTCCAAAAATTTCACTATCTAGTAGAAATTACTATAGAAAAGATGCGGAAATTAAAATTAATTCCATGGCTTCATTTAAATTTAATACAACGATCACTAATATTATTGATAAAAAAATATTTAATATGGAACAAATTCAGACCGGTATTAAATCAATTCTTGAGGAATATATTAAAAATGGAAAACATAATATTGAATTACTCCAGAAAGAAATTAGTGCTGCCATTTCAACAGCTACCGCTGACATTGAAGTTAACGTTACTCTTGATATAAAAGGCAAATTATATCCATTTATTGTCAAACACAATGGAAGTAAACTAAATAAGGTAAAATTTAATTTTAATCATTTTCATTAATTTATTTCAAATTTTTTTATTTTAAAATACGCGCATTATTGAAATATTGTATTAAAATAATATAGTTTTTTAAAAAAATTTACTTCATTGGGGTAATTATATCCACAAAAACACTATTTATTTTACTTAAAAAGTCATTAGAATTCAAAAAAAGAAATTATTTTAATTATTGTAACAACGGCGGCATTTAAAAATTGAAATTAACTTTAACAAAGTGTAAATCCATCTGCAATTGCATCTCCGATTTTTTTTGAGATTTTTTTTCTTTTAGTACTAATTACACCGAAAAAAAAATCCTCTTGTTTCAAAAAGATTCCTCTTATTTCAATGCATATTTTCCTCTAGTATATATACTGCAAAAGGATGTCCTCTAGGTTTAAGAGGATTGTCCTTTATGTAAAATTATTCCTCTTAATTTAAGAGGATACTCTTATTTTAAAAGGAAAATATCATCTTAAAAAGAATTCTGAAATAATAAAAATGCAATCATCTAATTTGTATATCATAGATATAATCTATAAAATTAAAAGGAATAAAATTTGTTATTCCATGATTTACATCTATTTGAGTATAAATAAATTGAAATTGATTTTAATTTTTTTTTTTGAATAAATCAACTAAATCTATTTTTAATAATATTTTTATGCGGAAAATATATAATTCATTAAATTTGAAAATTTATTTTAAATAAATTTTCAAATAATATTAAAATAAATAAAAATCGTAATAAAATAAGTTTTTAAATAGCATAACTTCAAAATTAATTAAATTTTCTTAAAAATTACTTTTAAAAATTTTTTTTTACCTTCAAAAATAGGCACGTATTGTGTAAGTTGCAACTCTATCAAGATATTTAAAAGATTATTATCCATTTTGGTTAATACCCCTTTTTTCACACAGAAATTAAAACTTTTTTACGCATGATATGCGATTTATGACGCGACGTAAATGATATGACGCAATCATCTTTGCGCATGAGCGACTTTTTATGGGAAATCCTCTTAGAATTTAGAGGAATATTCTTAAACATAGAAGATTATTCTAAATTCTAAGAGTATAATTTTTATTCTAAAAAGATTATTCTGAATATAAGAGGAATTCTCTAGAATATATTCCTTTTGTTTCGATTCTCTTGAAATTAGAGGAAAATATTCTCATTTAAAAAGTAATACTCTTGTTTTAAGAATAAAATTCAAGAGGATTCTGTAAGAGGAATTTTCCTCTGAATACAAGAATATTTTTTTTCGGTGTTGAAATTAGCTTTCATAAATTTTTTCAAATTTTTTAACAAGCCTTTCGAGATATGAGTTTTTCCAAATTTACGAAATTTAATGACTTTTAATTTTTGAATGCTCATAACTTCCTTACAATTGCATCAATTTTAAAAGTTTTTTTAAGGGTATATGGGCAAAGGACGTTTTTTGGTGGTTTGAAACTTTTTCTGAAATAAAAAATGATTTCGCGGGTTAAAATTTTGAAGAAATGATTTTGTTTGGTACAAGGAATCTCGCTGTTCTACTCATTTACCATAACTTAACGCAAAAATAATAAAAAATAAAGCAATATAAATAGTAAAATAATGTATTTAATCATAGTTCATTCAGCGGACAAAAATTCTAATTGGCGCTCTTTACTGAAGCACTGACACACTCAAACAAGGTCTGTGTATGCGCCGCCATCTTTGTTTTCATTTTCGTTTTACAATGCCACTTTTTAAACTTTATTTTATAATAATTTTACTCAAAATTATATATTTTTCAGAGAACATCGAGTTTCCTTGTACCCTAATCTATCATCCCTCAAAATTTTAGACAAAAATCTTTTCTCATTTTAGAGTGAAATGTATACTACCAAAACACATTTTCCCCTACTAGGTCACGTGGGAGGTTTCCACATACCCTTAAATATGTGTGTTTTTAAACGTACTTTTCTGTTCCACCTAGTTCGATTGTCGGCAAACGATTTTTTCAATATTTTCGGAATTTTTAAAAAATGGGTCAATCCATTATATTTCGACTGAAGTCGTCGCTGACTAATTTTTAAAAATTATAATACTTTGCAGGAATGATTTTGAAGTTATCAAGATCACGAAATGAAAAGAATTTTATTAAAATTTTAATTATTTATTGCAAAATATGAATTTAAAGTTTATGAGGTGCTGAAAACTGTCAATTTTTTAGCGATTAGAAAATATGCAAAAAAAAACAGAATTTACCATAAAAATAAAAAAAAATTGTTGTAATTTACTAAGAATGAATAAATTTATCATTATCAATTGATATAATTATTTAAATATGTGAAATAATATATAATATATGATTTTCAAGTTCGCCTGTCAACCTAAATTTGCAAATTTCATCTATTAAATGTGAGAAAGAGAAGTCATTAAATTGAAAAAAACCTTACCAAATATAAAGTACCTGTGACTAACTTTTAGTTTTTCTTAGCACTTTTTTCCTTTTTTCTTTATAAATGTGAAATAAAAAGCAATAAAAATTGGCACTTTGCTTATTTTCACTATTTTCAAATGTAAATAACTTTCTTGGAGAAAACTGAAAAATTACAAAACTTGGGCAATATCTAATTGATCACTAAATACACACACTGGAAAAAAAATCGCTTAGGTCCCGAAGATACTTTTTGAGATAATTAAGTTTAAACTTTTCACAATTTTTATCAGGTTAATACATGTAGTTTTTTAAGGACGAAGTTAGGTTGTATTGGTTAAACATTTTGAACTAACTTCAATTTTATAAAAATCACATGCATTAACCTGATAAAAATTGTGAAAAATTTAAACATAATTATCTCAAAAAGTATCTTCGGGACCAAAGCGAATTTTTTTCCAGTGTGTGTATTTAGTGATCAATTAGATATTGCCCAAGTTTTGTAATTTTTCAGTTTTCTCCAAGAAAGTTATTTACATTTGAAAATAGTGAAAATAAGCAAAGTGCCAATTTTTATTGCTTTTTATTTCACATTTATGAAGAAAAAAGGAAAAAAGTGCTAAGAAAAACTAAAAGTTAGTCACAGGTACTTTATATTTGGTAAGGTTTTTTTCAATTTAATGACTTCTCTTTCTCACATTTTATAGATGAAATTTGCAAATTTAGGTTATTTGACAGGCGAACTTGAAAATCATATTTTATATTTTATTTCACATATTTAAATAATTACATCAATTGATAATGATAAATTTATTCATTCTTAGTAAATTACAAAAAAAAAATTTTATTTTTATGGTAAATTCTACGTATTTTTGCATATTTTCTAATGGCTAAAAAATTGACAGTTTTCAGCACCTCATAAACTTTAAATTCATATTTTGCAATAAATAATTAAAATTTTAATAAAATTCTTTTCATTTCGTGATCTTGATAACTTCAAAATCATTCCTTCAAAGTATTATAATTTTTAAAAATTAGTCAGCGACGACTTCATTCGAAATATAATGGATTGACCCAAATGTATTTGAATTTAAAATTTTTTAAAATCATTTTTCGCCTTTTTTTATACTACGTACTTTTATGTATTTTGATGTGTTGTTTACGAAAATCTCGCATTTTTTTTAATTGAAAAATTTCAAACTTAGAAACAACTAAAAATTTGTAAAGTTTCAAAAAATTAAAAAAATAATTTAACTTCAAAAAAGAAAAAAAAATTTAATTTAAATTTAAAAAAAAAAAATTGAAATAATTTGAAAATTTTCATAATATTAAAAAAATGGATTATTTTTATCCTCCCACCAAATAAATAAAGAAATAAATAGACTGAAAATTTTTAAGTTTAAAAAGAACAGAAAATCTTAAAAATTGTATGACTTGAAAAAATTACAAATTTCAGTTTTTGTAAACTATATATATATGCATATTCAAATATTTAAATAATTTATATTTCACTAAAAACACAATATTTATATATATTCATATAATATTGATTAACAATTTTCTTTTCTTATATCAACAGATATAAACAAGGACCAACGTTGATATAAAATTTTAATATCAAATGTGGCAGTTTTGGAAAGCAGAAGAAATATTTTATTTGTAGCTTAATTAAAACGATTGTTTGTGTTTTCATAGTTTATATATATATATATTTTTTGTTTTATTGCTATTATAATTACTTCTATACTGTTAAAAACGTATTCTGAAAAATTGTTTTATTTTTGAATTTTAAGAAATGTTTAATTAAACATGTCATATGTAAATTGATTTCTTTTTGTGAATTAAACATATGACATTATGCTTATATTGTTAATTCTTAGTAATAATATACATATTAAAATTTGCAAAAGAGGTCAGGGTTTTAATTTTATTAAAAAGAAGTTTAATTTTTTAACTTTAAGACAGAAATAATTTCTTTTCCATTAATATTTTTATTGACTTGCACCCCCCTATCCCAAACTTTATAAGTTTGTTTTTTTTAATTTAATTATGAATTGAAGAAAAAAGTATTTAAGATAAATATATTTTACTAGATAAATAATAATTAATAATTTTTACTTTGCTGAATGCTAAAATTCTAGAAGTTTAAATTATTGAAATGTTTATTAATAATATTTTTGAAGGTTAAGTAAAATGAAATGAAGGTTTTTTTCTATTGATAGAATTTTTTTAGTATGGATTTTTATTTACATACTTCTTTATTTATTAGAATTGTAATATATTATTTTATGTAAATATTAATATTTTTATTCTTCGATATTTTTTTTATAATTTATTTATTTTTTTCAATGAATTTGTATTGAATTGAAAATTAATATTATTTTGAAATTTTTGTTCCATTTATTTGTCGATGATTAAATTTTTTATAATATTTAATAATTATTATACGCAAATTTTATTACTTTTAATTTCTATATTACTAAATTTTTATTTATCCATACTAAAAAAAATTCCATCAATAAAAAAAATCCTTCATTCCATTTTACTTAATCTTCAAAAAATATTATTAATAAAAACATTTCAATAATTTAAACTTCTACAATTTTAGCATTCAGCAAAGTAAAAATTATTAATTATTATTTATCTAGTAAAATATACTTATATAAAATACTTTTTTCTTCAATTCATTTATTAAAACAAATCAAAATTATTATAAAATACAATAACCTTTTAACAACATTCGAAAAAAATAAATTATAAAAAATGAAATTCTGTAATATGATAATTCTTGCTTATAAAATTTGGCATAGAAGGGTGCAAGTCATTAATCTAACAAATAATGCACTTAAAAAAAAAAATTCATTTGATTCTAATAATCGGTTATTTGACTATTATCAAAAAAAATATTTATTTCTCTCAAATAATTATTATTTGAGATAATATTTGTTACAAATACAAAAATTATTGGTTTAAATACAGTTTATTTAATTCAAATAAAAATTGTTTGGTTCAAGTAAATATTTATTTGCGATAATAGTCAAATAACCGATTATTAGAATCAAAAATAAATTTTTTTTTTCAGGACATTATTTGTTAGATTAAATAAAGTTATAAAATTATTTTAATGTGTTGATATTACGACGAATTTAAGAAAGATTGTTTTATTAATATTTTTGATTTTCTGAATTCTTTGTTAGATAATAAAGTCATTACAAATGCGTTGACATAACGACGAATTTAAGAAAGACACGAGGGAAAAGTACCAACATTGCTTGATTTTAAATTTGAATATCTATAATCATATATTTGTTCTTTTTCAATGAAAAAAAAAAAAAATTATTATTATTACTATTACGAAATAATTTGATATATTTCTGTTCGTATTTGTCACTGGGATTGATATTTTTGTTCACTATATTATGACTTTCTTGTAAAAGTAAAATATTTATTTATGTTTGTGCACTTGTTCCTTTTTCCTTGAATAAAGGGATCTTTAAAAAAAAACATATTAAATTTTGTTTTCTTTAATCAAATTCACATTCTTGCAATTTACGCATTAAAAATAGTGTAAATATCATGGTATGTATGCTCAGCTGCCATTGATATTAAAGTTTAAGTTTTAGAATTTTCTCTAATTTTTGATACAAAAATATAATTATTATAATTAATATAATAAATAGCATCAGTATTATTTATTTTTCGAAATATTTTAATTTTATAATATATAGGCAATAGTGAACCTAATTTTTTTTTCTTTCATTAATTTAATATTTATTGTCAATAATAATGAGTTGAGAATCTCGTTAAAATATGAATTAAATTTTTTATTCATCTTGTCAACTTTATTGTAAAATTTTTTGAATATTTTCAGAATTGTAATTTCTTATTCGACGCGATACTATTATCCAAAACACAAATTTACCATAAAAATAATTAAAATATATAATTTCATTTATTATGAGAATGCAATAAACATTTTATGTAATTATAAAAATTGCAATAGATCGTTACTGAAAAATTATATACCTATATATATTTGTCTACAGTTGTACAATCATTAATATATTTATTGTCATTTAAAAATTAAGAATATTTTTTACTTAAATTACGTTTTTCATTTAAAGTATAAGCCTTTTTTATGCAATCACGTGTATCTAAATATTGAAAGAAACATGCATAATTTTTAAAAAGATTGATTAAATTAAAACTAAGTTTTAGAAATTTAATAATAAAGAAAAAAAAATTAATAATTCATTAAAGACGTAGTACGAAATTATCTTTTAGGATCTTATTATATTTGATCTAAATTCGATATGATATGGTGGGGGTTTTGTTATTTAAAGTTTAAATAATTATCAGTGACAAACAGTAAAAATATATTTTTCATCATGAAAACATTTACATCAATTTGTCTTTTAGCCTTTTTCGTGGCATATTCTTCTGGTATGTAAATAATTTTTAAAATAATTATTATTATAATCACTGATTGTTGTTATTCTATCTTATATCGTCCATGACCCTGTTTTAGTCATTGTAAAGTCGTGCTTTTTTATTGACAATAAAGAAAAATTTATGTAAAATATTTTTTATGTTAATTCAAGGGTAGGTTATAACCATATTTTCAACTACACGAGGAAATTATTTTATATATACCCTCACAGCATCGAAAATTTCCTAAAGATTTTCTAAAGATTTCTTAAAGATTTATTTAAAATGTTTTTGAATATTTAATTGCAATATTTAGTGAAAATTGTGTAAAGATTTAAATGTCCCACTTGAATAAATGTTCAGGAAAGTTTCACAAAGCTTCACACTAAACATTTATATAATCGGGACATTTAAATCTTTACACAATTTTTACTAAACATTGCAATTAAATATTCCGAACATTTCAAATAAATCTTTAGGAAAGTTTTGCTGCTGTAAGGGTAGTAACATTTTGCAAGAAATTTTGTGTAATTGCAGTTTAATATTTTTTATCCTTTAATAGGAATGTTGGAATCAGCTGCTTTTATCAAAATTTCACCAACACATTTTATTAACATACCCTTTATACTATTGCCGTTAGATCTGATTTTAAAAATATTTCAAACTCACCGTTTTGCCTCGCTCCTCGTTCTGTCACATATGTCAATTCCTTTATTTTATTTATAATTTTTCTCTAGGACAATTAATTGGAAGTTCTTCAAGTTCTTCCAGTTCTTCTAGTTCAAGTTCATCAGGTGGAAAATCTAAAAGTATTACTAAAACTCAGACCACGGGAACTGGAGAAGCTGACGCTAAAGCTGGTGCTAATTCTGGCGGAGATGTTCCTATGCCAAGTAAAAATTTCTTAATGTTTAATAATTTAATTACTGTATTTTAATTTATTTAATTATTTAATGTTAGGGGTAAACGGTACAGTGATTGCCAGTATAAGTAAAAAGGGGATATATTTATACAAATTACAAATGTTTAATTATCGAAATGAGAAATGAAACCATTTGTAAAGGAATTAAAATATTCCATTAATCTAAAAATAATAATGAATTGTTTATTTAATATTAGTATAAATTAAAAAAAAAATAAAAAAATCTTCACATGACAGAAAAAATAGTGATTGTCATTATTTTTACAGTGATTGACCATCAATTTTACAATGATTGCTCACTAGACATAAAATAGTAATGTAAATTATAAATTTTACATAATTTATTAAAGAATGAATATAATTTGAAATTAATAAAGAAGAAGTAATTTTTAAAATAATTTTCTTTTATTAACAATAATAAGATTCATTAAATATGACTTTTAAATGTAAATAATACTATTAACCTAAAAAATTGGGAAAATTATCGAATCTGACTCAATTGTAAAAATAAAAATTATTTTTGGCTATTTTGATTTGATATAATGATTACATGATTTTGAAGTTAAAGAACTTAAAGAACTTAAAGAAGCATATACGAAACACCTTTTTTTACCTTCGGCATTTTTTCGATAGCCTAAAATCATACTTCATATTAAAAAATTGTTAATAAAATATTACAAATCATTCTAATACATGCTGCGGCTCTAATTACATCTTTATTTTAAAAAATTAATTCACCAAATATGAAAAAACGTCCAAAAATTAAAAATACTTATCTCAAAAAAGTCTTGAAAATAAACGGTTAATCACTGAAAAATGACATAATAACCAAAAATTAAACATTGCCCGGGGAGGGCAATGACTGTTATTTGTTATTAATTGCAAGATAGTAGTTGTTCTCTATAATTTTCGGTAAATCGAGTCAAATTACGTTAAAACAAATTTTTTTACTTATTATTAAACTTATTTTCATGCATATAATTAAAAAATAATAATGATATGTATAATTTTTTCGTTAAAAAGTCAAAGAATGTATCACCACTAACCTTGCAAATTTACAACTAAATTGACAAAATTTCAAAGAGCTAAGGACACTGTTCTCGAAAAGCGCTATTATTTTCATAATAGTGAGTCGAAGAATAAAAATCTTTTTACACTATTAGCAGAATATTCTGTAGAATTTATATAAATAAATAAAACAAAATATTATATGTAAATTTCGTTATTATTTCTGTTTGTAATGTAATGGTGGCAATCACTGTGAGGGGGGCAACAACTGTACCGCTTACCCCTATAAATTATTTTTAATAATTTCACAATTTGTGACTAGAATACTTTTTATTAATTTTTATCCTGCTATAGGATAAATTATAAACTTTATAAATTGTTTAGGTACTGCAACTGTAATTGACAATCGTGCAACATACCGTCCAAATTCACAAAATAGACGTTATCCATGGGGATATTATCCACAACCACCAACTTATGTAAGATATCCACAACCAAATGGTGGTTATTATCCACCACCAAATAGAGGTTATTATCCGCTACCAAATGGAGGATTTACTGCTTATATTCCAGGTTGTGCATCTCCAGCAAAATGCTATCCACAACAACCTTATCAAGCACCACAATATGGTAATTTTTAATTTTTATACTATCACTAAATATTTTAATTAAATTACAGACACTGGAATATATTTGAAGAATAGTATTCTAAATTTAAAATTAAGATATACAGACACATTTTTAAATAAGAACAGTATTTTTTTAAGATAAGAAATATTTCTCAATTTAGAAATTTTTCTTTATTTAAAAAATATTGTATTCTAAATTCGTACATTGAAGAACAAAAACAAGAAAAAAATATAAAAATAATTTTTGCTTTACAGATCCAAGAATTGCTCCTGCAGGAGTTCAGCAAGCCTACTATGCTTCTCCATCGGCCACCATACCTTTGTAAGATTTAAAAAATATAACATTCATTTAGATTTTCCATTAATTTTATTATTATTATTATTTTTTTCTATATTTAATGTATTAATTATAATGAATTAATTAATAATAATTAATTATAATTAAATACAATATATAATATAATAAATATTATTTAATAGTTAAAGTTCCGGATCTTAAAAGGGCACACGCTCAAATTTGCATCACAAGTTTTGGTCTCTGGTGTTAAAATTTTGAATTTGTTCAATATCAAATTTTAAAATTTGATTTTTATAGTTGGAATTTAATATTGAAAGTTTCAAAATTTTAACACCAGAGGCCAAAACTTGTGATGCAAATTCGAGCGTGTGCCTTTTTAAGATCCGGAGTCACAATTAATTAAAGTTTAAGGACTTAGTAAAACTAGTTGAACTCAATCTAAAATATTTTTTACTTATTTTTGATTATTATTAATCTAATTAATTAATTAATCTATTTTTGTTTGTTTACAGCTACAGCTCTCGACTTTCTGATGATGGAAGTGCAAGTATTGGAGTAGGCATAAGTTCACCAAATGCTAAAGGTAGTTTTAGTTACAGTTCTTCTTCAAGTGATGGTCAATCTAGTGAAATGAAAACAACAGTAGGAGTTAATCACTAAAAAGATTTTATAATTAATGATGAATATATTTATAATATTTATATAATATATTATTAATCTACTGTAATTTATAATGTGAGAAATAAATCTACGAATAAAATGTAATTTAATACAATAATAGAAGTTTAAAATTTTCTTCCATATCAATAAATTGAGTCGCTGAATCGTAGAAGTGCACATCAATTTATTACAACTGATTTATTTAAAATTGACTTATTTTCAAACGATTTTAATTTTTCGTAAATGGGTTAAAAAAATCATTTAAAATTAAGAAATAATTCTTTTAAAAACTATTGTACAATTTTAATTTGATTAATAATTATTTTCAAAAATAAATATTTTAAAGCAGTTAAAATATTTCTTGACAATTTTGCAATGTATTGTGTGAATAAGCTTAAAATCTGTTGTTCTAATTAAAAATGTTCATTTCTTCCGGGTTAAGACTTTCGAGGTATTTCCCAAATGTTATCTTTTAAATTTAAAAAATTAAATTTTTTTTCAAAAATTCGGACTTCATGTGAAAGTAGTTGTAACGATAGAGTATCGTAGTATAGTGGCGCGGCGAAAAGAAAGAAAGTAGACAGCGTAAGTAGTAATGTCACTCTCTTCCCCCACCACTCGCTGTCACCTAGCTGCTAGTGATATACCTTTCGTCTCGCACCTTTTTCTCAGTCTCCTGCCGACTCGTCTGGTCCGGTCAACTCCGTTGAATGAAAATGGCAACATTCAGCGCCTCTACAACCAATGTAGCAACTAATTTTTACTCAGCTTGTATTTCTATATCTATTGTTTGTATATAGATATACAAGCTGAGTAAAATTTAGTTGCTATGTTGGTTGTAGAGGCGCTGAATGTTGCCATTTCTATTCAATGGAGTTAACCGGGCCTGCGACTCGTCTAGAGGTGCTTCTCTGACGATTGGAAGCGACTCACTCCTGGCTACCTAGTGCTCAGTAGAGGTGCTCAGGCCTTGCTCACTTTCTAGAAGGAGCTGTACTTGTTCCTGTAGGCGCTCCTGCGAAACAGTAACACCCTTCGCCTTCCTTCCTCCTGGTGAACCGGACTTCCTATGGGCGCTTCCGTGGAAGACTGGTGTACCAGGTTACCCACTCACTTCCACCAGGACCGTCCTTGTCGTGTAGAGTCGCTCCTCTCTTGACAAAGATGATTCACTAGCTCGATTCCCCATCTCGAGGCGCTTCTCGGATGGAGGAGACACCTAGTGAATATTACTTTGCACTAGCTTCGCGTCGGATATGAATATTGGAACCGAATCCAATATCTAGTTTCATCCCGAATACGAATAATAATCGACCTAGCGTGCACGACCCTAGTATCCGTCCGTACCATCGTCTAGGGGGTAAATTCTAGAAAGTACCCCACGCGAAAGTAATATGCGTCGTCCTGATCAACATCTTCGCGAACGTGGTAAATATGTTTAAATCCGTTTTATTCTGGATTAATGACGAGCGCGATAGGAGCTCAGCGAATGCTCTTCTGGAATAGCTAGTTCTTTCATCGTTATGTTTTCTAGAGATTAGTATTTTATTTGCATTGTATAGATTCTTTCATTCTTATATTATTTTATGTAATAATTCATTTTTGTATATTTTATTATTCTTTTATTTAAACAATATATTCTCCTTCGAAGGTTTAAATAAAGACTCGTCAATGACTACACCTCTCCTCTACATCATAATAAGAAATAGTTCCGAAATTAATCGAAACATAGATGGCGCTTCACGCCATCTACCGAGATTTAAAGTAACTAGTCAAAATAGGTACCCGGACTCCATCCGGCGAGCAAATCCTTTGGCAATAAAAGTCAGATCATTGCATAGTTTAAAACCTATTGGTTTAATTTAATTTCATCTCGTGATGTTGTAAACGTACACAATTTTAATAAAAGCCTAATAACATACATTTTTTAAGATAATAGACAATTTTAATATTTCCTTTTGAATTTTAGATGACACTGTTAATTGTTAATCTGCTGTAATATACTTGTTGAATTTTGATTTTTCTGTTTCTTCAACGATGACCTAAACATTTAATTTAAAGTTAATGAAATAAACTAAAGAATATAATATTCATATTTTTGGAGATTATAATGTTAAATTCAATAAATTCTCACCTTCTTTGAATCAAATGATTCCTTTGATATCTCTGATATTTTGTAAAAAATAGACGCAATGTATCCACTTAGTCCAAATATTTTATCCATTTGTCTCATAATACAAGGAATAGATAAGAAAGGTATATATTTCTCGTTTTCAGTTGTACTACATTTTTTAACTCCTACTGTAACTGGTCCCAAAAGAATCAAAAGTCCTGGAAATTTTTCTTTTGATTTTTCTTGAAATATTTTCGTCAAGTTTATTTCTCTTAACAAAACATCATCAATATTTTCCCCATTATCTTTACATGACGAGAAAACAATAAATCTTCGTAAATTAGAACATAGTTGCTGAGATTTTTCAAATGCATATTTTGTAAATAAGTATTTTGAACTGCTTGATCTTTTAGATAAGATTTCAATGCGCTGAAGATCAAAAATGACATCTATTGTGCCAAGTCTATGAGCATCTTTAATAAGTTCAGTGATAGTGTCTTGATCGGAAAAATTCAATTCATCACGAACTACCATCGAAACTCCATTTGACCTCCACAAACTTATTCTTTGATTGCTGTAAACTCTTGTACTCTTTGACTCAGAAAATATAATAATTTTTTTAGCACCTCTATTAACTAAAAAGTCAACTAATTCTAGTCCAAAGTCGCTTAATCCTTCAATAATTAAATAAGATCCTTCACTTTCACATATAAAACGAGATATTGCTAAGGCTTTGTTACTTCCATCATCTGGTTGTATTTTGACAACAATCTAAAAATTGAAAAAAAAAACAAATTACTGGAATATTATGGAAAATTTTCTTCATTGTACTTCTTTAGACAAAAATAAAGAGGAAAAGAAATATTTATAAATTTACATTTTCAAAGTAAGATTTTGAAGCTCCGTCAATAAAAGCTTCCTTTAACATTTCTCTTGAGTAGACACGTTTAGAAAGTGGCTTTACAATTCCTTTTTCAATTCCATTTACCATCATTTGCGATAACTTTTCTTTTGTTGTCTGATCGAGATTTATTAAATTCGTTGGAATTATTGCGGTCATTATAACATTTTCACTGAAAAATCGTATACCAACAGATCTATTGAATGTATCGTGTAAATTTCCAATGACAATAAATTTTCCTCCCTTTATCACTAATTGTGAACAATTTTGTATTATACTTAAATCATTTCCATTATATATCACTAACTTCATAGTTTTTATTCCTGTTCGTAATAATAGACGCTCAACGAAACTTCCTTTTGTACTTACAAGATGATTTTCGGGAATATTCGGATAATTGTTTTTTAGAAATTTTTTGCCATTATAATTAGAGTATCCTACGAATATGCGAGATGTAATGTTTAATGCTAAATTAAGAACAGCTTGTCCAATTGAACAACAACCATCGTAAACAAAAATTGTATCCTTGTTTTCTAATTCTCCTTTTATTGAAATAGAATGATAAGCAACAGCATAGGCTAATGGAACAGTTGCAGCATCTTCTAAAGACCAATTATTAGGTATTTTCCACGTGTAATAAGTGTCAGGTGATATAAGATTTGAAAATGATCCATTTGGAGCAATTCCCATAACTCTATTGCCTTTAAAATCAATTCCAGAATATTCTTGACCAAATAATTTCGTTTCAAGTCTACGTTTTCCCATGTCTTCTGAAGCTAGTTGTGCATTTGCTAAGAAAATATCTTGTTGAGTAACTGTTGAGTATTCCACTTTGATTGTGTTTCTATCATTTTTAGCTAATCCTTCAACCCATGAGATTGATTCAAGATCAGAACAATTTTGCTGTCTTGCTATCCAATTAGAGGCATGTTGAAGATTTGAAGAAATTGGAAAATGTTGATACATACTCCAAATTCTATCAGGTAAAAGAATATTCAATTTCATATTGAGATCCATATGATCACGGAAGAAAGAATCATCTAAGGAGAATTTAGAAATTTTTGGATCTTGAATATCAACAATTTGAATTTTATTTATTTTTCCTTCTTTACGTACAACTTCAAGGATTTTTGACAGATTAGAACATTCTTTGGATCTGATTGCAATAATGAGCCTATCACAACATTCTGAATTGAGTCTTGTTTTAAGTTGATTCGACCAATCTTGATTATCATTAATGTCTAAAATACTCGTTTTTTTGGCTGTTTGTATTCGACGAAACAGCAATGCAACTTGATTGTTGGAAAAATATTTTCTTACAACAAGACCTAATTCTGCAGAACTTGCTATTTTCAAAATTGCACTTTCATTCTCATGGTCCGTTAAAATTAATATAAATAATTCGTCTAATGTGAAATTTAAGACATCCTTTAGAATGTGTTTTTCAATATTAAATAGCACCAAAAGTGCAATGTCACTTGATTTATTCATCAATATCCGAGAGGAAGAAACTACATCGATTTTAAACTTTTTAATTTTTAAATTATATTCAAGAACGTTTTGTAAGACTTGCTTTATGTTTTCAATATTATCAGTTTTATTGTCGACAAAACGAATTAAATTTGATTTTTCTGAATTCTCGTTTAGAAATTGAAGTATTATTTTAAAAATCTCGAATAAATTAGATGATGCCCCATCCGTACAAGGAACAATATGCAGTTGTTCAGTGAATACATTATTTTCCGTAGAATGATGAAAAATAGATTTAAGTACAATTTCTTCCATATGTATACCGCCTGCACTCATAGTTTTTATTCCCTTATAAACTGTTACAGGAATTTCTAAATGTAAAAATATAGCAATTATTATTTTATAAGAGTCTTATTAGTCTTATTATAAAGGGAATAAAACTAAATTAAAAATTGAATATTATATTTACCTCTTGACTTGATTAGAGTTTCTTTTTGAAGTTTCATGTTAATTACAATTTTTCTAATTGTAATTGGCATTTGTGCTATTTTAATATCATTTCCTAGTATATACATTTGAATCATTCCTTCCAAAAATGTTGTCCAATCATTTTCCCATATCAAAGTTCCAGTGGATGCATCAGCTGATGCTTTATAAATTGTTTTAAATGGATCTGAGTATTGTAAGCCTCGAATCTGTAGTTTAGTATAAACATCATCTTTACTTAGATTCTGATAATTACATTCATCATTTTTAGGAACTTTACTGCATTCCTCCTCTGGAGTATCAGTTGCTTGTATAATTCCAGAGCATAATAAAGTCTTGTTATTGCTTACTTCAAAGCAGCCAGTAGCTGGAAATAGTAAGAAAGCATACAAATTTAGATATCCATAAAATTGTTTTAGAAAATATATGTTGAATACCTTTTAGTACCATTACCACTAATGTGATATTTTCGTCTTCTGTGATTTCGACTTGATGCTTATGAATCTTTACATCGTGATAAACTACTGACATTTCAGAATTATTTTTTAATAATTTAAAAACTTCCCAAACAAGATGTAAATAAAAAGAAGTATGCATAACTATTTTGTCATCAATTCTGGCATGTTTTAAATACTTCCATTCTTCTTCCTTTAGATTTATTATAAAATTAATCTCTCCAGCTTGAAGGTCCTTCCGTTGTTTATAAACATCATTATACCTATTGATGGGAATGTTACTTATTACTACAATTTTTTACACTTAAGTTTCTAAAAAGTTTTTACCATTTTTCTGAATGATCCCATCGGATTAAAGATGAAATTGATCGTGTCCCTTTTGATACTGGATAACTAACCTTTGGATAAAGATTAGATACATTGATATTGCAGCCAGCATTGTATATTTTTCCTAAAGCATCAAAGAGGAATGAAATATTGTCAGGATGATTCCTATTAGTTAATGGTATATTAATGACATTTTCTGGTAATGATTTTCTAACAATTGCTTGCAGAAGACCATGGGGTGCTATTTCTATAACAATTGCACTGGGTGGAATACATTTTGCAGCTTCGGCAAACAACACAGAACTTAAAAGATTATTTGTGTGATATTCTGCTGATGATAATCGAGCCCTAGCAGAATTCCACTCATTGCATGGAACTGAACTGCTTATCCAACGCTGACTTCGAATTTTTGGATTAGGTATCACTAGTTGAAGGTATTTTCTTAATTTTTCACCTGCCGGTGCAATGTATCGACTATGGTATGCAATATTACTAACGGCTACTTCTTTAGCAAAAATATTCTTCTCCTTTAAAACAGATTATGTTTCTTTAAATCTTTAAAAATTTGGTTTAGACAATGTGATACAAAAATTAAGTGATAATTTTATTTACTATCAAATGTGCAACAAATGCTTTCATGGAATCTGCGGGACCACTAATGGTAGAGCTATACTCGCTGTTATGGCAAGCTACGTCAATATCAGGTGGACAAAGCTTTTTAATTTCTTCATATCCAAGACCAACTGCTGCCATGCAACCTTTAGGCATTTCTGTTTCTACGGATGCTAATCCTCTATAGAAGGCAGAAAGTATCATTTCTTCTGCTGAGAAACATTTATCAGCATAGGCACAACCTAATTCTCCGACTGAATGTCCAATTAAAAAATCTGGTTTTAGACCGATTGCACTTAAGATATCTATTAAGCCAATCTGAAAAAGTATTTTTATACCTTATAAAATAAAAGTTAAATCTAAATCATTATTCAATTTTACATTTATGGGAATGATAATGTCTGTCAATTTTTTTGGCATCTCTAAACACTTTAATCTTGACATCAGTTTCTTATTATATATTAGAGAGTAAAAATTTACGATCACGCAGAACATTTCTATTTACCTGAATGGCTGCAATTCCAACAAAAGAATTGATAATGTTATCAAACATTTTTGAATTCTCCTCTGTAATAATGCGCACAATATCGATACCATGAGGTTGTAAGACTCTATTACATTTACTTATGGCTTCCGCAAAAATAGGTATGTGCAATAAATCTTTTCCTGTTACACAAATTATACGATTCAGTATAAACAATTCGAATTTTGTTAAATTATTGCGAAACTTACCCATTCCCATCCATTGAGAGCCCATGCCAGAAAACATGTACCAAATTTCTCTCTTAACACCCGTATTAAATTGAATCTCTCTGATTTTACTTTTTGGTAATCCTTTAGAAGGAAGCAGTGTATATCCTCGATACAAATGAGCGGGAATCTCTGTGTCAAATATGTCGTACATTAGCTGTAGCATTTCTACATCAACAGGTCTGCTTTCTAGCTGTAAAATTTATTGAATTATCATATTTTGAAGAATTTTACTAGCTCAAGTCTCACTAAAAAGCTTAAGGTTTACATTATTACAAAAAAAAATTTTTCTAATTTTTGAAGGAAATTAATCAAATTAGATATTGTTTATTTAAAAATTTGTACTATGTGGACTGTTTTGTGAACACGAAAAATTTTAATCCAATTTGGTGTTTTACAATTTTTTATGAATATTTCGAATTTATTGATATAAATTGTCTAACATATAGTGATTAAATTTATTTCCGATGCAGTAATTAATTTCCTTCTGTGAAAATATATATTTTTAATATTAACTTCGGTTAGCATGAAGTCTACAGCTTTTTCAGTGCATCCAGAAATTGTAACTAATCGTGGAAAATTATCGTTTGGTATTCCTCCATTTTTCTTTTCTTTTTTGTATTCTTTTAAAATAACATTAGCAGTAGAACCAGTAAGACCAAGACTATTAACGACTGCATAGTCTCCAGTCCAAGGAATTAATTCCGTTACAACTTTACACCGGCCTTCTATTAGAGCTGGAATTCTATCAGAAGATTGTTTAAAATGAAGGTTTGGAGGAATATATCCTAACTCCATTGCTGTAATTACCTATGAAATTCAATTTTATTTGAACAGTGTGTTTAAAGAAATATTAAGGGCATAAAAATTTCTGTTTTGAAATGAAAAATATGAATTAACATTAGAGGAATTTGAAGAAGTAGTTGTTTTTAAATAAGCATAATAAATTTAAAAACCTTAATGATTCCATTGAGTGGATTGGCTGCTGAACATGATCCAAGGTTCGATTTGACAGATCCAATAAGAAGAGGTGATGTACGTCTTTCATTGTAGACTTCATCAATGGCTTGCACTTCTTCAGCATCAACATCTTTTATGCCTGAACCATCGGCTTCTACATATGAAATATCATTTCCTTTGAGACCACAATCTGCCAAGACCGTTTTCATAAGGTTAGCTTGAAAATTGTGGGTCGGATAGAAAAACGAATGCTTATCATTGACAGTCCCATAACTCATACGAGCATTTTTTATTTCTGCATAAATGCGTTTTGCGTTACGAGCTTTTTGAAGAAAAAGGACTACAATCCCTTCACTGCGAGTATAACCATCTGCTGCATTATCGAATGATTTTGTTATTCCATCGGGTGATAAAAGTCCTACAATAAAACATATTTTTTTAACAACCATGAATTTACGATGTAATAAGCAAACATATTTTTAATGTATATTCACAAGACTAGGACTATGATATTAAATAAAATATTTACCCAACAAAAACATTTGTAAAGACATTTGTGGTTGCAGAACAATATTTGTAGCACCAACAATAGCATTTTCAACTCGTCCATCTTTTATTGCTCTATATCCTTCCTGTAAAGCAGTAGCACCACCACAACAACTAGAATCGATGTTCATACTTGGTCCTGAAAAGTCGAAGAAAAATGAAATACGATTTGCCAACATAGTACGACTGGCACCCTGCAGACCGAAGTAATTTTGCTAAAAAAATACAAAAACAATATTAAAAACATATTGATTCAAATACAATAAATTTAAAAATTGTAAAATCTTACCTCTTTTCTATCAAAGAGGAAACCTTTTTCCGAATCTACAAATGTACTCCCAGTAAAAACTGCACATTTACTTCCTTTTAATTTTCTTGGATTAATTCCAGAATCTACAATTGCTTCATATGTAGTTTCCATTATTTTTCTATAAATTGGATCCAAATAATTAACCAATTTTCCATGAATTCCAAAAAATACAGAGTCAAATGTATCTATATGTTTTATAATTCCGATTCGTTGTGGAATTTGAGGGTGCTCTGTAAATTATAAATTTAGAAATGATTATAAAATTATAGACAAATGATAATTATGTAAATAAAATTTAGTAACATTTTAGCAGTGAATTCAAATGAAATATTCAGCAAAATGTTTAAAAAATATCAGCGGACTACTTTCTGAAAAATATCTGCAGATATTATTTTATTATTAAATAGATTTTGATAATACATAAACATATTTCATACCATAATCCCAACGAGCTTTACTGTTAGTAAAGCAATCCGTTTTATTAAAAAGATTCTTCTGCAATTCCTCGATATTTTCACAATTTGGGAACTTTCCTGATATACCCGATATCACTATTTCATCTCCCGTCATTTTTGTATCCATTCTAAATTATTATTATCGTCTATATGTGATTTATTAAATCGGATGGTTTATACAGAAATAATCTAATTTTTCGCCTAATTTAATTAATATGGTTTTAACATAACTTTTGATTGATATAGGAGACATTTCATATGAGACGAGGGGGAATTTACTCTGGTAGTCAAGTGTACACTTGCCTGGTAATACTCGGTAATAGATGTAATATCTGTAATATTTTGTAATGTCTTGTAATAATAAGTATTATTGTGTAATACCATGTAATACTGTGTAATACTTGTAATATTGTGGTATTATGGTGTAATACCTTAAAAAATTTAAAGAAAATCAAACCAAAACATGTTAATAATAAGTAAAAATTTTAAACACTTTTTTAAATGTAGCGCGGGAGTTGATGCTGAAGTATAGCAACTTTGACATAGGTGGCGGTATAGAATGTTTACAGAATCAAATCAGAAGATGGTTCTTTAGTAATTGGCCGACTTTTAGCTACCTTACCGGAATAAGTAAAAAAATCGACTACAGTAAGGCATCTGCTCCTGTAATTACACCGAAATAAAATGCACGATGCTTAGGTTGTTTGTGTTCGTGGTTTAAGATAGCAAAAAACCAAATATTAAACGTTATAAACATGGATGCTCACGGATATTATAATATAGAAAATTATATTTGTTCAGTTCCTCGTCCAAAGTTAAAAACAAATAAGTTATATTTATCGTGTTCTTTAAAAGAAATTTCAAAACATTTGAAATAGTATTGTTATTTACGTTTTAAAAAAGAGAAATTTATTATTTTCTTTTATAAGTAGGGTAAATGGCACTAATTGCGGCGCGATTCGAGTCAAAACACCTTTGAAATAGAAAATTCGACATTTCTATTGTATAAACTCAATTTAAGACTTATTCAACTAAAAGGTTATGTTATTTAGATGTTAAAAAAAATGTTTAACTTTATAAAAATCGATTATTTAAACAAATATGAGAAATTAAAACTAATACCGTAATTTTCTATTACTGGGCGTTTGTATCAATTTCGGTGACTAAAATTACGTGTATTTTGAAGATACTTTGCGCAACGAAATTGGAGCCAATGGAAGTATTAAAAATTTTTTAATTACGGCGAGGGAAAAAATTTGATCTCAAATAATTTAATTAGTAATTATTTAAATGTGCATCTTCATTAGTAATTGTATCAAAAAAAGATTAAAATAATTTTTTTTAATCATTTTGCAAGTTATATTAAATATAATAGTGATAATAGTTATTTTTTATGAACGCGCCGTAATTGATGCACTTACCCTAATATTTAAAAATATTTAACTATTTATTTCTCTATTTCTTATTTTAAAATTTTGCTCTTAAATAATAATTTTAAGTAATTTTATTGAAAGTTCTACATATAAGAAAGTGCTATTTGACCAGTAATATTTTTTGCTATAAAGGGTAATACTCAGTAATATATGTGTAATACTTTGTAATACAGTAATATTTTGGTAGTAGCACAGAAAATTAAAAGGCATTAAAATAAGTTGCAACGCTTATTATTTTAATCCAATTTTGCTTATTTTAATACCAAAATGGATTAAAATAAGCAAAATTGGATTCAACACCCTAAAAAAAGTAATTTTCAATCTAGAGGATTCCTCTAAAATAAATGCATATTTTCCTCTTAATTTTGGTATCAAAGTTATTATTCTTCATTTAAGAGGATTTTCCTCTTAAATTAAATGTTGACATCCAAACCTCGCAAAATTGTTTTTAATGTCAAAGCCATCAATAAAATATTTATAATTTCAATCAAATAATAAAATCTTTGCAGAAAATACATTTTTAAATTAAAATTAAGTAAAATTATAATAGTTCACTTCAATATAATAATAAAAATTGATTTTTAATATAACATTAACAATGTCATGTTTTTGGTTAATTATCAACATTTTATATTGATAATTAAAATACAAAAAATAAGTTTTCATTAATCAGTTGTAATGATCAAAGAGATTTTCAGCGCAAAAATAATTTTAAAACATGATGATATGTTTAAAAGTTAACATTTTTTATAGGACAGAAAAAAATTTCATATATGAAATTATTTAACGTTTTAAAACTTTTTTAAAAAAATAAATAAAAAGATTTAAAAAATTCGAAAGATTCAAAAATAGGGTTATAGTATTTCTATTTACCTGAGTAGTAAAATTTCACAAGAAATATCCAAATTTTTTTAAATCTAAAAATAGCGTTAAAAATATTCATTTAATTTGAATTTAACTATATTTTCTGTATTTTTAATAAAGCAAATCCATTTTTTTGTCCTTTTTGTTGACATTTTACCAGAAATATTAAAACTGAAAGGTTAAAAAACAACTTCACAACTATCATACCCAGGGAAAGGGATCAAACGATTACATTATTTTTTTCCGTTTCCTTTTTTTAAATCTTCTAAATTTAAAACAGAAAATCTTAATTAAAGAAGAAAATACAAAAGGAATCCTTTTGTCATTCTTCCATTAAAATGAAGAATAAAAATATTCTACATTTCAATTGAATAATCTTGTTTTAAGAGGAAATATTTAGAGGATATTAGAAGAGGAATTTTCCTCTGAATATAAGATTACTTTTTTTTGGGTGAAATAATAAGCGTTGCAGCTTATTTTAATCCCTTTTTATTTTCTGTGAGTATGTAATACTTGTAAAAAGTGTAATACTAAGGTAATAATGGTAATATGTATAGTTGTAGTCAAGTGTACACAATTTTTACTAGTAAATTCCCCCTCGATATGAGAAAATTATTTTTTTTTTAAATATTAATTTTTAAACAATTTGGTTAAAAAATAAAGTTTGTTTATAACTTTTAAACATGTTTTCCCTCATTTAGAAGCGCGAAAAAAATCATGAATATTGTTTAAGTCATAATAAATTGATGGTTAAATTTTTGAGATGGCATTATTCTTTGTTTTCGAGATATTAATTAATTAACTAACAAAAGTTAATAAAAAATGAAATATTTTACGAACAAATAAAATTAAAGTAATTTTAAAAACACCATTAGAATGCATATCAAAATCCGCATTCAACGAGCCCTATATGAACTATTTCTAATAAACGGGTGTTAAATTATTAATTAATAATAAAAATTATTTAAATAATTAATAACATTTGAAGAAATGAATATAAATCGTCAATTCTTTTTTTATTTGGAAGACCATCTAATTCTGTGTCAAAAAAAAGAATATTAAGTATTACCAAGAATCAAAAAATAATTATAAATTGTTATTTAGAAAAAGACTGAAAAATACCATGCCGAGTAGGTAGGCAGCCACCTCCAACTTGTGTCGTAGGGTGCTGAAACCTCAATTTTCAATAATCATCTGTTAATAATTTAGATTTGTTAAAAATGTTATTTATACTGGTTTTATTTAATACAGAATTAGATGATCTTCCAAATAAAAAAAGAATTGACGGTTTATCTTCATTTCTTCAAATGTTATTAATTATTTAAATAAATTTTATTATTAATTATTAATTTAATACCCGCTTATTAGAAATAGTTCATATAGGGCTCGTTGAATGCGGATTTTGATAAGCATGATAATGGTGTTTTTAAAATTACTCTAATTTTATTTGTTCGTAAAATATTTCATTTTTATTAACTTTTGTTAGTTAATTAATTAATATCTGGAAAACAAAAAATAATGCCATCTCAAAAATTTAACCATCAATTTATTATGACTTAAACAATATTCATGATTTTTTTCGCGTTTCTAAATGAGGGAGAACATGGTTAAAAGTTATAAACAAATTTTATTTTTTAAACAAATTGTTTAAAAATTAATATTTTTTTTTTAAATAATTTTTTTCTAAAAATTTAAGATCTTCCGCGTAAAAAACATTCTTAACATTTTTCTCTATTTTTAATAGGAAAAAAGTTATAACTAAAGCAAAAAAATATTGCTCAAATTTGTTATTGTAAATATCTCGAAAAATATTAAAAATTTCAAATTCAAAATTTGTACACTTATTTAGCACCACTATCACTACAATTTACCGAATTCTCATGTGAAATGCCTCATAGACTTTTTAAAATAAAACTAGATTTTGAATTTCACCGTAATTCTAAATTTTTTATTTCTAGATTTATGTATACATTCGATATAAGAAGGAAAGATGTAAAATAACTGTCTTTATATATTTACAGACCAAATAGAATTATGCATTTAAACATAATGTATTAATGACTTAATTTATTAGCCCATATTTAAATGAAATGGACATAATTATAACTTCTGGTAATTTATTTTTTTTAATTCGCGTTGTTTACTGGGTCAAAGTTTGAATACATTCTTATAAGTGATATTTTTAAAAAAGTATAATAAATTTACATTATTGAACCTCGATAATATTGTATGGAAATCAAAGTTCAAAACTGTTTTTTAGAAAACCATTTAGAAATTTTTGAAATCTGCAAAAATTTTAAAATTTTAACATATAATTAATGCATTCTGATAAACATGTATACCTACATAAAATTGATTTTTATAAATTATACAAGGAGTAAAAACTTATTGAGTGAATTATATTGTCTTAGGTTTTAAATTATTTAAATATGCGACCTTGAAATTTAAAAGGGACCTGTGATGCGAAAACAAATTTTCGAGAAAACAGTTGTTAAAGTTAACAAGTCCAATATATTGATACTCTTTTGCGTTAATATGACTTGAAACTCATTACTCGTAGGTTCTTTGGGGTAGGCTGATTAAAAGTTTTGAAATTATGATTTCAAATTCTTATAATTAACGACCCTAAAAAAACTCGAGAGTTTCAAGCAAATTAAATTTTTCTAAAAATTCATCCGCTATAATTTGATAATCTAACTCCGGATTCGTATTAGTATTTATTATTTTTTAAATCTTTCTTATTACTCATCTTACTTTCCATTATATAAAATATAAAAATTTATACTAAATTATCAAAGTGTTGTAAAAGAATTCAAAAAAAGTGTTTCTTCTTCAATTAATATTATATACTATTCAAGTCTTTATGTGCCAAATATTAAGATTGAGTAATTGAATTAATTATAAGTGATTACGTCTGAAAATGTCATTTGCAATTCTAATTGTGTGAGTGTGTGTGTGCGGGCATACAAAATAACAGATGTGACCTGAAATGAGAAAACCAACTACCAAAAAAATTGTTTTTTGGATTTTCACATTTTACATAGACTTGGTCTTGGATATGAAAAAAATTAAATTCAAAAATGGTGGATTAAATATGGTGGAACTTTTTGTTAAATTTATCCCATATCGACAGTAACGAATCTCAAGGGAATATGATGAATTAAAAAATAATCTGATTCCAATGTCAGATTCTTAATTAGCGACCTTGAATAACCCCTGAGTACATAGTGATTTTGTTTTATCAATTTCTATTTATTGGCTTCAATAAAGTTACACTTGAAGTGATCACCCAGATAGTACGTAAGCTTGCGCCAAGCTTCAAATGTCCCACCTGACCCAAGCTTATACATAGTAAGCTTACATATAATAAAACTTGCTTCATAAAATGTCTGATGAATTGATGATGGCAGCTAGGTTATGACATCTGAAATTTGTACAAAATCCATTCCTATATGTAATTTAAATAAAATAAAAAAATACTTGGCAATAAGTTTTGTAGTGATTATCTTTTAATTTTTACAGGTTTTTGATTGTTGCATCTATTAAAATACTAAAATTATCACGTGCTACGGCATACGATTAAATATAAATACACAGTGTTTTTTTTTTAATTTACTAGCGCCTCCGACGGCGTTTGGCCGTCTCCGTTGCTTCCATTCTTTGTCTATTCAATTTAATTTTCAATTTATGTTTCATAATTTATTACAATTATTTTATTAAATATTTAATAATATTGTTAACAAAATGCAAAAAGGCAATATGTAATTATATAGAAAAAGTTTCAAACATAAAAATAATAATCTTTTATATTTGTAAAATTTGTTTGAAAATAATAATTATTGTTAAATAATTTTTTTTTAAACTGAAAATATTTTGTTATCAAAGGTAATATTATTTTCATAATAATTTAATTTATTACAATTATTTTATTATAATTTAATAAATTTCATTATTTGAAAAAAGCGCGCGTTATTTTGTCTTGAGCCAATCAGGTGATTTCAACTAAATGTAGGTTATGTTCGTTTCTGATTCATATAACAGCTGCAAACATTTACAACAAATAAATGCTTTGCAAGTGTATATTTATTGTAATTAAGTAAGTTATGCAAAATATATATATGTGGAACAATAATTTAAGATTATTTTCATAAAATTAATATTGATTTAGATCATTTAGATGCTCTGGAAAGCAAAGTTCATTTTTTCTTACTTTCGATTTTTTCGACCATCGAGATATTTCGTTACATTTTCATGTGCTTTCATGCACTGTCTTTTTTAAGAAAGGAGGATTTAATAATGAAATAAATATATTTTTTCAGCTGTAAAATGTTATTTTTCACTGAATATAAAAAAATTATAGTTTTTTATAAGGTTTCATAGTTAAGGGATCTTTAAATGATATTTTTGAGATATTTCGATGATATCCCACACAGCGTCGAAACTTTTCCTAAAAATTTATTAAAGATTTACTTGCAAACTTCGCAGTATTTAATTGCAAAGTTTAGTGAGAATTGTCTAAAAATTTTAATGTCCTACTTAAATAAATGTTTCGCCTAAAAGTTGATTGAAAATTTAAATTAAATTTTCGTGAAAGTTTTGTCGCGAAATTTAGGAACTAAATATTTAAACTGAGATTTCGTGAAAGTTTCATCACGAAATTTGACTAAATATATTGAAATTAAAATTTTGTGATTTCGAAATAAATACAAAAAAATCATATTATATAGAAATAGGACAAATAAAATAAACATTAATTATATAAATATAAACACATTTATTAAACCTGAATTTAAAGGTTCTCAGTTTAAAGAATGATAACACTTAGTACCGACTTAAACACAAAAAGACTTTGGATAATTACCTATATATTGTAAAATACAATTTTTAAGTCAAAATCCAAAATTAAATATCTAATATGTATTGAAATACAAAGTCCACTTTAATCACATATTGAAAGAACATTAATAATATAAATGAAAAATAAATATAAAAAATATACATGACGTTTTTGGGCATTGTGTATGCAGGTGGTTGTTTTATTGAAAAAATTGAAAATAATTATATTATTCTGATTTTGCAAGCAGACACATGCGTTATTGAAAAGTATGAATTATTAATTTACTTTATTTTCATTATGAAATGACGAAAATAATTAGCAAAGTTTAATTTGTTTAAAAGCTTTTTTTTTTTTAAATTTGATACATAAGTGGAAAAATGAGGTATAAAAGATGTTGCCAAACTTTCAAAAAGCACAGAACAGAAGATGAACAGATTTAGAGTATTTTGTTTTTCAGCAATTTTGCTAACGGCTTTTGTAGTTGGTAAGTGAAAAATAATTTATACATTTTATAATTTATATTATCGAATTTTATTATTTAACAAGTTTATTTTAATGAACTTAAAAGATGAAACATCCATAAAAAATTCAGATAAATAAAAATCGCTGAAAATTTTTTTTTATTCTTTTACTGTAAATTTTGTTTTGTAAGTTTAAAATCTAATAATATCAGATTTGGATTCAACAACCAAAAAAATTCACGAGTAACGAATTCTCATCGAATTTAATCAATTTTAAAATTTCCCGCTTCTTTTTGGACGCCATACTGCGTCAGACATTTAAAATTTTTTAATTCTAACATCAAATTTGGATTCCGCTGAATAATATAAATTTCGTGCGAATCCTGTCGAATTAAAAAAATTTTTTGTCGCCATATTGGGTCTTACATTTTGAATTTTGTATATCTTGTGTCAAATTCGGAACAAGCGACCCCTAAAACTTTAGTATACCCACCCTGGGGGTCAATTACGTAACTATTTCCGAATTCCGGATTCTACATTATGGTTTCCTCATTCCAAATCCTACATTTTACATTCCGAATTCCACTTTTCAGATTCCTATTCCGGATTCTACATTTCGGATTCCACATACCGGATTCCACTTTCAAAATTCCGGATCCACTTTTCGTATTTCGGATTCCACTTCAGAATGTGAAATGTGGAATCCGCAAAACGTAATTGCACTTTCCACATTATCCAGATTCGACTTTTCATATTCCCTTTTTCGGATTCCACATCACATATTTTGAAAGTGGAATCCGGAATATGGGATTCAGAATGTGGGATCTGGAATACGGAATTTTGAAAGTGAAATCCGGAATTTTAAATACGAAATTTCGAATGTGGGATCCGGAATACGGAATGTGGAATACGAAATGTGGTACACGGAATGAGGGATCCGGAAAAAGTTACGTAATTGACTCTGTGATACTTATATCAAATTATAGATTTAGTATTTTTTTAACCCCTTATATGTCACGTGACGCCTTTGACAAAAATCATATTTCTACTTTATTAAATCGCTCCAAACTGGTTACTCGAGTGTTTTTGGTATCACTCATTACAAATCCGTTTTTAGTTTTTCAAAATTGAGGATCCAATAAAAATTTCAAGTAAATCAAATACAATTGTTTAAAGAGTCCGCCATATTAGATTCGCCATTTAAAATTTTGAAAACAAACAACGAATTCGTAATCAACGAATATAAGTTTCAAATGAATCCGACCTATTTTTAAAATTAACAATTTTTTGATCAGTTTCTTGTATTTTAGCATGACTGTCAAGGGGTTAAGAATCATTTTAAAAAAAATTAAAATTGTGTAATTGCAAATTATATATAAATATATATTTTATTTTTGTTGAAAAAGGTGACGCTGCTCCTCACCATAAGAAAAAGCATGGATCAGTAAAAATTTCTTCAGGTGGAAGTGCAGCAGGTGAAACTGAAGCCAACATTAATGCCCAATTAGGTGGAAGTACTGGTGCTAATGTTAATCACAATGCTGAAGCATCAGGTGGAATTAATTTCGGTTTCAATCATAATGTTGGAATTTTAGGATCAGCAAGTGGTATTTTGGGAGCCGCCAAGGACATATTAGACGCGGAAAAAAGTGCCGTAAACAGTATTGTTGAAGCAAATAAAAATAAACACGCTGGTATTCAAATTAATCATGGTATCAATAGTGGAGTTAATGTACAGCACGAGAACAATATTGGAGTTCATGTACAACAGGAGAAGAAAGGTGATACACATATTGGACATGGAGGTCAAGTGAATTTAGGCATTCACAAGGATATCAATGTTCAAGGTAATTATGGTCAAACTGGAGGAGCAAATGTTGGCATTCAAAAAGGTGGTAGTGGTTCATTGAATGTTGATCATAATGTTGGAACAAAAGGAAGTGTTAGCATACAAGGAGGTGTGGAACATACAGGTGGAATTTTGGCAAATGGATTATTGGGACTTGCAAAAGATATTATTGACGTTAAGAAGGGGGTAATTAACAATATTCTTGATCATCATAAAGGACATGGAATACAAGTTGGTGTTAAAGTTGAACATGAAAATAAAGGTGGTGTACAACTTGAACATGGAGTTAATCATGGATTAAATGTAGGAGTTGAATCTAATCATCAGGGAGGAATTCAACATGGAACACAAGGTGGTGTTAATGTAGAACATGGAACAAATGGAGGAATTCAAATACAACATGGTTACAATGGTGGTGCTCAAGTTGAACATGGAAGTAAACATGGTTTTGAATTAGGATTTGGAGGCAATCATCAAGGAGGTGTTCAACATGGATCTGGTTTTCAATTAGGATTTGGAAGTAATCAACAAGGAGGAATTAATGTGAATCATGGATCCAAGGGTGGAGTTCAGATTGAACATGGTAAACAAAATGGACTTAATTTTGGATTTGGAAGTGGCCATCAACAAGGAACCCAAGGCGGAATTCAAGTAGGTTTGGAGAGCAATCATCAAGCTGGAGTTCAACATGGATCTGGAATTCAAGTGGGTGTTGGAAGTAAACATGAAGCTGGAACTCAAGGAGGAGTTAAAGTTGATCATGGAGCCAAGGGTGGAATACAAATTGGAGTTGGCAGTCAACATGGATTTAATTTTGGATTTGGAAGTGGTCATCAACAAGGAACTCAAGGCGGAATTCAAGTAGGTCTTGATAGCAACCATCAGACTGGAGTTCAACATGGATCTGGTTTACAATTAGGAGGTAATCATCAAGGAGGTTCTCAGGGAGGAGTCAATGTTAATCATGGCTCTCAAGTTGGAACCAATGGAGGATTCCAATTGGGATTTGGAGGCAATCATCAAGGAGGCAATCAACATGGATCTAGCGGCGGTTTTCAAATTGGATTTGGAAGTCAACACACTATTGGATCTAAGCAAGGTGTATCTAAACAAGGTGGATTCCAACTAGGATTAGGTTTCTAATTTAAAAAAAAAAAAAACTTTTTCAAATTTTAGAATTTTACAATTTCTTCTTTTTATAAATAATTCAATTTTAATTGTTCACTGTGTAAAAAGAATGTTAATCCCTATTGAAAAAAAACACGTATAATTGTACGTATAATAATACGTATAATTATACGTATTATTATACGTATAATTATACGTATAATTATACGTATAATTATACGCATAATTATACGTATTATTATACGTACAATTATACGTATTATTATATGTACAATTATACGTATAATAAGACATACGAATTTGAAACAAGAATTATACGTATAATTATACGTATAATAATACGTATAATAATACGTATAATTAATTATACGTATGATAATACGTATAATTATACGTATTATTATACGTATAATTATAATTCTATTAAAAATAGAATAATAGAATAGAATAATTAGTAGCAAAATTGCGCTGGAAATTTTTAGAAATTTTAAAATGCAAATTAAATTTCACGAAAAAAAATATCGTCGAATGTCAATTCAAGCAGTCACCCATCCAAGTACTAACCGCGTCCAACGTTGCTTAACTTCCGTGATCTGATGAGAACTTGTTCTTTCGCCTTGGTGTTTCCGCTGTCTTGTCTTGATTAATAACTTTGTCGTATAAGTATTGTATCGCACCTCACTTTTAGTGATACTTATACGACAAAGTTATTAATCAAGACAAGACAGCGGAAACACCAAGGCGAAGGAACAAGTTCTCATCAGATCACGGAAGTTAAGCAACGTTGGACGCGGTTAGTACTTGGATGGGTGACTGCTTGAATTGACATTAGACGATATTTTTTTTCGTGAAATTTAATTTGCATTTTAAAATTTCTAAAAATTTTCAGCGCAATTTTGCTACTAATTATTCTATTATTATTCTATTCTATTATTCTATTTTTAATAGAATTATAATTATACGTATAATAATACGTATAATTATACGTATTATTATACGTATTATTATACGTATAATTAATTATACGTATTATTATACGTATAATTATACGTATAATTCTTGTTTCAAATTCGTATGTCTTATTATACGTATAATTATACGTATAATAATACGTATAATTATACGTATAATTATACGTATAATAATACGTATTATTATACGTACAATTATACGTGTTTTTTTTCAATAGGGATGTAATATTTTGTCTTTCTACCGCTTTAATTTTTAGTAATGTAAAATTGTAATAAAAAGAAAGAAATAAATATTTCTACTAAAAATTTATTTTCTCCTTGTACTGAGTTAATATTTGTTCTAATATTTCAAGTTTTTTTAATACTTGATAGTACATACAACTGGGGTACAAAAGTACCCCAGAGATAATTCAAATTACGGCACTGTATCTGTAAGCTTAACTGACTGTCATGGCGGCATCCTAACCTTAATTCAGTTTAGTTATCGAACTTTCAATTTTTATGCTAGTGGCGATTATTTACTTTTATAATAACTGGTGGTAATTAATTAAAAATTGTTTTACACGAGTGAACATAATTATTACTGAATATTTTAAATTTATTTCATGATTTTATGTAGAATATTGTAGATTATTGTATAAAATACTGCAGAAAGAGCAGTGTACTGACAAGAACATAGAATTATCATTTGTGAAACTTGCTCGACAACTAATTTATAAAATGTTATTAAAATTAATTCAGAAACGTAAAATTTGTAAAAAAATTTATTTAATACTACTTTATGACCATTCAGAATAAAAATTATTAACGTGGGAAATACCCACGTGACCCCCATGCAAAAAACATGGTATCGTATTACCAAGTTTTCTCTAAAATGGTAAAGAATTTTTGGTTGAAATTTGTAAAATATGATAGAAAATAGCATTCAGAATGGCGCTGTTCTCGATTTGAAGCACAATTTTGCGTTTAAGTATTAAAAATAAAAGTTTGGAAATTCCCCCATTTTTGAACGAAAGTTGAAGTCAACATGGCGGGGGTACACACAGACGTCACGTGAATTTATCAGTGGTCTAGGAACTAGCGCCAATTGGAGTCAGTGGCCGCTCAAAGAAATAACAAAAACCTATTAACTCCACTATTAATTACTTTTGCTTCCTCGTGGAGGAAGCTATGTAGTCCTTTCGTTTATAAAATTTTTAAAAATGGTGAAAACAAATTTTCCTCTATATAGAAACATGTTATATGAGATCCTGATCAATTGTCCGGATGTATGTATGTGTGTGTGTATGTGTGTGTGGATCGTTTTTGTGAACACGATATCTTTAACAGGTTTTAATGGATTTGGATAAAATTTGGTAGGCTTATTTAACACATTAATCTCTCAAAAATGACGAGAGGATTTTTAAAAATACCCCAAAAAAAAAATTTTATCGTCTTTTTTCCAAAAATTTTTTTTTAATTGAAAAAATTTTTAAATCGAAAAGTTTAAGGTAATATATAATATAATCGTCTTCTTTATGTCAAGATGAATCGATTGATATATATAAAGTATAGATTTGATTGAAATTTAAAGAATTAATGAAAGTTAAAAAATCAAAAATTCTCATTTTAGCTAAAAAATGATGTGTTTATTTAAATTCATGTTTATATATGAAATAATTTTATTCCCTGCATAAAAACGAATCGATTCGTATATATAAAGTTTATGTTACACTCAAAATTAATTAAAATTTTCTTTATTTTTCAAAAAATTTAATTAATTTAAAACATTTTTAACTCGAAATTTTTTAAATCAATCAATTGAATTGGACAAATTCATTGCTTCCTTCACGAGGAAGCGAATTTTTTGCTTCAAACAATGAGGAAGCATAATGTTTATGAAATAAACATAAAGGACCCCCTCCTTGTTTAAAATTATTTCGCATTCAATTACAGTAAATAAGTAGAACAGCCTAATTCCTTCAACACTTTTTTATCATTCCTCAAAATTTCAACCTGAAATTTCTTCTCATTTTATTTAAAATTCAAGGGTTGCAATAATAATTTTTTTTTTAATTTCAAAAAACGCTTATTAGACCTTCAAGTACATCTATATATTCAGCTTTACAAATCTCGAATTCTTGAAAAAAATTAATTTGTTTAAAAGATACATTATTTCTTATGAAAAATGGCTTTTTTTCTTTACAAATTTTGTGTTTATTTTTGTTATTTTTTTCGACGATATTTTTGATTGTATCAAAAAACGACTGTTGCTCCATATTAAATTACTAAAATTATCACACGTGCTACAGCATCCGATTTAGTAAAATAACTGTTTTTATTTTTTATGTAATGGATAATGTGATAAACATTTTTTTTTCTATTTTCTATTGTGGATTCGAGAAGTGAGATAGAAAAATATGATTTTAAAGAATTTTAGAAATAATTTTGCCAAATTTTGAAATATGATTACCAAATTTTGTCAGACAATATTTATTATTATTTTCCTTTTGAGAGATAGAGAATATCTTGCGTAATGATAGTTATTTGACCTTTTACAATTCGTTTTAGCCTTCTTTAGAAAAGACACATATTTTTATGATAAACCAGAACAAATTTGACTTCATTGTGTAACACTTTTAATGTTTTCTCTATGTCAATGTATGTTAAAAAGACAAATTTTTTTTTCCCACAAAATATAGAAATATAGATTTATTTTTAAAATAATTATTTAAATATTTATATTTTTCATAAATTATCAAAAAAAAAATTAAATTAATAAAACAATGAAAATTAAAAAGATAATTTTAACTAAATGTATTTTTGTAAACAGGAATCAAGCTATTTGTAAAAACTGATACTATATATTATAACAAAAGTATCGCTGACTTCAACGGAGGAATTAAGTAAGAATGAGGAGAATTATTATTATTATTATGAATGATTTTATGATTAATTGAGGAAAATGGTTTTTTTTTTGACATATAAAACGATTGGCAATATTTTTTTTATTCGTTAAAGATTTTCAAGAACTGATACATTATTTTTTCTCAAAACAGAAAAAATTAATTTTTTTTTTTTTGCATTTATGATACTCGTTTTGAATCGAATTTATGTGTGTGGTATACTTTCGAGAAAGAACCTTCAATTTCAGAAGAATTTCTGTCCAATCTTGTTCTGATGAATCTGGTTCTTTTGATGTATCAGTTACTAAAAATTACAGTCTAATTGTAACTTTGGCCTTATCCATATGCAGTAAATTACAAATAAGAATTTATCTTATTTTCATTTTTTCCATTTTAATTTAAAGGAAAAACAAATTATTTGCGAAAATATTTACAAAATAGAAATAGAGTGTAAAAAAAAATTATTTTTTTCAACAATTTCATTGTTTTCAGTTTATCTCATTTTCTGGTTTTTCTTTATAACGAAGAATAATAATGAAAGAGATTTCAAATATGGGAATAAGCTTCTTGTGTAAGATAAATGTTAAATGTTAATAAAAAAATAATTAAATAAATTAAAGGATATTGTATAATATTGTATTTATATTTGTCCCTTATAAATATTTTTTTTCACTATGATAATACATTTATAATCCTTGAAAATTAATATCCTTCTTCGTTGTTAAATATAATTATAAAAGAAAAATTTATCTTTGTCAATCTGACATAAATTTATGCAGAATATTATTGCTAAAGGAAGTGTTTCACAAATAATACATTATAGTAATATAGTTATTCTTTATATATATATGTAAAAACTATGTTGGAATTAGTAAAAATTATTGACCTACGTGTTGTTGTTAAAAATAATTGCAAATGTGTCGTTTATTACAACTATGCTAAAATTTATAACTCACATAACGTGAATTTACTCTTCATGTACCATATATATATTTTATTTTCAACGACAAAATTAAATTGTTTTTTCTTAAACAATTATTTATAATTATTATTTTTTATATTATTATTTATTATATTTAAAGTAATATTAAATAATTTTTATATTAAAGTACATAGTATTTACACATATAGACATTTTTTTGGTACAAATTTTTTTTTTCTTGAATTAAATATAAATATAACATGGCTAAATAAATATTTATCTGTTTTAAATCAAAATTTTGTTATATAGAAATACATTTTTTTTTAAAGTAAAATTTAGTGTTGAATACAAATATTATAATGGGATTTTTTTATATTTCATTATTAAAAAATTCTGTAAGTATATATTAAAAAAAAAAAAAAAATCCTGGACTAGATTCATTATTTTATGTTTTCTGGTTAAATTGGTTCAAAAAATTGAAAATGCAAAAATGCAGTTATTTTTTCATCTTGGAATATCCAAATGCCGTCATTTCAATGGAAAGAAGGGGTCATCGGTGGGAGTTTCTAGTATTTAAGATTCACTTAACTCTAAGATCGCCACAGTCAAAGATGACGATGCATCAAGTTTTCATCGGACTTTTAGTCCTTTTGGCTGTTACAGTTTATGCAAAAGGTAAATAAACAAAATTTTTCCATTTTCATGTACTCTAATTAAATTGTTTTTACTTCATAAATATTTCATCATAACATTCATTTTTCTATATATTTTATTTACAATTTAAAGTTATTAATTTTCTTATTTAATCATTAAATTTTTTTTAATTGTGATTGTCTCTTTAATTAAAAAAAAAAATCCTTTAAAATATCTAAATTAAAAATTAAAATTAACTAATTAAAAATTATGTTAATAAATTTTAAAATCATTAGTCATTTTTAAATACAATATTTTTTTATTAATATATTGATACAAGCTTTTGCTAAATTTTTCTCCTTTAAAAATTTTGTTTAATACACTGAAAAAAACTTTGATTTATAAATATTCAATTACTTGACTATTATGAAATAAATATTTATATGAAACAAATTAAATTTTATTTGAATTAAAAAAATTACATCAAAAAAAAAATATATATTTCTTTGATTCAAAGAAGTATTTATTTGTCATATATATAGGTTCATTGAAAAGTTTTCTTTAATTTAAAGAAAATTTATTTCATTAAACAAAATTTTTAATTTAAGGAAATTCGAGGAAATTATTTTTCAATTTCAAAGTTTTATTTAAAATAAAAAAATTAAAAAAAAAAAAATTTTAATTCAAAATAAATTTTCTTGAAATTAAAGAAAACAATTTCTTTATATCAAAGAAATACTTCTGTGATTCAAAGAAACATTAATTGAGTGTGTATTTAAATAAATAATTTTTGTATTTGAAACAAATATATTGTTTAATTGACTTAAATAATAATTATTTAATACAAGTAATAATTTTTAATAGAAATAATAATTATTTGAAATATTTAATTGATAATAGTCAAGTAACCGATTATTTGAATGAAATAAATTTTTTTTTTTTAGTGTATTGAATTCATTAAAATTAATAAACTATATAGTAGTAATACTTAAAAATATCAAACTTTTAATTTTAATAAAAAAGTTTTTGAGCATAAATTTATTTGTTTTTTTGTAAAAAATTAAATATAGATAAATTTTGATTTTGTGAATAGAAAAAAAAAGTTTAAAAAATAACTATTTTTTATGATGCATGAATTTGAAGTAATGTAATAAATCAATAGCCGACAATTAATTACAAATGAATATGCAAATTTGAATTTTAGTATTTAGAATTTAAAGTTTTTGATACAAATCATAATTTATTCGCGAAGGAAGAATATAAATTAAATTTCCAGTTTTTATATTATTGTCGAGAATTTTTTTTTTAATATTTTAACTTTTTTGTTAATTTTTTTGAATAATTTTACGAAAGTTTTGTAAAGAAATAATTCTTATTAAATAATCCCAATAGTCCCTAAGCAAAAAAAAAAAAAAAATAAAAAATAAAAAAATAATATAATATACTATAATGTAATGTAATATAATATAATATAATATAATATAATATAATATAATATAATATAATATAATATAATATAATATAATATAATATATAAATGAATATATAAATGAATATACTTGTAAACAAAAATTGGATAATATAGGCGCATAGAAATATGATAATAACTAAAAAATACGCAACATTAAGGAAATGAAACGACCTATTTTTATATCAAGAAAGTAACAAGAAACTTGACCTTTTCCATAATTTTCATTTTATCTATATATAGTACGTACTTTGGTCAATTTATGATAGGTTTTTTTTTTTCATCTCTTAATCGATGGTCGCATGCTTGACCTTGTCTTTGGGTTTTCCCCGTCTTCAAAAAATGCCATTCACAACTCGTTTTGCACATGTGAGATAACATGTATACAATGCGTCTTCTTCTATATAAATATGAGTATATGTGTTTCGTTATTCAGGTTCAAGAAGTTAAACAAATCTCTTAGATTTTTAACATTTAACTGATGAGTCTTGTCTTTTTTGGATTAAATAACATTTACATATTATATATTGGCTTAAAAGAATTTTGACCGCATTGAGATAAATGAGCAGTGATAATAATATTAATGATAAATGTGGTGTAACACTGTTTATCAACAAGAACTTTTAATGAACTTGTTTCATCAAATATAACATAACTGCACGAGTTGCAATACAATTTTATAACATCATTATTAAAAAAAATATAAAACATATTATACCTACAATTTATAATAATAATATATAAAATATAAAAACTATTATTATTATTATTATTGTATAACATTTTTTAACTAAATAATGGAATTTTGATTCAGTTGGACAGTATTATAAATTTGCAATAAAATCACGCATAATTGAAATAAGCATATAAGTATAACGCGTAAGCTAAAAGTAAACTATGAGTCATTTGTGAAACTTCTTTTTTTTTTAAGTTTTGCATTAATGAAATTTAAATATAGTTCTTAATAAGCTTCACATTGATTTTCGTAGATAATTAACTTGACATTGAAAGCGTGTACCTTTTCTTCTTTTTTTTCTTTTTTATTTTTTTGCTGAGTCAGATAATAAACAGAGTTAAAAGTTGTATTCGCGCGAGTAACCTTCCAATATATAAGAATAGTATAATGCATATATACATAACATATATATATCTCTGATGATGTCAATTAAAATTGTAGACATTATATTACTATATTGTTATTGTGTTCAATTTTTATAATAATATATAAAATGGTTTTCTTCCAATTACAATCTATTTCTTCTAAAAAAAGAAACAAAAAATTTAATTATATAGAAAAACTTATCGATCTCGTAAGCTGTAACAATTTTTTTCTCGACAAAATTTTTTATGCCGTTATACTAAATATATATGTATAGAGATAATATTTATATATATATACACTGAAAAAAAAATTTATTTGATTCAAATACTTCAAATTATTTGAAAAATATTTAATTGGTTCAAATACTTTTTATTTGGATCAAAAAAATATGCGTATTTGATTCAAATAACTTGAATTATTTGAACCAAATATAAATCGTATTTGGTTCAATTAAATAATTATAATTGAATTAAATAAATGAATTTATTCAATATAAATAATGAGTTACTTTGAAACAATTAATTTATTTATTTCACTCAAATATTTTGTTTTATTGAAACAAATTAAAAGTATTTGACACAATAAATTTATGTAATTGATTCAAATAAACTGAATTATTTAATACAAATAATTCATTATTTAATCCTAATACACTATTTCATCAAGACAAATAAAAAAATATTTCAATCAATTAAATATTTATTTGAAACGATAACAATGATTTACGCAATAACTTTATTTAACTGATTTAAGTCAACTAAATTATTTAATACTAATACACTATTTTATCAAGATAAATAAAAAAATATTTTAATCAATTAAATGTTTATTTGAAACGAAAATAATGAGTTACTTGTAACTATTAACACAGAAAATTAAAAGGCATTAAAATAAGCTGCAACGCTTCTTATTTTAATCCAATTTTGCTTATTTTAATACCAAAATGGATTAAAATAAGCAAAATTGGATTAAAATAAGAAGCGTTGCAGCTTATTTTAATGCCTTTTAATTTTCTGTGAATTTATTTATTTCACTCAAATATTTCATTTTTTTGATACAAATAAAAAGTATTTGATACAATAAATTTATTAATTCTAATTAATTAAATTATTTAATCTAAATAATGCGTTAGACTCATAATCCGTAGGCCGTAGGTTCGATTCCCCCCATGCGTTAGATTTATTTATTTCTCAGGTTTGCGTTTAATCATTAATTCTATATGAATGAATTAGTTGAAAAATGAAAATATCCGATCATAGTATGTTGAAATTACATATTTTTTAATTTATTTATTTGAGTAAGAATTTAATTTAGAAATTGAAGTATTAGTAAATAAATATGTTATTTATTCAATTCAAATTTTGATTTATCACAGAAAATTAAAAGGCATTAAAATAAGCTGCAACGCTTCTTATTTTAATCCAATTTTGCTTATTTTAATACCAAAATAGATTAAAATAAGCAAAATTGGATTAAAATAATAAGCGTTGCAGCTTATTTTAATGCCTTTTAATTTTCTGTGATTTGAATAAAAAAATTCTTACATTTTATGCAAATAAATTATGTATTTGGATCAAATAAAATAATAATTGCCGCAATTAATTTAAATAATTATTTATTAGCTTTGAATATTCCAGTTATTTGATTTGAATATTTTGTATTTGATTAAAATAACTATTTATTTGATACGATAAAATAAAATACTTAGGTTTAGTAAATGTGTATTTGGTTCAAATACATATTTATTGGATAATAGACAAGTAAATGATGTATTTGAATCAAGTACTTTTTATTTGATCCAAATAAATTTTTTTTTTCAGTGTAAAAAAAGAATTTTTATACACGGAAAAGAGTGAATTAGCTACAGATTCTAAGAAAATATTTGCTAGAGCAACTAAAATGTTTGTTAGAACTGGTAAAAAGTTAGTTGTGAGGTGAAAAAAAAAATCATGAATTGAAACACCACAAGTTTAATTGTTGTCCCTAAATTAACCTTTAAACTACTATAGCGGTCTTTCAGACCGTCATCTAAACATTTTTCGTCTTTTTTTAAAGAGTACAATAGAAACTTCAGCTTTTTAGTAACTTTATAATGGTTTTTATTCAGTTTTATAAAAAAAACTGTATAGTGATAATTGATTCAAAGTTTAAAATTCGTTAAATTTTATAATATCGAACAAATATTTATTTATAGTTATAATTAGAGACTATTTTAATTATTAATTGTATCTGCTTCTTATTTAATAATTGTATTGTAATTTTAATGATTTATTACATATTTTGTAATCTAAAATTTTGTAATATCTAAAAAATCGTTTTTCTCAAAAATTTATTATGAAAAATTTTTCATAAAAAAAACTTATCGATTTCGCTTGAAAATTTTTATACTTATAAGGTCTTTCGAGGTTATACAGATTACAAGTGAAACTAATATCAATTTTTAAACATTCTTTCGCAATATTAGTTTCGTCGTTTAGAAATTTTTAAATCTAATGTAAGAATTGTAATCAGTGACCTTGAAAATGTTTGAGTAATGAGTTTTAAGCTATTGTAACGCCCAAATTTATCAATATTGATTTAACATATTTGTTATCTCTCGAATTTATATTTGAACGTTGTTAGGTTTTTTTTTCGGATATAGACAAATTAAAAAAGAAAAATATAAGACTTAATAAAACAAAGAATTAATTTTTTTTTAGATGATTTTGTAAGGCATAAGCGATATGCTTACAGCAGTGGCGGTGGTGTTGGTAGTAGTAGTAGCAGCAGTTCAAGTTCAAGTTCCTCTGGAGGAGGGACTCAAACGTTGACAAACTCTCATGCAACTGGAGGAGCGTCTGCCGATGCCAAAGCTGGAGCAACAGCTGATGGTAGTCACGGAGGTCATGGAGGTAATAATTATTAAATGATTTAAGTATATAAAAATATGGAAATTAATTTTTTTTTTCATTACTAAACTGACAAAAAAATAGTCTATAATTATAGTTTAATCAAGCTCTATAGATTAAACAAAATAACCAAAATATTCTGATTGGAATAATCAAGATTTTGATGATTTTAACAAAAATTCTGATTGGTTTAACCAAAATTCTCTTTGGAATAATCAAAATTCAAAATAATTTAACCAAAATATTAATTAGTTTAGTAAAAATTAGGAAAAGTTTACTTAAAATTATAAACAGTTTAACCAAAGTTCTGATTTTAGTTTAAATGGGAGTTAGATTTTATAATTCTCAACGGGACTCTATAAAAATTCCATTCTATTGAACCAACGGGAGTTGGTGCTAAAGGAGTTAATTTAATGCCTAAGAAGTTAATGCTAAGAGAAAATTAATTTAAGGTTAATTCATTTTTGAAATGGATTTTTAACTTTAAAATGTTAACCCATATATAACCAATTGACTAAAATATTGAAATCTGCGTATATTATTTGTTTGAATTCGAAACGGAATATAATTAAATTTACTAAAATGTTGCATTGCAAAAAGAACATAATTGGCATTTTTGTCGAAATTAAGTTTTTGATATCGTTAGATTCAGTAAAAAGAATCTGCATCTAAATGTATGAAAAAATTAACATTAAATTTATTTAATTAATTAACTCACTCGCACGAACGGCATTTGGGACTTGGATTTCTGGCGTATTTGCCATTTTCAATCTTTGCAAGTTCATTTTTACATGAGATTCTTTAAAAAATTAATTTCTTTTTGAAAAATATGAATCAGCAACTCGATTTTACCTAAAAACTGATCTTACATTAATTACATTGAAATGAGTAATTTTTACTGGAGTTACATTACAAGAAAATTATCTCACCACACGTAGTCATCAGGTTAATTCCAGTGCCGGTTAAAATCAATGATTAAATTTATAAAATAGATATTATTTATAAAATAAATAAATATTTTGCCCGGCGCCAGTCGACATTTAATTATTTTAAATAAAATTGATTTTTAAAATTTACTTTAGTATTTTAACAAGATAAGGGGGGAGGGTAAAAGGGAAAAATTCAAATATAATAAGAATTGAGAGTTATCGATAATTGGTTTTAATAATCGGAAATTTACTTACAGTATACGTCGTCAAATTCTCTATCCAAACGATGAGGTACCTCCACAACAACGAACACTCATACAATTATAATATAAATTATATAGATTTATCGATAGTCGAAACTCTTTACAATGGTTGATTCAAGAATGATTTTTCCATCAAACCCTTAAGGCCAGGTCCAAGTGAGGCAGCGCCATCTACATTGAAACTAAAATTTTGGAAAATTTTAAACAGCCTTTTCTTGAAAACAAGATGGTAAAATGCTTTTTCCTTTATGGATAATTTATTATTGGCAAGATATACACCAGCTAAAACTTTTTTTGAGTTAAAATAATAAAAAAAATTTCATGTCAATAAATTAAATATGAGCACTTTTTTCACAAAAACTGTAACAGTACTTTCTCAGAAATTACAATCAAAAATGCAATTTCCATTTGGAAAATTAATAAACGCTAAAAAATACACGACCTAAGATTTACCAATCACGAAAATAACAAAAAAAAAAGTATTTTAACATAACATATTTTACTTATTATGACATCCGTTTGGCAGGTTATATATGTCACCAGATGTTTCGCAGTTTTGCCGAAAGGAGGAGATTGGCGCTGTTGCTAACCACCTGAAATACATAATCTACCAAAGGGCTGTCACAATCAGTAAAGCAGTATCAATATGTTAAATATTTAATAAAATTTTTTTTGTTATTTTCGTGATTGGTAAATCTTAGGTCGTGTATTTTTTAGCGTTTATTAATTTTCCAAATGGAAATTGCATTTTTGATTGTAATTTCTGAGAAAGTACTGTTACAGTTTTTGTGAAAAAAGTGCTCATATTTAATTTATTGACATGAAATTTTTTTTATTATTTTAACTGAAAAAAAGTTTTAGCTGGTGTATATCTTGCCAATAATCAATTATCCATAAAGGAAAAAGCATTTTACCTTTTTGTTTTCAAGAAAAGGCTGTTGAAAATTTTCCAAAATTTCAGTATCAATGTAGATGGCGCTGCCTCACTTGGACCTGGCCTTAACAAAATTCGTCCCAATCTTTTAATTTTAGTAGACTATAGGAAAATTTTTGTTTAATATTTTAAAATAATATCACGGTACGCCAGAAGGAGATTTAAATAAACAAGGAGGGGGTCCTTTATGTTTATTTCATAAACATTATGCTTCCTCATTGTGTGAAGCAAAAAATTCGCTTCCTCGTGAAGGAAGCAATAAATTTGTCCAATTCAATTGATTGATTTAAAACATTTCCAGTTAAAAATGTTTTAAATTAATTAAATTTTTTGAAAAATAAAGAAAATTTTAATTAATTTTGAGTGTAACATAAACTTTATATATACGAATCGATTCGTTTTAATGCAAGGAATACAATTATTTTATTCATCAACTTCTCTCTAAATTTGAATCAGCGGAATCTTGCTGATTCTCAGCTATAAGTATACCACTGATTCTAATCAGCTCATATGCACTGATGAATTAGTGGAATTTCACTGATTTTTCAGTGTATATCCGCTGATTGGTACCAGTGGTATACTTATCGCTGATTCAAATTTAGAGAGTTGAATTTTAAAAAAACAAAATTTTTTAGCTAAACTATGAATTTTCGATTTTTCAATTTTTATTAATTCTCAAATTTTAAATCAAATCTATATTTTATATATACCAACCAATTTGTTTCAATGCAGGGAATAAATTTATTTCATATATAAACATGAATTTAAATAAACACATCATTTTTTAGCTAAAATGAGAATTTTTGATTTTTTAACTTTCTTTAATTCTTTAAATTTCAATCAAATCTATACTTTATATATATCAATCGATTCATCTTGACATAAAGAAGACGATTATATTATATATTACCTTAAATTTTTCGATTTAAAAATTTTTTCAATTAAAAAAATTTTTTTGGAAAAAAGACGCTAAAATTTTTTTTTGGGGGTATTTTTAAAAATCCTCTCGTCATTTTTGAGAGATTAATGTGTTAAATAAGCCTACCAAATTTTATCCAAATCCATTAAAACCTGTTAAAGATATCGTGTTCACAAAAACTATCCACACACACATACACACACACATACATACATCCGGACAATTGATCAGGATCTCATATAACATGTTTCTATATAGAGGAAAATTTGTTTTCACCATTTTTAAAAATTTTATAAACGAAAGGACTACATAGCTTCCTCCACGAGGAAGCAAAATGAATTGGAAATTAAAAATTCTTTTTGATTATGGTTCTATAATAAAAAACTTTTCTCGATAGGTTTTAAAATCAGCTTACGTGCCCAATTTAAAACAAATTGAGTTTTAAATATTTAAAAATAGTATTTTATGAGGATCCTCATAAAATACTATTTATACCAGAATTTATTTAATGTATACTTATATGCGCATAGATAATAGATGTTTTAGATTTGGGTTCATATAAATTTATTAACAAATGAAGTTATTTTCTTGTTTCGTTTTTATATTTATGCATTAAGAGTGTCGAATGGTATTTGAAATTCTTTGTCAAGAAGAGAGCTTTAATTATCGCTCTGAACGTGAAATAGTATTGATTTTAAAATACTTTTTTCTCGAAACACAAACACTTTTAACAAAATCAGCCAAAATCCTCATCTTATAAATTTCCTAAATCCAAAAGACTGTACGAATTCATAGAAAAACATGGTTGCAAAACAAAAAGTAGAAAAGTAATCTAATAACAGCTGCGACTTTGTGCGCCCTGCATGCTGCTGCCATCTGACGGCGGCAGGAAGTAATGAACCCCTCATTATATTACTTTTCGTTTTGAAATCGTGTTTTTGTATGGATTCGTATAATCTTTCGGATTTAGGAAATTTATATAAGATAAGGATCTATAGCTGCTTTTGTAAAAAGTGTCCGTCTTTCGAGAAGAAAGTATTTTAAAATCAATTTTTATCATTTTCACGTTTAGTGCCGTTTTTATAGAGCGATAATTAAAGGTCTCTTCTTGCCAAAAAATTTCAGAGATCATTCGACTCTCTTAAATATATTTTGTCACTCTTAAAATCGTTCTTTCAACATTATAATTTAATTTTTTAAAATCGGATACAAACACTACAGCAATATAATTATTTATATGTAAAATTGAAAATAAGTAATTATTTTATCATTTATTACAGTATTTATTAGATTAAATAAATTCTGATTCCCCATAAAACACTGTTTTTATATAAAAACTCAATTTTATTTAAATCGAGCACGTAAACTGATTCTAAAAACTGTTGAGAAATGTTTGTTATTCATCTAAGAATCATAATCAAAAAGAATTTTTAAATGCCAATTCATTTTTATTTAAACCACCTTCTGGCGCACCGTGAATATTTCCTGTTACAACATTTTTTGTTCTATATTGAAGTTCTAGATACAAACGTTTTTTTTTTTTTTTAATTTCTCCGTTCGACCGAAATATCACTGAAGTTCTTTTTACTTTGTACGGAAGAATAAACCCTAATTAGTATTCTGATTATTTCAAGCAGAATTTTTCTTTTTAGAAATAATGTTAATTGTATTAAGAAATTTTAATTTTTTCTATTAAGGTTATGGAAATCTCGGAGGTGGTGGCTATGGAGGCGGACTAGGTGGTTCAGGATTAGTTGGCAATGGAGGAGTATTGGGAGGAGGTGGTTATACAGGAGGATTAGGAGGTGGTCATGGAGGATCGCTCGGTGGTAGCCACGCTGGCGGTGGTTACAATGGAGGATCACTAGGTGGTAGCCATGCTGGTGGTGGTTACAATGGAGGATCACTTGGTGGTAGCCACGCTGGTGGTGGTTACAATGGAGGATACAATGGAGGCGGTGGTCATGGTGGAGGACTTGGTGGCAGTCACGCTGGAGGTGGCTCCTATGGTTATAATCAAGGTGGTTCCTTAGGTGGTAGTCACGCTGGTGGTGGTGGTGGTGGCGGTAACTATGGTTATAATCAAGGCGGTTCACTAGGGGGTAGCCACGCTGGTGGTGGTTTCAATGGAGGCTTAGGCGGTGGTAAAGGAGGACTTGGTGGTAGTCACGCTGGAAGTGGTGAGAAATATCAATTTTTAAATTAATGCACGGAGAGAAATTTACAGTGATGGTGACTGTCGCGCCATTTCTGATGACTATATCGTTTAGTAGATTTTCGACGAACTAATTTAACAGTGGGATTTACTAAATATCACTGTAACTCTTCTCTCCGTGTGATTAATTAACTTCTATCTTAGCAATAAATATTCGATTCTCCAAAAAAGAGAGCATTTACATGTCTGCAAATTATATGAAAACAATTCAAAAATTATTCACATTAGTCAGGACGAAAAGACAAATCCGGGATTAGTCCAAAATTGTCATGAAATTAATCCTCAATTAGTCTGCAACAATCTAAATTTAGTAGGATCACAAAACTTAATCCAAAATGAGTGCAAAATAATTTAGAATTTGTATGTAAACTATCCGTAAATAGTACACAATAATACGGATTTAGTACTATTAAAAAACGGAATCCAAAATGGGTACGGAATAATTAGATATTTTTATGTGAAAAATCCTGTATTAGTCCACATTAAATCGTATTTAATCTGGTAAAAAATCTTTAAGTAACGAATTCGTATTTATTCAAGTCGAAAAATTTGTCTTTATGTCTGTACTAATTTTAGATTACTTCAAATTGTTTTTGGACTGTTTTCGAACAATAATTTAGATAAAATTCCGTTTAAAAATCTGAATCCGAAGTGAGTCTAAAATAATCCGGCATTATGTATATGTAAGAATTCTAACATCTGGAATTAGTCCGTTAATATTATTTGTGAGACCTGGTAAATACGGAATTAATCTGATTATACACAACCAGTGAATGCGTATATAATTACTTCTGTTGAATTCGAAATTAATTCAGTCTGAAGAATATAAGTTCAAATAAAATCCTTTTAATTTTTTTTAGATAAAAATCCACTATCTCTTAGTATAATAATGTTAATACATGTTTTTACAGGAGGATATGGAGGATCTGGTGGTTATGGAGGAGGACATGGAGGAGGTAGTTTCGCTAATGGCGGTGGAGGTATTGGAGGAGGACATGGAGGTCAAACTGGAGGATATGGAGGTTACGGAGGATACGGAGGTTTCGGTAATTACTAATACATAAAAAAATTTTAAACTTACATGTTAATTTAATTATATCATTATTAATTGTTAAGTAATTATTATCATTGAATATAGTAACTGAAAGTACTTTCAGGAGGTTCCTTTCATCAAATTTCATAACAAATTCTATTCCAGGTCAACAACCATTACCTGGACAACCAGGATACCAGCTTGATCCTGGAATGGCACCTGGAACTTTAAATTTATTCCCTTCGCCAGGTTAAATGATAATATTCTCGCTTATTTAATAACTTTTTCCTCCATTAAAAGTATTGACATTATTCTCCATTAAAAATTTTTACGTTATTGGAATCAGAAAGTACTTTCTAATAAAGTTCTTTTTTAAAAAGTGAAATTTTATTTTGAAAATCATTTTTTTATGTGTTTTAGGAAATGGACCATTACCTGGACAACCGGGATATCAGGTTGACCCTGGTTTTTATCCTGGAAATTTAAATACAGGTTATAATAACTTTGGAGGAGGTAACGCTGGTAGTTCAGCAAATTCTAAGGCTGATGCATCAGCTGGAAGTAATGCTGGTGGCTATGGAGGAAGTGGTGGATTAGGAGGAGGATATAATGGAGGTCTTGGTGGTGGATTAGGATATGGAGATGGTCATGGTGGATCCCTTGGAGGTGGTCATGGAGGATCTCTTGGAGGTGGTCATGGCGGATCACTTGGCGGTCCTCTTGGAGGTGGACATGGTGGTTCTGGTTCTTCCAATGCTCAAGCCAGTGCTAGTGCCAGTTCAAATGCTAATTCTAATGGAATTAAGTGAGTTTATCTTTTATTCTTTTAACCCCTTCACTGTTATTGACCTCTATAGAGGCATAAAAATATCGTGCCACCAGTGTGTGTATGACCGCTATAGTAGCATCTAGAAAAAAATAAGTAGACACAATACGATAAACTTGTCAATGGGTATTCTTAGGTATGGTAACATCAAGTTTTTTTTTTTTAAATTTTTTTTACCACATACGGGGCACGGAAGCTTTATTTCTGCTACACAGCGAAGGGGTTAAACAAACATCACATTTATATTTATATAATTTTGAAATTCTATTAATTCACATTATCATATTGTATTTATTATTTCTAAAAATTATATATAAATATTTCAGTATCTTCTCTCGATTCGGTGAAGGTGAAGGAGAAACCAAAGAAGTCAGTCAGAGTGGAAATGTGGAAGGAGGAAAAGGTGTGTTCAGTAGCAGTTCTGTTAGTGTTGGTCCTGATGGAAAAGGAACATATAGTGTCCAAGCGGGTAAAATCCCATAAATTATGATAATAATATTATTTACAAAAGAACAACGCAAAAATATTTTTTTTATAATTTCATGTAAAACTCCATTTATAATTATCAAATATTTATAATTAGAAAATTTATAATAAAATTTTTACAAAATTGTAAAATATTTATTTTAACGTATATTATATACTTTTAAAAATGACTATTTCTAAAAATAATAATAAAATCGATAACTTAAAGTATTCAAAATAAAAAAAGTTTAATAAAACGTAATTAAAATTGATTTAAAAAAAAATTTATTTACAATGTCACAGAATGAAATGAAAATAATATGTTTTGTATATATCTATAAGAAATTACATTATAAGTTGCATTATTGTGATAATATTAGTGCCAATCAATAAAAAATAATTCTACAAATTTTAGTTTTTTCATTTTTTTAAAATTTCTTTTCCCATGAACCGTTAAAAATAATATTAAGTTTGGTTTTTAGCATTCAATTCAGGAAAACAAGACACTTAAAATAAGTTATTACAATATTTTTCAAATTTTGTTAATAAAGTATTTTAATGTGACGTCATCCTGTCTATCAGGTGGTAATTTTGCAGAGATATTTATTTTACCGACGTGTATATAAATATAATAATAACACTTAATTTCTATATGTGTCGGTAAAATAAATATCTACGTAAAATTACCACCTGGTAGAAAAAATGACGTCACAGTAAAATTAAAAAATTTAGTATTTCTTGTGTTGCATTGTCATCAAAAATTTGCAGCAATATCGCCATTATTTCTACAATGTTGCTGCAATATTAGATAATTGTGGCAATGTTGTGAATATTAATGCAAATTTAGATGCTGTGCGGGAAGAAGAATAAAAAGTTAAATAGTAAATAAAATTTTACTATAAATTAGTAGACAATTTTTTAACTAATTTAGATTAAGAAAATTTATTTTTATAAATAAAATATATATCAGTCAATTAAATGGCCCTAAATTAGCGTTTTGCAACCGACAATGTCAAACAAAAACATATTTTTCACAGTTATAAGTTTATATTTATTACGTAAATTTTTTTTGATATACATATACAAATATACTCACAATCAGTCTTATTACATGTAAAATACACTTATTACTTAATTCATGCTTCAAGATTAAAACTGTTGTTTATGAATATAAATTTCCTTTACGATATTTACTCACAGCGACAAGGTCACAACATTTCTAAAGACTGCGGTATTTCTAAAAAAAATCCAATTATACATAAATTAAATGAAAAACGACGCAAATAAAAAATATAATATACACATATATATATGTACAATATAAGATTTGAACTAATCATTTTTATAAAAACTATATAATTTTTTAATGTTAAAAATTCAAAAAAATTACTCAAAACGTAACGTTAGATCGCATTGTTATTTTTAATATTGAATGTAGATGGGAGAAAAAATTATTGAGATATTATAATTTTTAAATTTGTCTTTTTCTTTTAATTAAAATTGTAAATTATTTAAAATTAAAAAAAATAACAAATTAAAACCACCCCTAATATTATGACACACTTAAATTTAAATTGTCAAAGGAAGGTATATTTTTTCCTCCATCATTTGTGTCCTAAAAACATATAAGATGGTCAGAAGAAGAAAATTTTTAATTTTGACGAATTTATAATTTTGATTTTTTGAATTTTGATTTTGAATTCCCCAAAGTATTAGAAACAGAAGAAAATAATTATAAAAGAAAATTTTTAGAAATGATACACATCCAAAGTAATAAATTAAACCATGTAAATTTTAATACAGACACACAAAATTTAAGCAAAATATATTTTTCAATAATAACAGATTCTCCAATATAATTTTTTAGAATTTTTTTTAAGAATTTTTCTAAATTTTTCAAAATTACCACATTAATTCCATATAGCGGTTAATGTAGGACTCTATTTTATCATCAATCTTTTAAAGTTACATTAATATTTTACATATATGATAATACAGGGATTTTTTTTAACTTTTTATCATAACCTTAAAATTACTCTCTAAATCTGAATTAGTTAAAAATAACTAATTAATAGCAGAATCTTACTAATTCAAAAAGCAAAAAGTGAGTCACTAATAATTAGTAAAAACTTACTAATTCAAATAGTTATTTTGGTTTAACTAATTCAATTAGTAACTTTTTAATGCGGCTCCCGGGGGCATAAATTACTAATTGATTAGTTAAAACTACTAATTGTTTACTAATTCATTAGTCATTAAACAATTTTACCGCCAAATCGTAAATAATCAATAAAAATTTATCAACTTATTCATACTAAAATTTTAAATTTGAAAAGTCGAGTTTCAAAGATAAAATTTTTCGCATGTAGTTTCTTCATGATTGTATAAAAAATATTTTATATTACAATGGTTTGTCCTAACTTGGGTGCCTAGTGTCAACCAGTTTTAATAATAAATAATAAATAATTTAAAAAATTAATTTTAACCACAATTAATACTAACTTTCTAGAAAGAATATCCTGTAAGTTTTAAATTAAAATCTGAGAGTTAAATCAAAATTTGAACCCTACGGGAATCGAACCCCAGACGCATTACCTAAGAGACCTAACGAACGCTTTGACGACCGCGACTACCGAACCTAATTAGATATTTTTATTTCATTTGTCTATATAAATTTTCACTATATTTTTTTAATTCTATTTTACAAAAAATACTTGAAATCATCCAGAACTTTCACTGTAAGTGTTTTATGTTGCCAAATAATGGATTTAAAACATTATATTACATTGTTTAATTGTTTAAACAATTTATTGTTATTTATATTAACTTTTTTTGTAGTGCACCTAGAAAGATGCAGTTTTTTCCTAATTTTACAATTTACCAAATCGAATATAAAGATAGATTTGATGTAAAATTATTAATTCAACAATTGTTTAAACAATTTATTGTTGTTATTTATTAACTTTTTTGTAGTGCACCTAGAAAGATGCATCTTTTTCCTAATTTTACAATTTATCAAGTTTATATTATTCTACTAGATAATTATAAAATTAAGAAAAAACTGCATTTTTCTAGGTGTACTACAAAAAAAGTTAATTAATAACTATTATAACTTTATATTTTGTTTGATAAATTGCAAAAATAGGAAAAAAATACTGCATTTTTCTAGGGAAATTATAAAAAATGTTAATAAATAGAAACAATTATTTGTTCAAACAATTTAACATAATAGTTGTTGCAAAATTTAATTCTATATTTTATTTTATTTATAACCTTTAAATTAATAACTAATAAGAGAAGGTAACAAATTTATAAAATTGTGCTACTGTCTATGGATATTTAAAAAAGTTATAAATTATGAACAATAAATTGTTTAAACAAATAAAAATTCAACAAAATAATTTTGATATATATTATTTGGCAATATATATAACAATTAAATAAATTAACAAATATAACTATGAAAAATTGTCTTTAAATATTTATTAGAAATTAATAAATAATTAAAACCATATAAATAATTATCAATTAATTATTTAAGTATTATCTGAGATTATTTTACAAATCCAAAATTCAATTACTTTTTTTCATAAAAAATTTTCTAACACTTAACTAGATGTTCTAGCTAAGTCCAAGTTAGGACCAGTCTAGAATATATAAACAGTGGCTGCCAAGGTAGGACCAATGTTGGGCCAACAATCATTTTAGGCATACGTTGGTGATTTCTACACGGAGTTCTGGTGGTTCATTTGATATATTATTTCCGATTTTTTTTGAGTAAAGATTTTATTAAAATTTTCACTTTATAGTAATTTATTAATTTACTTAAAGACAGTTTAGATACACATACATAGTTACTTTTGGTGAAATAAAATTAATAAAAAAATTTTAACGGTTAGTTTATATCAAAAAATTTTTTGAAAAATAAATAATTTCAAAAGTAATATTTAAAGCACCAAAAAAAATATTTTGAACATAGTACAAGCTATAGTATCACATAATACTTAAAAAGAACAGAACAATAATTTAAAAATAATAAATGCTTTCAAAAGTAGTATTTTAAGCATCAAAAAAAGTATTTTGAATAGAGTACAAGCTACAGTTTCACATAATACTAAAAAAACAAAAAAATATTTAAAAAAAAAACCCATGGAAGATGACATACGTCATAAAAATAATAGAGGTTACGTTCAACTGACTAATTCAATTAGTAACTCGGGTGTAATAACTAATAGAATTAGTTAATTTGATTACTATTTTAAATTAGTAATGTTCAAATACTAATTTTTTACTATTTTATTAGTAAAACTTCCAAAAATAACTAATTCATTAGTTGAAATTTAATTTACTAAATGAATTAGTTAATTTTTTACTAATTCAGATTTAAAGAGTGAGGGCTAAATAGCCGAAACATGTAGTAACAACGTTATGTCAACCAATAAATAAACATCTTAACTGTAAAAGGCCTCTAAACATCATTAACAAATTTATAATAAAAACAGTTTGAAAGAAATTTAAAATAATAAACATTGTCAATTTTTTTACAAAAAATAAACTTTTATTAAATTCACTTTATTCATTATCAGTTAGAGTAGTTACTGTAGTTTCAATATTTTCAGCAAATTCAGTTGTTTCAGTATTAGTTTCATTATTGCTATCATCATCATCCCCAACTCTACTAAAAAACAAATTAGGACCTCCATAACCTCCATATCCTCCATAACCTCTATAACCTCCTCTGCCTCCATAACCATTATAACCTCCTCTGCCTCCATAACCAAAATTGTTCCCATTGAAAGAAGAGGAAGAAGCAGAAGAAGAGGCGGAAGATGATCCTCCAAAGCCAGCAGAAGCAGCTGCTGCTGCCGCTCCAGCACTTACATATGGAATTCCATTTACGAAAGAAATTGCTGTACCCGCACTCGCAGAGCTTGCTGAATTTCCATTGCTTGATGCAGCATTGGCAATAGAACTTCCACCGCTAAATCCATTTCCATTATTGTAGAATTGAGAATTTGCATTTGCATTAGCATTCGCATTTGAATAGTAAGGCGACGAGTATCCAAATGGTCTAAACAAAAAAATAGACGACATTTGAAAATAATTTTAAATTTATTAGTTTAAGGAGGTTCTATCGTAAAGAGAATTAATTCATTAGAATTATAATTAAAATTCTTTTTAACGTAACAATATTGGTTCTTATGGGAATTCGTTGCCTATACTCCATGATATAATCGAAATATTTCCTGTAATGTTGGTTAAGGACATGTGATTTTTGTAATTTCAAATGTAAATGTTCTCCGCAGTTTTTTTTTCGCAAAATACTTGACAGATTTAATTAAAATTTTGTGGAAAACTCAAAAATATTAATATTTTCTCAAAAAATGTATTCACAATAATTTTTATATTTGGAGAAAGGGCGAAAATTTTAGGGTAAGTGCAACCAATTACGGCGTGTTTATAAAAAATATCTATTATTACTATTATATTTATTATAACTGTTGCAAAATAATTTAAAAAAATTATTTTATTCTTTTTTTGATACAATTACTAATAAAGATGCACATTTAAACAATTATTAATCTAATTATTTGAGATCAAATTTTTTTCCCTCGCTGTAATTGAAACATTTTTAAGATTCAAAATACACATAATTTTGGTCATCGCAATTGATACACCGAAACTGATACAAACGCGCCGTAATAGAAAATTATGATATTATAGTTTTAATTTCTCATATTTATTTAAATAATCGATTTTTATAAAGTTTAATTTTTTTAAATATCTAAATAACATTAGCTTTTAGTTTAATAAGTCTTAAATTGACTTTTTAAAAAATAGAAATGTCTAATTTTCTACTTCAAAAATGTTTTGACTCGAATCGCGCCCTAATTAGTGCATTTACCCTATTAAATTTTCTTCAAACATGCAAATTTTTAAAAATAATTGTTTTAATAAAATATTTAATATTTTAGTGTTTCTTTATTACTATTTTCGAGTTCTTCATAAAATTTTAGCTCAATCTATCAAATATTTTGCATGAAAACCTGTAAAGAATATTTACATGTTTGTTTATTTTTACAATTCTATTTCAATTAGATTTTAAAAATGAAAATTTTTTCAGTGTATTTGTACCAAAAGTGACCTACAATTCACATGCCCTTAAGTATATGAAAAAAAATGCATTTTCATATTCTAATACGAAAATATTTAATAAATTTAAAGAGAATAAATAGAATTTTTTTAAAATTATAAAAAAAATGCATAACAAAAGTTTAAAAAAAAGTAATTAAAAAAGTTGACAATATTTACTTACCTATTATAATATCTAGCTTGTCGTACAAATCTTGATGGTGCATTACCAGGGAAGGTAAAATCGCTCCCATTGACTGCAACTAGCAAGAAAAAACAAGAAATCGATATTAAGTAAAAAAAAGAATCATTCCTTGATCTTTATTTTTTATTATTACAACATATTTACAATTTTAATTCATTAATAAACTTCAGTTATTAATTTGAAAATAAAAAATAAATAAAAATGATAAAAAATTAATAAAATTTTACAATAAAATTAAAGACTTACCATAGCATATAATTAAAAATAAACCCAGAATAAGTTTCACCATTTTGCACATTAAAAAAAAACTGTAGTCTTTTCCTCTTTTTCACTATATAAAGCAAACAAAACTAATTTTTTCTTAAATAAAAAACAATTTAGTCACTATAATTGATTTAAAATCTTGATTATAGTAAAGTTTTCGAAAATCAAAATTTCTAAACTATAAGAAAAAAAATAAGAAAAAAATTTTTTAAAAACGCTTAATTTAAAAAAAAAATTCTCTAAGAAACTTGATTATGTGGTTATTGATCTTGTGGTTGACTTTAAACTGATGTTATAGAAAGAAGGTCCTCCACCTTTATAGCTAGACCAAACTACATGTGCTTCAAAGACTTTATTTGTGGGAATTTCTCAATGCGAATGTCTGTGTATAGATTTTTTTTTTTGACTAATTTGTATAAAATATACCTCTCTCCAAGAATGTGTCGTAATTATTAATTTTATTCTTAGAATTATCATAATAGGAGAGCACCTGTTTTTGAAAATCAAATTAAATAAATATAGTTCTCACTAATATTTGAATTAATTTTTTTTTGGGACTTTTTCTATATTGCTTTGACGTCACTCTCTTTCTCTATATGAAACATTTCGTCTTGTCTCCCTCTTATCAATGGTAATATTGACAAACAAAATGTTTCACATAGAGAAAGAGAGTGACGTTAAAAATTTTCAAAAAAGTCCCGAAAAAAATTAAAATTGACATTGAATTTTATTAAAATATATTATACATTTTACAGCTAGCTTATTAAATTTTATGTAGTTTTATTGCTTCCTCATGGAGGAAATATTGTAATTACATAGTAAACGATGAGAGTATTATAAATAGCGTAACAGATTTAATAAATAATTAATTTTTTGAATTAAATTCATTTTTGAATTTTGTAAATATAAACGATTCTAAGTCTAATTTTTAAAAGTTTGCAATCTCATTATTCAATCTAATCCACATTTGTACTAATCGTCATTTGACCTAATTCTTATGTCATTTGAGCCAATTCTCATATTGGCATAATCTTAATTTAACCTAATTCTTATTAAACGTAGTATTTAACTTCCCTAAATTTCACTTGGACTAATTTTTCTGTAACCTAATACTTTTTTAGCCTAATTTTTAGTTGATCTAATTTTTACTTGGCCTAAACGCAAATTTCCCATAATTATCATTTGCAATAATCTTCATCTGGCCTAATTATATCATTTGGACTAAACGCTGCTTAAACTAATTTTCATTTGATCTAATCTTTATAAAACCTAATTCTTATTTGGTCTAATCATACTGAAACCTAATTGTTATTTGTTCTAATATTTATCTGACCTAATTCTCATTTGGCCTAATTTTACATTATCCTAATTTTTACTTGTTCTAATATATTAATAATATTAATCTAACATCCCAAGTAGAAATGTGCCACTGGCATAGTACTGACCCAACACTGCCAGTCAGTATAACAGTACTGACTGCCGTACTGGGCCAGTAGTGGACCAACCCTGGCTGGTAACGCTGTCCAGTACTGATTTTGTCCCGCTCACCAGTACTAACGTAGTACTAGAATAATACTGGCAAAGTACTCATCCGGACTTAAAATCTCACTTTTTTACAAAATGCTAAAGCACGCTTTCCAATGCAAATTTCATCCTTATTAGCTTATTACTCCCATTTTTACCACGAACAGGTAATGTGAAGCCAATAATAGTTAATGTTATTTAGAATATATAAAATATTATTAACAATAAATAATTAAAATAATAATTATCATTTATATTAATTAAATTATTTTATTTTTAATAAATTATTTTACAAAAAGTAATTTGTGTTGTAAATTTTTTTATTGTTTTAAATTCATAATATTTAATTTTTTTTTACTTTGCACTTATACTTAATTTAATAATTATTTAATAATTGATATTACACATGAAGAAATATTGTACTTATAACACTTAAAACTAAGAACGAAAAATCTCGCACGCATGGGGGATCGAACCCTAAACCCTTAGAACGCAAGTCAGATACGCATACCGCACAGCCGCGCTGGCTTGAAGTGCTGACTTGAAGTAGTTCACCTAATACAAAAGTTTTGATTTCAAAGTTTGTATTATCTATTGATCACGAAAATAAAATGAATTTATTCTTAAATTTTTTAAACTCACAAAATTTTTTCAATTTTTACAAAGATTTAATGAAATAAAACTGGATATCAATTTCAGTTAAATATTTTTAATAAATTATTTTTACCGTAAATAATATTAAAACAGACAAAAATGATTGATGAATTACATAATTAAAAATAAGTTAATAAAAGACGACTGTAAAATATGAATGGTAAAAAATTTTTTAAATTTAATATTTAATTATTAATAATATTTAAAAATTACAGTGAAAAAATTACATTTGCTTTATTTTTAAAACTTTTAGAAAAAAATTCTCAACTTATTGTTATTGTATGCATGATAAATAACTTAATGCACATATTTCAATAAGTACTAAAATAACTAAAAAAACATAAATATATTTTATATAGGTATATAATAATACATTACAATTACATCCAAAATTTTGAGGGAAAGTATTCGAAAGAAATTAATATACATTTTTTTAAATAAAAAATCATCGTTTTCTACCTATTGGAATAATTTAAAGACTTTTTCATTTAATGTTTTTTATCACCGACATAGTACTGATTCGGTGTGAATGACAGTGTACTGCCAGTACTGGTTTTAATATTTTTTTACCTCCGACATAGTACTGATTCGGTGTATTAGTCAGTACACTGACAGTACTGAAAGTCAATACCGACAGCCAGTATTGGATCAGTACCATGCCGGTGTTTAATTACGGCGAGCTACGGATATTTCTACTTGGGATAATTCTAAACTGGCCGAATCCACATTTGATCTAATTCTCACTTGGCCTTTTCATTTATCACTCGCTCATGAACTTCAAGCATAAGAGAAAAAATGACAAAACATATTTTTGATTAGGCCAGTTTAGAATTATGTTAGATTAATATTAGAAGAATTAAAAATTAGGATAATGTAAAATTAGGCCAAATGAGAATTAGGTCAGATAAATATTAGAACAAATAACAATTAGGTTTCAGTATGATTAGACCAAATAAGAATTAGGTTTTATAAAGATTAGATCAAATGAAAATTAGTTTAAGCAGCGTTTAGTCCAAATGATATAATTAGGCCAGATGAAGATTATTGCAAATGATAATTATGGGAAATTTGCGTTTAGGCCAAATAAAAATTAGATCAAAATAAAAATTAGGCTAAAAAAGTATTAGGTTACAGAAAATTTAGGCCAAGTGAGATTTAGGACAGATAAATTTAAATAAGAATTAGGTTAAATTAAGATTATGCCAAATGAGAAGTAGGTCAAATGATGATTTTAGTACAAATGAGGATTAGATTGAATTAAGATTAGGATAAATAATAATTAGGTCATATATACAGATTAGCCCAAGTATAATAATTAGTTTATACGACTTTCAGGCCAATTGAATTTAGGTCAATTAAGTTTTAGGCCATTTGAAAATTGGAGAAAATTCATGCGTCTCTCATTTCCTACAGAAATTATAAGTTATTCCTTCTGGCGAGTTTTCTTTTTAAAGCCAAGAACAAAAAAATAATATTGTAATTAGCCAAAAGACTATATGCATGGTCAGGCTGCGAAAAAATAATTATTTAATGTATAAACATGACGGTGTTGAATATTGACAATGACAGAGTTTCTACAGATTGAGGATTGAGATTCACTTAATTCTAAAATCGCCACAGTCAAAAATGACGAAGAATCAAATTTTCATAGGACTTTTAACACTTTTGGCTGTAACAATTTATGCAGAAGGTAAATAAAGAATATTTGCATGTGTTCTAATTGAAATATGTTTGCATTTCAGAAACTTTTCTTATATTATAACATATTAAGGAAATCATTTTAATTGTATTTCAACATATATCTAAATTAACTGATGAATTAAAATTATATAGTTAAAAATTTTATTTTTTTTCTGAAATTTTTGATTCGGCATATGAAGATTTTTAAATAATGTTTATAATACGAACGTTATAGTACTGTTATGAAGGACTTGTTTTCAAAATCTCTTCTATTGTACTTGCCATTTTGAATTTTAAAACAAATCGTATTCATAATTAGCGATCCCGAAAAGCTTCAAGTAACGAATTTCAAAAGTTCAATTTTTAAATATTCTTCCAATACTAAATAACTTCATTTTTTATTTTCAAAATCTCATGTAAAATGAGACCTTAAAAATTTTTCAATAATTTTTTTCAGATGATTTTGGAAGGCAAAAGCGATATGTTTACAGCAGTAGTAGCAGCAGTTCAAGTTCAAGTTCCTTTGGAGGGACTAAAATAAGAACAAATACTTATACATTCGGAGATGCGACCGCTAATGCACAAGCAATTGCTGATAGTGGTTACGGAGGTAATACAATAAATTAAAGAATTTAACTATAAAAATCTATCATTCTTTTGCTTCTTAGGACGCATTTATTAGAGACCGTTAAAGACAGAAGTTGATGAACAAAAATTTAATTCACAAAAATATTTAAAATATTTTTATTACACTGAAAAAAATGTTGCCGAGAAATTCAACTACCATTGGGTAGTTGACTAGAAAGTAGTTAAAATAACTACTTTTTTAGTTAATCTAATCATGTTCATGTAGTTAATGTAACTATTTTCAAGAAGTTAATAAGTAATAGTTGATTTTACGTAAATATGTAGTTAAAGTACAACTACAGCTCGGTTGTAAAATTAACTTTCTTAAGGTAATGAAAACAAGTGGAATTGTAATCAACTCAAAATTTTAAGAGTAGTAAATCCAACTACTATTCATCAGTTATATGAAATGTAGTAAAAGGAATTATTTTCTTTAATTAATATAACTGCTTTTTGAGTAGTAAATTTTTTATTAATTTTTATGATTTTATAGGCTTCAATAAAATTCTTGTTGTAGAATTAACAAGTCGTCTGTAATTAAAACTACTACTTTAAGTAGTAGATTTTTACTATTTTAATTAATTCGATAAACTTAAAGAAGATTTTTGATGTAGAATTTACAAATCGTTTCCAGTTAAAACTACTACTTTAAGTGGTTCAATAGGCTTTAAGGCCAGGTCCAAGTGAGGCAGCGCCATCTACATTGATACTAAAATTTTGGAAAATTTTCAACAGCCTTTTCTTGAAAACAAGAAGGTAAAATGCTTTTTCCTTTATGGATAATTGATTATTGGCAAGATATACACCAGCTAAAACTTTTTTTTAGTTAAAATAATGAAAAAAATTTCATGTCAATAAATTAAATATGAGCACTATTTTCACAAAAACTGTAACAGTACTTTCTCAGAAATTACAATCAAAAATGCAATTTCCATTTGGAAAATTAATAAACGCTAAAAAATACACGACCTAAGATTTACCAATCACGAAAATAACAAAAAAAAAGTATTTTAATATAACATATTTTACTCATTATGACAGCCGTTTGGCAGGTTATTTATGTTACCAGACGTTTCGCAGTTTTGCCGAAAGGAGGAGATTGGCGCTGTTGCTAACCACCTGAAATACATAATCTACCAAAGGGCTGTCACAATCAGTAAAGCAGTATCAATATGTTAAATATTTAATAAAAATTTTTTTTGTTATTTTCGTGATTGGTAAATCTTAGGTCGTGTATTTTTTAGCGTTTATTAATTTTCCAAATGGAAATTGCATTTTTGATTGTAATTTCTGAGAAAGTACTGTTACAGTTTTTGTGAAAAAAGTGCTCATATTTAATTTATTGACATAAAATTTTTTTATTATTTTAACTCAAAAAAAGTTTTAGCTGGTGTATATCTTGCCAATAATCAATTATCCATAAAGGAAAAAGCATTTTACCTTCTTGTTTTCAAGAAAAGATTGTTGAAAATTTTCAAAAATTTTAGTTTCATTGTAGATGGCGCTGCCTCACTTGGACCTGGCCTTAAGAACATTTTTGTTGTAGAATTAACAAATCCTTTGTGATTAAAACTACTACTTTAAGTGGTAATTTTTTACTATTTTAATTAATTCAATAAGCTTGAAAAACGTTTTTGATGTAAAATTTACAAATCGTTTCCAATTAAAACTAATACTTTCAGTTGTAGCTTTTACTACTTAAAAAGTAGTTCAATAGGCTTTAAGAACATTTATGTCGTAGAATTAAAAACTCCTTTGCAATTAAAACTATCACTTTAAGTAGTAGATTTTACTGCACTATGCAATTAAACAACTTATAATGTAATTAAAAGATGAAAAATTCACAAGTCAAAACTTAAAAAGGATAGTTATAGCAACTAATAAAAGTAGTAAAAATGACTACTTTAAATAGTTAAATTACCAATTGGACAAGCAGAAAGTAGTCTTCGAGTATTTTGCAGACTGTCGTAGCGAGCGTGCGTGGTTAGTCGGTTAAGGTATCGGATAGCGAGCGTTAGGGTCGAGGGTTCAATTCCCGTCGGTAAGAAATTTTCTCTGTTAGGTACATAATCGTTAGGGCATAAAATAAGCATCAGTATAGGAGAGAGGATGAAAAAGACAATTCTACTGATAATAAACAATTATAAGTAATAAATAATTTTATTTTTCTATTTTAAGTAGTAAAATCTACTACTTAAAGTAGTAAAACCTACTAGTTTTTTTTCAGTGTAGTGGCGGGATCGGTTCAACAACCTGAGTTATTATTATAATTTTGTTTTATTTCCTAATTCCTCAAGAAATGTGTCAATTTTCTGTATATCGAAAACCCACATTTGACAGAATTGATGATTACTTTTTGTTCGTATTATTTCGCAATACAAAGTTTATCAATCCCAATTCATTTGCGAAATATCAATGATTTGGACATAAAATAATTTTTTAAAAAATAAGAGAATTTAAATAGTAATAATAAATTAATTTTTAATTAAATAATTAATAATAATCTCCATATAGATAGATTAACCAAATTATTATGATTAGAGTTAATCAAAATTTTTATTAGTTTAATTAAAATTTTGATTGCGATTTAATCAAAATTTCAAGAATTGATAATTTATCCTTCGTTTGTATTTTCATTCTCATCTTTGTAAACATAATATATAGAATCGTAAATTTCGAAAAGGGCGCAACTCTGAAAACCATAAGAATCATTTTCACTATCGATTGTTATAAAAAAATGATACTTACGCTTTTCGGTGTTGAGTCCTTTTCGAAATTTACTATTTCTTTTTCACTTATTTTTACATTATTTTAATTAGAATCAAAATGTACTTTCTAAAACTGTCTATTTTTTACTGAGTGAAATTTTATTTTGAAAATTATTTTTTTATTCATTTTAGTAAACTACCCTGTACAACCAGTAAATCCGTTTGGCCCAGTAGCAAATAGTTACGCATCAGCCGGAAGTAATGCTGGTGTGTTTGGAGGAGGTTATGCTGGCAATTTAGCAAATGGTAATTTTGGTGGCTTTGGAGGAGGTAATGTTGGCATTTCACCAAATGGTAATTTTGGTGGCTTTGGAGGAGGAAATGTTGGCAGTTCAGCAAACGCTAATGCTTACGCATCAACCGGTGGTAATCCTGGTGGATTCGGAGGAGGATACAATGGAGGTTTTGAATTTGCTCCTGCCGTTCCTTATGGAAATGGATATGGTGGGCTTGGTTCTTCCAATGCTCAAGCCAATGTCAATTCTAATGGGTTTAAGTGAGTTTATCAAATTTCATTCTTTTATTCAATAAATTTAAAATATATATATATTGTTTTCAACTTCTATTAGTACACATTTTATTGTATTTAGTATTTCTAAACATTACATAAAATATTTCAGTGTCTTCTCTCGGTTCGGTGATGGAGATATCATGGAAGTGAGTAAGAGTGGAAATTTTGAAGGCGGTAGAGGTGTTTTCAGTAGCAGTTCTATCAATATTGGCCCTGATGGAAAAGGAACATACAGTATCAAAACAGGAAATTTCCCGTAAATTATGACAATAATATTGATTAAAACAACGCAAAACTATATTTTTTATAATTTTATATAAAACATTATTTTTATTTATTAATCGTCATACTACCGGATATCCACCGCACACAGGTGATTCAACAAATTTAATGTTGAAATAACTGTTTGCCTTGCATGCATCTAATTACAAGTTTCATTCACTAAAAAAATTTGTGATTAATTATTTGTCAATGTAAGACAGTTCTATTGTTGAATCTTTACGATTTTAAGTTTTTTTCCAATATACAAATAAGAAAACATTTGAATCATTTTCTGTGCGGATATCCAGTAAACCGATAAAAATCTTCGATATGACAAAGATGAAATATTGTAATTGTAAAATTCCCAAAAAAGACCGAAATTTTTCAAATTCAATTTTTTTATGTATCTTTATGTTTTTTGACCCCAGAAATACAAAAATCACATTTTAAAAAAATGTGTGTGTAACACTACATTTTCATAAATATCTCGTATACTATATATAAGAGCTATAGGGATAATTTTTTTTTTTTAATTGTATGTCTCACAGGCTACTTTGAGCCATATTAATAAAGATTAACTATTATTTTTTTTAATTTAAAAATTTTTGAAAAATCGTTTTTTACCCATAACTTTAAAAAAATGTTAAGACACCTATGAATATTTTTCTTTAATTTTGTAGAGTTTTTTTAAGACGCATCTTTTGAGCTATTAGCTCAAAATGATATTCTATCCCCCAGGCGGAAAAGTCGGACGAATGTCGGAGTTTACAACCGGCTGGGAACCGCACCCGTACAGACCGCCACTACCGATGGTCTGTACCGATTCGGATCCCAAAATACAAACGGCGCGGTACAAATTCAGCTCCGACTTTCGGATCCGCCTTCGTACAATCGTCAGTACTGGCGCGGTACCGGATTTGTTCCGCCTGCGGATCTCATTTTTCTACGGGGCGTCGAAAGAATGCCGGACGTTAGGTTTGTACTGGCTTGGTACTGCACGGAAAAACTTTGTGCAAGAATCATTACTAAATTTGTTCAGGAACTGAGGATATGAGAATAATTTAAGAAATCTTATTTATATTTTCTTTGAAAAATTCTAAGCAGTATTTCTATAAGAATTGTAGAGAAATTCAAGACAACTTCCTAAACTCACTACAGAAAGTCTTGAACTTGTTTTAGAATAAATTTTTACGTTTGCGAGAAAAAAAATTTACTCTCGGAGGACTCGATCCCACGTCCTCGAGAGTCCAAAAACTCCGCTTTACATCTCTCAGCTACCTTAGCAGCTTATGGTATTATGTATTGGAAACATATTTGACGCAACCAATCCCTGCCTAGTGCTTGGTTACTGTACTGTGTCTTCTAAAACAGTTCAAGAAACTTTCAACGCCCAGTGACTGAGATATTCCGATCGCGGCATTAACAAGAAGTCTTCCAATGTCATAATAAAAATACAAGTATTTTCTTGAATGATTTTTGTATTTTTCTGTAAATTTTTCAGAATTTTTCTCATATCCTCAGTTCCTGAAAAAATTCAGGAATGATTCTTGAACAAAGTTTTTCCGTGTGCGGTGGATCCGACTTGCGGATCTCAACAATAATTATTATATTATAATTCCCATTATCAGTTCACTGAAAAAAATAGTATTGAATCAAGAAAACCATTTCCTAATTTTCTTGATCCAAGAAAATTTACGGTGCGTAAATATTCGATTATAAGCGTAGGTAGGATTATTAAAATGTGTACATAATAAAAAATCCGGCAGCCCCCTGCGGGGACAGCCACATTCTCATCACGCGCTTCGCTTTCGTTTTCAAAATTTTTCCACAATTTTTTTTAGTGTAGCTCAAACTTTTTGACTATTTTTTTGATGGTATTCCCGAGCGATTATCTCGCAAATTTACTTTTTTGAAAATTTTTCAACAATGTTTTTTAGTGTAGCTCAGCATCCGCTTTACCAATCAAAAAGTGCGCCATACATTTTCTGTTCCAAACTTTTTGCTCATTTTATTGGTTGTATTCCGGAACGATTATCTCGCAAATTTTATTTTTTGAAAATTTTTCCACAATGGTTTTTAGTGTAGCTCAGCATCCGCTGGACCAATCAAAAAGTGCGCCATACATTTTTTGTTCGAAACTTTTTGTCTATTTTACTGGTGGTATTCCGGTGCAGTTATCTCGCAAATTAAATATTTCTAAATTTTTTCCAAATTTGTTTTCTAGTGTAGCTCAGCATCCGCTGGACCAATCAAAAACTGCGCCATACATTTTTTGTTCGCTACTTTTTTCTAAAGACTTTGGCTGTATTCCCGAACGATTATCTAGAAAATTTAATTTTTCTAAATTTTTTCCAAATTTCTTTTTCTATTGCAGCTCAGCATCCGCTGGACCAATCCAAAAGTGCGCCATACATTTTTTGTTCTAAACTTTTTCCCTATTTTATTGGTGGTATTCCGGAGCGATTATCTCGCAAATTTAATTTTTCTAAATTTTTTCCAAATTTGTTTTTTAGTGTAGCTCAGCATCCGCTGGACCAATCAAAAAGTGCGCCATACATTTTTTGTTCGAAACTTTTTGTCTATTTTACTGGTGGTATTCCGGTGCAGTTATCTCGCAAATTAAATATTTCTAAATTTTTTCCAAATTTGTTTTCTAGTGTAGCTCAGCATCCGCTGGACCAATCAAAAACTGCGCCATACATTTTTTGTTCGCTACTTTTTTCTAAAGACTTTGGCTGTATTCCCGAACGATTATCTAGAAAATTTAATTTTTCTAAATTTTTTCCAAATTTCTTTTTCTATTGCAGCTCAGCATCCGCTGGACCAATCCAAAAGTGCGCCATACATTTTTTGTTCTAAACTTTTTCCCTATTTTATTGGTGGTATTCCGGAGCGATTATCTCGCAAATTTAATTTTTCTAAATTTTTTCCAAATTTGTTTTTTAGTGTAGCTCAGCATCCGCTGGACCAATCAAAAAGTGCGCCATACATTTTTTGTTCAGAACTTTCTTCTTACTACTTTGGCTCTATTCCTGAACGATTATCTGGCGAATTTAATTTTTCGAAAATTTTGCCGAAATTATTTTGAGTGTAGCTCAGCATCCACTGGATCAATCAAAAAGTACGCCATACATTTTTTGTTCCAAACTTATTGACTATTTTTTTGGCGTTATTCCGGAACTATTATCTCGTAAATTTAATTTTTCAGTATTTTTTACGAATTTGTTTTCTAGTTTAGCTCAGCATCCACTGGACCTATCAAAAAGTGTGCCATACATTTTTTGTTCGATACTTTTTAAAAACTTATTATGTTGCTTTCAAAAGCAGAACAAATCATGTGAATTCACTGCACAGAATTTAACTAAAAATGGAACTAAAACTTGATGTCAGAACATATCAAAAATAGAACAAAATCAATGGTAAATGCATGTGAGTGCCGGAACAAGTTCCGTCCGGACACTCATACCCTTTCCAGATTTAATAGAAGCATTTACATTTCCCCGATACTAACAACCCTAGCGGAAAAGCTACTAATTACAGGTCACATGGTACATTGTTATATATGTATTTGTGTGTAATTGTCAGTTGGCGTTTTTTTTTTTTTGAAATGTGTTTGATGCAAGTTCATTTTGTACAATTAGAAGTAAAAAAAGTAAAAAATGAATCACTGCTTTGTGAAAGGGTGTACCTCAAAGTGGTATGTAAAAAAAATAATTTTGAACCAAAACCTATAGTGGAGCTTCAGTCACACACGTAGTTCTGATGCAGTGCAAAAGGTCTCTCAGTGTATATATAAAGTGCTGCTCGATAATATTATTTAATAATACAAGGACATTACAAAAATTTCTGTATCTTTAATTCTAGTAAATAAAATCTTCGTTAAATATTAAATTCTTGTGTGTAACTTTTTTCTTTCTTTACACTTTTTCTGAAATTATTATATATCACTTTACACTATTTACTATATGAGAACAGTTGTCACTAGGCGCAGCCATATTTTGAAAACTTCTAATTATACCACTTTTTCGCTACAGGCAACATAATCGAAGATATGTAATTTCGGATTCAATTCTCATGCAGGCGGCCTATATGCTTAACAAGCAGTGAGTGATCCTTATACTACTTCATGTTTGTCTCAAACCTCAGTTCCGCTAAAATATTTACGTGCTGTTAAATACATTCGTTTCATGCTAAATAGAAAGATTTATAGTCCCATATAAAGACCCATATATAAGATTTCCATATAAAATGTTTTGGAAAAACCGTATATTTCGAAATTTGATGTCTAGAAGCAGTTAGTATATTAATTTGATGAAGACATATACGCATAATCAACTATGAAATTAGAATTATTTTTCTAGTTTACTACTTCTCCCTTTTAGACGTTTTGGAATATCCCAGAAATTTTATGATTTTACAGAAACGGGGATTATCGGTGGGAGTTTCTACTATTTAAGATTCACTTAACTCTAAAATCGCCACAGTCAAACATGTCAAAGCATCAAGTTTTCATTGGACTTTTAGCCATTTTGGCTACTGTCGCACAAGTTTACACACAAGGTAAATAGACAGTATTTTTACTATTTGCATGTGGTCTAATTGAAAAGTTTGCATTTTAAAAATTTTCATTATTCATTTTTATTTAAACAACCAACATTTTTATTAATATTAATTAAAATTCTAATTGCGATTTAACCAAAATTCTGAATCGTTTATCCAAAGTTGAGATTACTTTTATTTATTTCATTGCAATCTTTGTAAACATAATATATAATTATTTTGCTTCAGGTCCATTATTAATCTCTATAATCTTTATTATAAATTTTCAAATTATTTTAATTGAAACCAGAAAGTACTTTCTAAAATAGTTCATTTTTTACTAAGGAAAATTTTATTTTAAAAATTATTTTTTCAAACAGGATATCCGTTTCTACCAGGATTTTATTTTGGAGGAGCGAATAGTTACGCATCAGCCGGAAGTAATGCTGGTGGGTTTGGAGGAGCAAACAGTTACGCATCAGCCGGAAGTAACGCTGGTGGGTTTGGAGGAGCAAATAGTTACGCATCAGCCGGAAGTAACGCTGGTGGGTTTGGAGGGTCAAATTCTTACGCATCAGCCGGAAGTAATGCTGGTGGGTTTGGAGGTGGTTATTATGGAGGATTTGGACCTGTTTTTGCCTAAAGAGGATATTGGCCCTGATAGAAAAGGAACATACAGTATCAAAGTCCTGTAAATAATAATAATAATTTTCACTTATGTCATTGTTGCAATTCCATCATTTGTGGCAATAACAAAAATCGCACTGCCGGAATACTATTTTTGAGTTCTCCCCAAAATTTTAAATCAATTTATTTTGCGTGAAAATTTGCGAAGAATATAAACATATGTGATATCACATTACCTAAATTTCTTAATTTTTTTTGTTGTTCACTATAATATGCTTTTTTCGAAACTAAACAAATTTACGAAAATTCAAAATGTTAATTTTAAGGGAACATTGACATAATAAATGATGTCACACCTATTACCATTAGGGATAAAGACGTGATTTGTGAACGTTTCCTAATTTCCAGATAAAAAATAAATATTTTTCCATTCCTGCAAGTAATCTAAAAAACTATGTACGTTGTTTCAATAAAATTTTGATTTTATGTCAAAAGAATTTTGTTGTTTGTAATTAAAATTGCAAAATAAACTAAATATAGGTATTATTATTAAATTTTTGTTGAGAGCAAGTAAAATATAAGATAAATAAATCAAAATTTGGTTAAGACAAACAATAATTTTGTTGGTCAGTTAAAAAAAAAATTAGTTGCACAAATCAACAAAATAAAATTATTGTTCAGGCAAAAATAATATTTTATTTTTATCATAAACATTGAAATTTGTAATATTGTCTTAAGTAGTTGTGTGAATTGCAAAAAAATCTTGAAAAATTAACTATATTTACGCAAATTTCATATTATCAGCAATGACGCAAGTTCTTAATTTCTTTTTAAAAACCCGCTATTTAATTATTTCGTTCTTTTTTGCAAAGAAATATTAACACGCATTTATATATGGTATTATATATTTGTATGTATGTATATATATAAACTAAAAACTGTATAGTATTTCATATCTTTTGAGAATTTTAATATAAATCTGTTTTATAGAATCAGTGAAAAATTTATAACGAATAAACAAAATATTTGATTTTTTTAATAAGCCTTTTTATTTTCTCAAACATTTAACAATTTTTGTATAAATGATTTTAATAATATATATGTATAAACAAGTGTTTTAATTGTTAATCAGATTTTTTTAAATACACATGCACTTAAAAAATGAATTACTTCTTTAATTTATTCTTATTTTGAAATGACAAAAATCATCATTTGAATAGAATCTATTGATGAATGATGCAATGAGAAAATCAATATAAAAGATCGTACTAAATTGTTTACTGGATATAAAATATTTAATTATGAACGGACTTAGAGTATTTTGTTTTTCTACAATTCTTCTCACTGCATTTGTTGCTGGTAAGAAAAATTACTAATTATCAAATTAAATAAATTTTTTATTGTATATTTAAAATAATATTTGAGTTTTGAAAAATTGACTTTTTACTTTTTACTGTAATTTGAAATATGATGCAATCTATATGTAAAGCGGACAACCCCGATTTATGTTTGTTTTTCCATATTACATTTAAATATTACAATTTTATTAAAAATCCATTATAATTTAATGAAAATAGATGTGTATTTTCTAGTAAATTTAATATTATTTTACATTTTGTTATTAATTATAAAGATTAGATTAATTTTAACTACAAAAATTTAAAAACAAATTGAAAACTAATTTTCCATACAGTTTGACCATTTTTAAAATATTTAAAAATATCGTAAAAGATAGCTTAAATTGTGTAGTTCTGTGTATCTTTAAAAGTTATTTAATTTACAAATAATAGTCAAATCCAATGAATTTTAAAAAAAATATGTCAGACATATTGGATCTGACATTTTGAATTTTTTTAATCTAACCTCGGATTCTTAATCAGCGACCCCAAAAACTCCCGATTAACAAGTTTCAAGAGAATTCAATCAATTTTTGAAATAGGCGTTTGCCATATTGGATCCGTCATTATGAATTTTGAAAATCTAACATCGAATTCGTAATCAGTGACCACAAAAACCCCCGAGTAACGAGTTTTAAGCGAATACAATGAATTTTTAAAAATTTGTCCGCCATTTTGAATTTTGAAAATTTGACATCGAATTCGTAATTAGCGACCACAAAAACCCCCGAGTAACGAGTTTCAAGCAAATACAATGAATTTTTAAAAATTTATCCGCCATTTTGAATTTTGAAAATCTGACATCGAATTCGTAATCAGCGACCACGACATTTACTTTTACTTTTACTGAAATTCAATGAAAAATTGTATTTCATTAAAAGTGAAAGTGAAAATCAAGGTCAAAATAAAAGTCTAAGTGTAAGTGAAATTCATTATGATAGTCAATTTCGATGTGGAACTTAAATTAAATTACCTATAATTGCTCCCCTGATCAAATTTTTTGACAAATAAAATAATTAAAAATGAATTTTATTTTGTTTTCAGGTGATAATTTGCCCTTTAGACAAGGGAGAACTTATTCATCGAATTTTCGATTATTTCCACCAATACCAAATGCATTGCGTGGCTTTGGTTCAAGTAGTATTTCTAAATCTTCCAGCAGTATTATTAACGGTCATCCTGAGACAATCACTAAAACTCAAGTGAGCGGCAGTGCTTCTGCCAATGCCAATGCACAAATAAATGAAGGATTTGGTTTGAATGGTGCTTTTCAAACTAATGGTTTTTTCGGTGCAAATCGTGGAGGACTTTCTGGTGATGTCAATAATAATAATAACAATAATGGAATTTTCAATGATAAAGTAGAGGGAAAAAATCAAGACAGTTGTCAAAATAAGGAACAAACACAACAACAAAAACAAAGTGGATTCCAAACGAATAACGGTGGTCAAAATAAAGCTGAAAATAATTTCTTGGAAGGAGGTAGATTTCAAAAGAAAATATCTAAAAAAAATTAGAATCAGTTGAGTTATATGTAAACAGAAAATCCAATTTTCATCAATATCCCGTGTAGAAATTTGAACTAGATTCTGATAGAGGTCTCGCTATATTGCTCTGCGTCATATATAGGGTTCTTGCGGGGAAAACGGAAAAAATTCGGGCCCTGGGTTTTCATATGTGATGCTTGGCCTTTACGAAACATTTGTTGGAACACAGTTTTCCTAAAAGTATCAAATTAAGACCAAAAATTGCATCAAATCTTTGCAACGTTTTGATGCACATAAGTTATATCAAAAAAAGATCGTTTTGTGTATCATTTTTAGAAATGATACACGAAACGATCTCATTTTTTGATGCAAAAAATTTAATCAATTTATATCAATCATGGACGAATTGAATCGACTCAAAATTAAACGAATTTTTTTCAGATATTTTGGTAATAGTACAAATGCGGAGACCATTTCACTATTTAATTTGAAAATAAAAATAACAGAAAATCAAAGACAATGTGCAATTCGATAATTAAAAAGTGACAGCTTATATAAACATAACCTAAAATGCATGAGAAAAAAATTGTCGATAAAATCAATATAGCCGAGCTTTTTAGAAGGTAGATGGCAGCACTCATCTATTTTCTTTCTTTAAATTTTTTCTGAATCGTTTTTATAAAAAGCAAAACTGCCATCTACCTTCTAAAAAGCTCGGCTATATTGATTTTATCGACAAATTTTTTCTCATGCATTTTAGGTTATGTTTATAAGCTGTCACTTTTTAATTATCGAATTGCACATTGTCTTTGATTTTCTGTTATTTTCATTTTCAAATTAAATAGTGAAATAGTATCTCCGCAATTGTACTATTACCAAAATATCTGAAAAAAATTCATTTAATTTTGAGTCGATTCAATTCGGCCATGATTGATATAAATTGATTAAATTTTTTGCATCAAAAAATGAGACCGTTTCGTGTATCATTTCTAAAAATGATACACAAAACGATCTCTTTTTGATATAACTTATGTGTATGAAAACGTTGCAATAGAAAAAGGTAAAACCAAGTTTACTGTGAAATTAATTGGGATCTAATGAGGTTAATATAATTGTACTTACTTAAATGTTATATACACAAAGAGTTATTGTTAGAACGAATATTTTGAAGTTACCTCAGTAAATGACAGATTATAAACATTTAACATAACCAATACAACTCAAGTTCTATCTTGATGGTCATTTGACAATATGTCCAACTTAATGATAGCAGGAAGTTTTAAAAAACAAAATCTCAAAAAATTACCAAGCATAAAAAAATTAAAATTTCCACTTGAGTTCCAGTCGAACGTTCGAAATATATACCATATACATATATCTTTAGTTTTTTGACACACCTGCTTCACCTTGCATTTATCTATTCTAGTTTCTCACTATGTTTAGAAAAAAAGCTACCATTCCCTGCAAAGTGCCACATTTTGAATTTTTCACTCATTATTTTATGTTTATTGTCAATAAGATTTTTACAAAATTCATAATATAAAAAATTATTTTTTGTGTATAGTTCGAAAAAATCATTTGAAGTTCAACTTCATTCTCTGTGTGTATTAAATTTTACTGTATTTTTACCCGCGTATACAAATACAAATATTAATCAGCACCTGTCATAAATAAAATTGAGATTAAGATGAGTTATAGTATATAGCTTCCTTGACGCAGATCTCGATTGGAACCTTATGATGGATTAAAAATTTCAACGTCGTACTTACTTTGGAAACTGTAAATTAAAAGTAAAATATTTACTGCTTACATTTTCCCCAAATGAGCCTATATATTATTTTTTTTTACATAATTTTTGACAATATTGTCTACACGGAAAAAAGAGGGAATTGCTTACAGATGCTAACTGATGTTTGCTATCGGATCTATTAAAATTAGTAACCACAGCTAAATTTTTTTCCATGACAACGAAAAAGTTTGCTGTAATAAACAATATCAGTGTTGATTTTTAAAAATTTACTGTCACAGCAAACTTTTTTGACCCAACAGTAAATTTGTCCGCTGTCACTATATTAGCTAACGTAATTTGCTGTGACAGCTAATAATTCGCTGCCACAGCAAAATTTTTCTATGCATGTAAATAATATATAAATTATATACTAATTTCATTTTTCTTTCAGGTTTTGGTCAGAATTGCAATTGTATTTGTCAAGGTCAGTTTAATTGTTATTTTCTAGATAAACATTTAAAAAAAAATTATTAATATTATTTATTTACTAGCTTTCGTACCCGCCTTCGGCGGGAGCCCAACAGTAGGTATTTGCGTGCAAATAATTTTTTGTATAGATAGTTGATAGTTATTAAAAACTTGAACTAATAATTTCATAAATTTGTTAAATTTTAAAATTGTTGAAAATTTTAAATCTAAAAAACACATACTAAAAATATACTAACCTTTTATTTTTCTTTATCAACTTCGTAATTAATGATTTCAAATGTTTTGAATCTCTAATAGATTACCATGATTAATTTGATTTCGTTTAAGCCTTGTTTTGATAATTCTCGAACCAAATTTTTCAAACAGCATCATTATTCTATTACCTTTTTCCATTTTTAGATTCTTTATTTCTTAAAAAGAAACATTATTTAAGAAGTTTTATGTTCTAAGCTATATATATATAAATAGAATGGTATTTAGCCAATTTTCAAATTTTATTTTCTTATACTTTTTTTACAACTTAAAATCTTTTAATATTATTTAAACTATAATATTAAAATAAAAATCTATAACCCGAAAACAATAATTATTATAAAAAGGTTGTTACTAAAAAAACATTTTTTCATTTCTTTATATTTGTCATGTTTTTTTAATTCTAAACTTAAAATTTCATTAATTGGACTCAAAAACATAGCTAAAAAAGGTTTAGTAAAATATAACAGAAATTAAATTTAAAAAATTTGATTTTTGGAATTTTTCTTCACAATTTTAAATCTATATAAGTTATTTTCTCAATTTTAAGGTAAAAATGCGATTAATTAACCTCAAAAAACTTCTAAAAAAAAGTCTATAGTAAAAATAAGCGAAAAAATAAAAAATTTTAAAATTTCGATTTTTACAAAAAGTGCCATAACTTCCGTTCAAGTTAATATTTTTTAATAGGGTATGGCTAAGATTTTAAGTTAGTCTAATACCTAAAAGACTGCCAAGTTTCACTTAAATTGGTCAAGCCGTTTATGCGTGATTGGCGAACAAAATATTGTGCAGACAGACAGACAGAATTTTTTTTAATGCTATTTTTAGAATCCTTATGACTTGAAACGAAAAATTATACATGAATTTTTAAGTTCTAAGCAATGTACAGACAAAAGTCTAATTTTATTAATATAGATTTCAATCTTTGTTTTTATTTATTTACAGAAAAAAGTTGAATAAATTTTTGTTTCAACTCATTTTAATAGTTGGGTATTGAATATTGATTAAGCGACAAACTTAAAATATCATTAAAAATTCAAATTACTTTACTAGTACGGAATATTGAGTCACCTTATTTTGGCCTAAATCTCAAAAAATCGAATTCCATCTAAAGTCTAATAATCATTTTATTATCGAATTTTTAGAAATTCGAATTATCAAGAGATCGAATTACCAAAAAATTCGAACTTTTAATAATTCGGATTTCTAAAAATTTGATTTTTTATAATTCGAACTTCTAGAAATTCTAACTTTTAGAAATTCGTATTTTTAAAAATTCGATCCTTCCCAGGTGCGAATTTCGGTCGGCCGCCAGAGATGGTTGTTTGGCCCAACTAGGGCTGCACGAGAGTCGGCCGCCCTAGTTGGGCCGACCATGGTAAATATTGTCACCCAAAGGTGGCCCGACTATGGCTACCAACGTCGGCAGCCCTAGTTGGACCAACTATGGTTCCCATAGTTGGGCCGACTGTGGGGGATAATGGTCGGCATGACTCGGGCCGACCATCTGGAACGACGGTCGACAGCCACAGTTGGACCAACCATGGCCGCCCTAGTTGGGCCGACTATGGCAGCCCAAGTTGGCCCAACTGTGGCTGTCGACCGCCAACTCGCACCTGGGTTGTAGAATTCAAACTTTTAAAAATTCTATTTTGTGATAATTCAAATTTTTAATAATTCGATTTTTTTTAAATTCAATTATTTGGTAATTAAAATTTTTTAACAATAAATTCTATTTTTTGATTATTCCAACTTTTATAACAATTCGATAATAAATGTTTACACGTTTTTATGGAAATCGAATGTTTTTGATGAGATTTATGCCAAAGTAAATCACGACTCCGAATATTTTTAGTAATTTGTAAGTTTTTTTTTGAAAATTAAATTTTGTCAGAGAATAATAATAATAATAATAATAATAATAATAATAATAATAATAATAATTATTATTATTATTATTATTATCGATTATTATTTACCTTTTGAGAGATAATAGAGAATTTTATTATTCTCTATAAATTATGTATTTCTATTCTATTCTATTAATTATGTAGTTATTTGACCTTTTACAATTCGTTTTAGCCTCCCATATAAAAGACAAATGTTTTTATGATAATCACAACATCATAATTTGACTATATTATGTAATTCATTTTCTGGTTTCTCTTTGTCAATAATATAAAGCAGAAATTGTTCTTTCATAAAATATAGAAAATTGGTTTTTATTTTTAATGTAATTATTTAAATACTTATATTTTTCATAAATTTAAAAAAAAATTAATAAAAAAAAAGATTATTTAATTAAATTAATTTTTGTAAACAGGAATCAAGCCATTTGAAAAAACTGATACTAATAACAAAAGTAACGCTGACTCCAACGCAGGAATTAAGTAAGAGTGAAGAGTAGTATTGTTATTATTATTATTATTTATTATTAATATTATTGTTATTATTTAATTATTATTTATTATTATTATTATTATTTTATTTTTATTAATTCAAAAAAATGTATTTTTTTTATATATTGCAACATTTTTTTTATTCATTATAAATTCTGAATAGTGGATATAATTATTTTTTTCAAAATTGGAAACAATGAGAAATTTTAGAATTTTTTACATAGCATTATTGACACACGTTTTGGATCAAATGGAATTCATGAAAGTGGTACTTTCGAAAAAGGACCTTCAAGAGGTATTTCCAGTAGCAGTTCTGCCCAATCTTTTCCTGATGGATCTGGTTCCTTTGAAGTATCAGCTACTAAAATTACTACCTAATTGAAACATTGACCTTTCTATATGCGATAATTTATAATAAGAATAATTCACTATATTTCCATTTTTTTTTTTGCTCTTCAATTTAAGGAAAAACAAATTATTATTTTAACATATTTATTAAATAGGAATCTAATTCTCCAAGAGGATAACAAAAAAAAAAAAAAAAATTTTAATATACCAATTTCTTTGTTTTCAGAATATTTCATTCTTGTTTTTTCCTTTAGGGGGGCCAGGGTTACTTGGCGCACTTTTTACTCTTTGTTGTGTAATTCACTCATTTTTATACCACTTTATTTGAAGCTGTGCAAAGCGCGCCAAGCAACCCCGACGCAGGAGTGAAATTAAAATTAAATTATATGATTTAAAGTTTAAATAATATAAGACTTAACAAAATAAGTCTTGTACTGTAATTTTACAATAAAATTATTTTAAATTTAAAAATTAGAAAATTTCATTTAAATTAAATGAAATTTGATTTAAATGAAATCGTATAAAATTACCAAAAAATATTTTTTTTTTTGATAATAACGCTGTGAATATCTAAAAACCATTATTGGGTTAAATTTTTTGAATAGGATTATTATTGGTGCTTATTAATGTGTAAATTTCATATAATCAACTACATTTTATTCATATTTAACGAAATTTTCAGATAACCGCGCCACCTAACCCCGAATGTACTTTTGAAATATTTATTAATTTTTTATAAAAACTGTTAATATAAATAAAAAAAAATTTTTTGTTTCTTAATAACAAATGTATAGAGCTCAAAACTAAATATTTGAGCTCTTCTAAAATTAATTTTTTAAAGAAATATCACAAAAAAATGAAGAGGTTAAAAAATCACTTTATAGGAGTGCCAAAATCAGTTATTTTAATCTATACTCCAAAATAATTAATGAATATTAATGAAATTTTGTACAAACTTACAGTTCATCAAGTACTTTAAGCAGAATAAAGAGAAAAATTAAGGCCAGGTCCAAGTGCGGCAGCGCCATCTACATTGAAACTAAAATTTTGGAAAATTTTCAACAGCCTTTTTTTGAAAACAAGAAGGTAAAATGCTTTTTTCTTTATGGATAATTGATTATTGACAAGATATACACCAGCTAAAACTTTTTTTGAGTTTATTAATTTTCCAAATGGAAATTGCATTTTTGATTGTAATTTCTGAGAAAGTACTGTTACAGTTTTTGTGAAAAAAGTGCTCATATTTAATTTATCGACATGAAATTTTTTTCATTATTTTAACTCAAAAAAAGTTTTAGCTGGTGTATATCTTGCCAATAATCAATTATCCATAAAGGAAAAAGCATTTTACCATTTTGTTTTCAAGAAAAGGCTGTTGAAAATTTTCCAAAATTTTAGTATCAATGTAGATGGCGCTGCTTCGCTTGGACCTGGCCTTAATGTAACTTAACACTTTTGAATAAACTCAAGTGCGCCAAGCAACCCCTGCGCCAAACAACCCCTGTCTCCCTTATAGCATCTATAAGAATAATAATGAAAAAGATTTCAAAAATGGAAATAAGTTTTTTTGTGTAAGATAATAAATGTAAATTAAGAAAAAAATAAATTAAATGATGTTGTAAAATATTTTATTTATATTTGGCCCACATAAATTTTTTTTTCCCCGCTGATAAATACATTTATAATCCTTGACAATAATATCTTTCTTTGTTGTTAAATATAATTAATTATAAAAGAAAAATTTATCTTTGAGTAATTAGTGTTTCACAAAATATACATAGTAATCATTTACTCTCTTTTTATTAAAAAAAATATATATATACATATATATTATATAACAAATTAATTTTTTTCGGGTCGTTATTTATTTAATTTTTTAATTAATTAATATCTATAAATAATAAAAAAACTAGGAAAAAAGTTTTAAAAGTGGGCCTTATTTATTTGTTTTTAATAAAAATTTTTTTGGTCGACAGCGAGGGGGAATTTACTAGTTAAAAACGTGTACACTTGACTACCGGTATTACACCTCATATTACCCTTATTACTAAGTTATTACACGTTATTACAGAGTATTACACATTATTACAGAGATATTACAGATTTTTTTGCGTTATTACAGCACCGTAATAACGAATTATTACACGGTATTACACGTTATTACACAAGTATTACAGGAAGAGTGTACACTTGACTACCTTAGTAAATTCCCCCTCGGTCGACAGGCAATCCTTTACTTTAAACAGTCAAAAAAAAAAAAATTTTTTTTTTACTTAAAAAATAATAAAATAGCGGTACAATTGTTTTTGCGAAACAAAATAATTCAAACAAAAAGGTTTTTCTATCAAATTTTTATAAACAAATTAATTTTTTTTTTACTTTTTTTATTTTTATATACCTACAAGTATACAAAGAAAATTATATTAAAAAATTTTAGATTGGACTTTTTGTTTAAAAAATTTGTAAAAAAAATGTATTTTATTCATTTTCTTTTATTTTTTAAAACAAAATATTTTTTGTTTGCTTTTCTATATGAGTAAAGAATCCAGATAAGAAAAAGTACGAAAAAATGGATGCTAAAGTTAAAAAAAATTAATTTTTCCATAAAAAAATAGTTAATTTTTTGTCATTTAACACATTTTGAAAGTTAAAAAAAAAAAATGAAAATTTTTTTCTCTGATCAAAAATTTCCGATGGGGAGGGGGTGACAATTTTTTGGGTTTACGGTACACCGGATACTTTAATAATTTTATTTTTAAATATTACAATAAAATTTTTTTTAATAATATCAGTTTCCAAAGGTTTTTTTGATACTCTTTCGATTGGTACAATAATCATTTTTGAAAAAAAAAAAATTATTTTTGAGTTTCATTTTTTTTTGGTCAAAAAATTATTTTTTCAAAAAAATTCATAATTACCAATCAAAAAAGCATCAAAAAAGCTTTTGCAACTGATATTAATAAAAGTTTTTTGATTTCAATAATTAAGAGAGAAAAAATAATTACAAGAAAAAAGGCATTTTTCCCATTTATTTATTTATAGTTTTGTATTTGATTACGCATATTTGATCACTTCACGTGAAATCACCCATACATTTAATTTCTATAAAAAAAAGTTTGGGAAAAAACAGAATTGGTATTTCAAAATTTGACGTCAAGAAACAGTTAGTATATTAATTTTATGAAGACATATATATATATATATATATATATATATATATATATATATTCAACTATAAAATTAGAATTATTTGTCTAGGCTACTACTTCTCCTTTTTAGACGTTTTGGGATATCCCAGAAATTCTATGTTATTACAGCAGCCTTGATTTAATTTTGATTTTCATCTTGGAACATCAAAACTCCGTCATTTTAATAATGGAAGGAAAGGGGTCATTGGTGGGAGTTTCTACTATTTAAGATTCACTTAACTCTAAGATCGCCACAGTCAAAAATGACGAAGCATCAAGTTTTCATCGGACTTTTAGCCCTTTTGGCTATTACAGTTTACGCAAAAGGTAAATAAAGAATATTTTTCTATTTGCATTTGTTCTAATTGAAATATGTTTTTATTTAAAAAACATTTCTTGTTAATTTATTCATTTTTTTTTTATTATTTTAAAGAACAAATTAAAAAATCATTTTAATGGTATTTTAACATTATCTAAATATTAACTCAATTAAAATTATTTAATTATAAATTAACTTAATTACATTAAAATTGTCATTGTAGTCTTATTTATAGAATTAATAGAAATATTTAATTTTTTAAAAAAATAAAATTTAAGTATAATTTTTTTATATACATTTCGTAAAAACTTTGCTTCCTCATGGAGATATGTCAATAAAATAAGTGTAATATATATTAAAATTTAAACATGAAAATTCAACAACAAATCAACATCAAAAGTCATGTTTTTAAATATTTTTTAATTTTGAAACATCAATAACTTGTTAATTTTTTATATAGTAAAAATATTTATAAATAGATGAATTGATTTGTTTTTAAATATTCTCTAAGTTGGTTATAATAATTTTATAGTTAAAATAAATTTTTTTTTTTAAATAATGCAAAAAAATCAGATTTTTCAAAATTGACGATTTTTAAAATGCCAATAACTCTCGATAAAATTGCAGCTAGAATATTCGCTAATACATCCAGAAAAAAAAATATCTTTGATTTAAATAAACCAATATTTATTTGACTTGTTTTCTTTTATTCAAAATAAAATTTTCTTTGAAACAAAAAAAACCTTATTAGTTTCAAAGAAAATTTCTTTGTGCATTAAATCAAAGAAATTCTAATACGGATATATGGAGTCAAAGAAACATTTATTTTAATTAAATAAAAAATTTCTTTGAAATAAAGATATTTTTTTATAGATCAAAAATAATTTGTTTTGAAACAAATAAATTTTCTTTGTATCAAATAAAAATTGGACACATTGGACAAAGAAATTTTTTTTTCTGGGTGTAAGTCAAAAGATGAGTATTGATAAAAACACTATATAAAATCTCATGTTAAATTTATAATCGCAGCGACCTTATAAATAATATGATAATTTTTTCAGATGATTTAAGAAGGCAAAAGCGATTTGCTTATGGCAGTAGTAGCAGTAGCAGCAGTAGCAGTTCAAGTTCCTCTGGAGGAGGTAAAACAAAAACAATTACTTATACAACTGGAGATGGGACTGCCGATGCAACTGCAACTGCTAATGGTGGTTACTACGGAGGTAATAAAAGAAATTAAAGAATTTAACTATAAAAATATGAAAAATAATTTTTTTTTAAATTATTAAACTTATAAAAAAAAACTGTGGGATTATATATGAGCACCTGGATATAATAACTCGCGCTACGCTCGGCTGTACGCTCTCAAGCCAGTCAAATCTACAGAAAGAGTAAGAAAATTAAAATTCAAAATTTTGATTTTTGAAAAGTATTACCTTGTAGGAAATAAATAGGCGCATCTTTTTTTCCTTTGACATTTTTTAGAAAAACGAATATTTTAAATAATAAATCCAAAAAACTAAGAAATCTTGATTCACAAATTTCATTAAGTTTTAAAACATAAATCATCGTATCTTTTACAATTATTAACGGATTTGATTAAAAATTAGTATACACACGCTCAAGGGTCTACTGAAGACGACAATATAGTGAAAAATTAAAAAATCACTAATTGTTTATTAAATTTTTAATATAAATAGAGACCTGTCGGAAATCACGTTTTCTTACATTCGGCGACAAAAAGTCTGCAGGGAAGTTTACAGTTGAGATAACTTCCAGTGAGACATTTGTTTATTACTATATAAGGAAGTTTTTTGGAAAATTTTAAGCCGATTCATTGAAAACTTTGGAAAATATTGAAGTTTTAAGAAAGCGCGTGCGGCACGATAGCGCGTCATACGGCTCTGTGCATTAAATATAACCAGCTTTCCACAAGTTTAATATTAATTTAATTAAATTATTAATTATTTTACTTGATAATTAATTTATTTATTATTAAATATTAAATTAATTAAGTTATATTACATAAAATATTTTATACCCAAAATAAATATTAAATATTATAAAGATTGTTTACATATAGCTATATTTGTTATAAATAAATTTTTAGTAATATGTGTACTCAAAGATGTTCAAATGTTTTTCAATATGTTAAGAAAATATTAAATTTTTACGTGATGTGCAATTTTGAAAACAATTCATGCCAAAACGATGCGCGCGCATGCTTTTTCTATTGTTGCCAATCGTTTTGTTTTGAAAATCGTCTTCAGGACGGTACGATTTTGCCTATTGTGGAAACAACCTCATTACATTCAAAATATCTTAGAATTGATTTTTATTTTACAATAAATGAAAAGAAACTTTTAATCAATATAAAATTATCATAATAACATAACCTATAATTCGTTAATTTCTTCTTAGATCCCTTTTATTAGTTTAATTAATATTCTGATTGCAATTTAACCAATATTTGGAATAATTTAACTAAAATTCTGACTATTTACCAAAGTATCTGATTAGTTTAATCAGATTAACAAAATTCAAAAATTGATTATTCTCTGTTTGTATTTTCATTACAATCGTTGCAAACATAATCCAGTGGGAAAAATACGATTGGCGGAATATTGGATCACTATTGACCCAAAAGTCTAGTCGCAATGAAAAATCCGTTAGCCTACAAAACTTTATTATTTATTTAACTATAATAATTTCCGTATTCATTCATTCATTCATTCATTCTGTCTGTCCACACTTGAAGTTACCCAGATAGCACGCAAGTTTGCTGCCAACTTGCAGCCGACTTGCGTTGCAAGTTTGCACTGCAAGTTTTGCAAGTTTGCACTGCAAGCTTGCTGCAAGTTTGCTGCAAGCTTGCAATGTCCCACCGTAGCTTGCAAAGCAAGTTTGCAGCAAGTCTGCAGCAAGTTTGCAGCAAGTCTGCTGCAAGTTTACAGCAAGTTTGCTGCAAGTTTGCAAATACTACATTATATTTTGCAAAAAACTATATTTTAAATAAACAAAAAAACAATGCGCAGTTCAATTCTATAGCACATAGGGCTGCGCAGTAAATTTTTTTTACCTCCCAGCTATAGTGCTAAATACATAGTAAAGGGAATT